TCGCGAGAATACGAAATCGCGAAAATGTTCCTTACAGTATTCCATAGTCGTGGGATACACTCATTACAAGAGTACACCTCATATTATATTGTGCAATATCTGAGTGTAAGCATTGTTTGCGGTTTAATGTGCAACATGCACATATCAAATGTATGGGAACAGTAGTGCATATTATAAATAGTTTTGGGTTAATAAACGTGCTAAATTTTCATTCTTGGTTTTATAGTTCATTATTTTGGATATTCCTTAATATCATATGACATGTTAAATGTTATGTATTTGAAGTGTTTGTTAGAAACTAAGACATGGCTATTTCTCCATATTGGTGAATTGTTCAATTACATACCTTTTCTAAGAATGGGTAAAATTGTGAAAAGTTTCTACTGTAAACTGTGGTGGCTGATTGCTTCCATTTCGTATCTTCGAATCATCGTTTGATTTTAACTTAAGCTTCTGGTATATTTGATAGTCATCCATAAACACCTATTAATAATAAAGTCGGATTCGTACAATGAACTCTGCTTTTAGAAGATATTTCTTGTGTTATATTTATCTTTGTAAAATATGTAAGAAACACCTTTGTCAGGTGAATGCTTAGTAAGTCTGAAACGTCGGACAAACTACAATAAATTACTCTGCTACACGTTTCACATGTAAATACATGAACAGAATGTCACACGTGGGATTGTGGCAACGTCCCAGCTAGCAAACAAGCTGTTACGTAATTTACGGGAACAACTATATAATCACCCACCGTAAAAAAAAATGTCTCTGTAACTTTCGACGACAATAGTTGTAGTCGATATGAGTATTGATTAATAACACCATCTGGGGTTACAAACTACTAAAAAAAGGTTTGGTTTGTCCGTGATGTCTGGGTTTTGATATGATATTTGTGATCGGATATTTAATAAACAATGCACCTCTATTACTTTTAATTCATATGCAATTTACGTTATAGACAGAGTTATGAATAACACTATTCATTTATATGTGGCAGACAAAATCCCGATCCCACGTTAACATTTTTACTCACTATGACTAACACTTACCTATATGTCAGTCTGAACAGCTGGCTGGGAGTGGTTATTGTTAACCATCGTGACGATGTTATTTTGATATAGAGGCAGTTGATCCACAATCTATTTCAATGTACCTCTACCTCATCTTTCTCTCATTTCCGACTGTGTCATAAACATGTGTTTATCAAACACTATCAAATAGTGAGGATACCAGGTGTTCGCGAAAAGGTAAGCAAGTGCAAAAGCAAGTCACCGACACAAATACATGCAAGGTCAAGTCAATTGTGCAACTGAACAAACACGGGAATATATGGTACAAGTCAAATGGGCATTTGCATCGTATTTTGTCACTGATGCGTAAAACTTGAAAATGTCCTCCACATGTCTACTATACAACTCTCTGAAAGCTTTACTAAGGCATTGACTGTTGTTAACGTCATCAAACAACCCAAGCTAGGGTCGAATGATACTTTTTGATATCCTCGTAGAAGTATGTTCGATTGTATCTCAATAGTTGTGAAATGTGGACACCAAATGCTGTAGCTGCAGGCAATACTCCCAAGAAGGAATATTATATCCAAATTTATTCATGCTGGGAAATGAACGTGTAATCCGAGGTCCAAATGACAAATGTTTGAAATAACGTGGTGGCCCAGTCGTCTAAGGCGCCGCGATTCGCCGTGCAGAGTTGCGTCCCTTGGGCACGCCAGAAACCTATGATTGTGGGTTCGAATCCCGGTTCGCCCCGATTATGTTTCTAGGTTTGTCCGCACCATACCCGTGCTCGTGGGTTTCACCGAAGAGGTAAACGTCTGAGACCTGCATCACTTCGGGCTTTCCTCCCACATTAAGCTGACACGCCGTGATATGACTGGCATACGGTTAAAAGCGGCGTTAAACCCAACTTAACTCAACAACAAACTAAAACATTCATGTAGCTAATTCTCAGGAGTGTCGTAACTGCGTTCGGGGCGCCGAAAGACCCTACAACAGTTACCTAAACTTATTGCCGGCCCGTGTCCTGCACTCATCTGGTCAGGGAAGGGTCGCAAAGTCAAGGAGTGAGGGGTCTGACGACTGTTACTCCTAGCTGTCCCAATAAGCATTCATGTACCGGCACACACGCACACACAAGGATAAACGCAACACAAGATATGATACTCACATAAGTTTACTCGCTCCATCGCTCAAAATACAACTGCTAAACAAGACAGGGTAAACAGAGTAATGGCGATTTGCCTAGGTCAACTGAAAACCCCGCACTACTCTGCTTGTGATAAAGGTTTAAAGTGTTCGAGACTTACCGGTCACATGTCTTGATACAGAAATTTGACTCGTTAAAAACTATACTGAGGGAGTTAAGATAGTCGTAGCGCTACGGTTACTTCCCAAATCATGGCGTTTGTTGTCTGGATATATACTCTTAAAAAAAAGAAACTTGACACTGACTTTCAAAATGTAATATAATGCGATTGTTCAAAATAGGACACAGAAACCATAATTGAAACACTGTTTGAAGATCAATGTACACAATGTTCAAAACATTAATCGTGTCACCTAGAAAAACACACGTACACGAAACAGTTAATGTCACAGGGGTACAGAAAATGTCAGTATCGGTTGTGCCCACCACGTTCATCAATCACCGCTTGACACCGACGACCCATAGATGCAATCAAGTTGTCAATAACACGCTGTTGGATGTGCTGCCATTCATGCTGAAGTGCATCAAGAAGCGCCGGAAGTGTTTGGAGCGGTGGATTCCTTCTGCGAACGCGTCGATCCAACTCGTCCCACAGATGCTCAATCGGGGACAAATCTGGTGACCGCGCTGGCCAAGGTAATGTCTGGATGTTGTTGTGCTGTAAGAAGTCCTGACAAACACGTGCAATATGCGGTCGAGCGTTGTCCTGCTGGAACTTTCCGCCTTGAACGTTGACGTGAGGAAGAACGTAAGGCTGTAGGATCAAGTCTCTGTAACGCACACCTGTCAATGCACCTGCCACATGCACGAGAGGTGTCCTACCACCGTGATGAATTCCGGCCCATACCATGACACTCCCGCCGCCAAATGGGGCAACCTGCTGCACACAGTTGGGGGCGTAACGTTCACCCCGACGTCTGTAAACACGTGCGCGCCCATCAGCATGTGTGAGTAGGAAACGGGACTCGTCAGTAAACAGTACATTTCTCCACCTTGCACGTGCCCATCTAACCCTCTGTTGGCACCAAAGCAGACGGTCCGCCAGATGACGTGGGGTCAATACATGACGTCGAACAGGTCTTCGTGCAAAAAATCCAGCCTCAGCAGTTGCGTACCGTTTGATCTGATATTCTGCGTACCCCAGGGATCTGTGTGGGTATAGACGTGGCTGTGGTAGTGCGGTCTCGGAGGTGTCGCAGCCGGATGTATCGATCTTGTGCTTGGGTTGTCACCCTTGGTCTTCCTGACCTTGGTCTGTCGTCAACTCTGTTGGTGTTGATGTATCGGGTCCACAGTGCGGAGATTGTCTGTCTGGATACGCCAAAGTGCCTGGCCACTTCTTGCTGAGTTGCTCCAGCTTGTAATCTCCCAAATGGCGTTGTTCCGTTGAGCTGCATTCAGTCTTGGCATTCTGTCACCGCCTCTACTGCCGTTATAAGGACTGTATGAACAGCCGTTGATGTGGATTTTTATACCCATTCAGCAGGGGGGCCTGCATGCCTAAATGCAGGATCCTGTGCTGCACGTTTTTTACAGGCGGTTTCGTTTGGATGAAGCTGTAAAATTGATCCCCAAACGCTACATGTGTTTTCGCGAATTATAGACACATCATCTTTCTGTTTGACTTATTTGGTTCTCATTTAATGTATTTAACTCGTATTTTAGATATTTGGCAAAAAGTGGTTTTACATCTGTCAAGTTTCTTTTTTTGAAGAGTATATATCAACAAGAATAAATACAAGTTAGAAATAAATATGAATCCCACCGTTTCATTTTTACAAATGGATCCAAGGATGGTAGCAAAGTCTCTAGTGCTGCTGTCATTGGATCAAAAACTGTATCATCCCGATTACCAGACCACAGCTCAATTTAAACTGCTGAAGCCAAAGCAATATTAACTGCTTTGGAATATATCCAAACACAGCCCATCATCTCTTCAGATTCATTATCGTGTCTACTGGCAATAAAATCGAGCTCTTCAAGCCATCTATTCACTTTAGGTATTTTAGAACTATATAATGACCTTGCTACTGGCCAATACGACATCATCTTTTGCTGGTTGCCCAGTCATGTTGGAATCACTGGTAACACTATGGTTGATGCTGCAACAAAAGCAGCTCTCAACAAATCTGTGACACCACTTCTTATACCATAAAAAGATTATAAACCTGTAATTATATGCTATGTCAAAGACCTAATGCAAAATTAGTGGGTATAAATAAATTACATGCAATAAAAGCAAATATCGGTTATACATGTACCTCCGTGGGTTGTCAGTCCAGATTTGATGTCGTATTGACCATTCTCGATATACTCATGAATATTTATTAAAAGGTGAGGATCCTCCATTCTGCATCCCTTGTGATGAAAGAATCACGGTCAAGCATGTCCTGCTTGACTGCATCGATTTTTCCATCACAGGGGATCAATATTTCAAAGTTTCAGGCATCAAGGATTTTTTAATCAGGTGTAGAAATATTGAAATTTCCTCTGATTATGTAGGATAGATTGTAGCATTTACGTGGTTAATAGCTCCTTATCGATATGTAGTTCGCTTGGGACAGCACGTTTCAGATCTTGCCCCACGTGCGGGCACGTGCGTTTGTCGGCTGCATGCCGATTTAGTGTTTTCAGTCGTGGGTCGTATGGTAAGTGCGCTCCGATTGGTTGGTGACAGACTGGATTAGCCAGTGGCTGCACCGTTTAGACGTGTTGACCCAGAGGTTACGTGTCCTTGCGAGTATATAAGTGATTGGCGCGAATGCTCTCATTGTCTTGCATGATCAGAAGATCACTACAGGTGAGGGAGACCACACCAAATTACCGTGTTCGGGCGTCGAACAATTCCCCAATCCCTAGTGATTTTAGGCAAAAAAGATCTAAATTATGTCGCAACTTTAGAATTCATGGGTAAACTGATATAAAGGTGTGTTGGGCGGGTGAATTTAATTAGGAAACAATGTAGGCTATGTGGTGTAGCTACATTGACCGATTGTGTTCGGAGGTTTGGAAGGGTGTTTTTTTTGTCCTCGTAGACTGTGTAAGGATGCTGTAGGGATTATTTATTGAAGTGGGTTAGTGAGGGGTTTGTTCGTCTGCTTTAGGCTGCTTCTGAGTTTTATTCTTAAGGTATAAGTAAGTAGGATTTTTGGCTTAATAATGTAAATTTTAGTTAGGAATAGGATTGACTGATTTGTAATTGTTATTGAGTTCGTATTTATATTTTGTTACATTTGTCTCGTCACGATATAGCTGAAATATTGCCGATGTGACGTTAAACTGTAACTCACGCACTCACTCAGGGGAGAAAATGATCTACAATCATCAGACCTTTTTCATGTATAGCTTTCACACCAGATGAAAGTAGTGTCGCACAGATCGTTCAGATAATGTGCTTTAAAAGTGTATGATTTCAATATTCTATCTGGTACACTATAAAGTGCTTAGAAATGCTTCTCAAAGGAACGCGGTCAATTTCACGTCAACAATACCAGGTCTCGACTCGCCATCACATATGACTTGACATGAACGAGGTAAGGCACTTTAGCTAGTGCGCGTTATTTTCTCAGTATGTTTCTAATATCATATTATATTAAGTATCTCCATTTGATATTACATAGGCATCGGGGAGTTGTCACTTTTTGTTCAAACATATGATAATTAGGATAATGGTGGATAAGAATAAAATGGTATTATCCTATGATGAGTTAAGACATGGTTATTAAAACTTTACTTGTTTGTCATAATCTATTGCATTGATTTAAATTGAAACATAACATACGCCATAGTCTGTATGATACGTTAATGTATCATACAGCGACTGCAGTGTCCGAATTGATGTCGTACTTGCATGAATTGCATGCTAGGAACATGTTCTGTGAGAGGGAACAGCATGCATAATGTAATGCAGCCTTCGTTACAATACGCTTGCGGATACCACATAATAATTCGGTTGAGACTTCTGTTCAGAAGATGTATACAATTTAAGTATAGATGCATTCCAAGTACTGAACACCCAGGTTACCGACAGAACCGTGCACACACCCTTACACACACATCCTTACACACACCCTTGTGCACACACACACCCTTGCACACACACCCCCCCTTACCCCTTACACACACACACACCCTTGTACACACACACACACACACACCATTGCACACACACACACACTCTTGCACACACACACACATCCTTACCCCCTTACCCCCCCCCCCCCCACACACACACACACACCCTTGTACACACACAGACACCACACGCACGCACACACACCCTTCTACACAGACACCTTACACACACACACACACCCTTACCCCTTACACACACACACGCACGCACACACACACACCCTTGTACACACACACAGAGACACCACACACGCACGCACGCACACACACCCTTGTACACACACAGACACACACACACACACACGTCGGCTCGATCCCCCCGGCCGGACGCTTTATACCGGTTGACGTTAAAAGTCGTACTTGTTGTTTCACTGCTTGTCGCTCGGCATAAAGAAGATATAAGAAGGACTGGTTGGCACTGAGTATGCTGTATCTGAGTGGGATATTCTCAATAGAGGCTCAATAGAGGCTGACGTTCATGGAAGATCAATGGCTCTGTTTGTTCTCATCTGAGGCATGCACAGTATTGTGCTCAGAGAATAGTGAGTGGACTGACGCTCTCTATTTCCTGTTTGTGAGTGAGCCAATGAGTATACAGTAACATCCATGTGATCAGTATTTCAGCTATATCACGGCGTGTCAGCTTGATGTGGGAGGAAAGATGGCCCAATCATTCCTTTGGCCTGCCATAAGCTTTTGATCTTGGTTTCCAATTCCAAAAGGTTTTCAGCATCTGTACTCGTGGATTTCACCAAGGTACGTACTGAAGTATGTTTGGTTTAACGCCCCCTTAAACAGTGTTTCGGTCATGTCACAGCGTGTTAGCATGGTGTGGGAAGTAAGACCAAAGGCCCCTACAGGCGTGTCGTAGTCAGGGGTGGAACATGTACGTGAATGTGCCAGCTGATGAACGATTTTGAACCGGATTCGATTCTGGTAGGGTGGAAAAAGAAGAGCACTTTTTACTATCGTGTCCTTTCTATTATAACAATCGGGGGCACGGGTGACCCAGTCGTCTAAGGCGCCGCGATTCGCTGTGCAGAGTTGCGTCCCCTGGACACGCCAGAAACCTATGATTGTTGGTTCGAATCCCGGTTCGCCCCGATTATGTTTCTAGGTTTGACAGCACCATACCCGTACTCGTGGGTTTCACCGAAGTGGTAAACGTCTGAGACCTGCATCACTTCGGGCTTTCCTCCCACATCAAGCTGACACGCCGTGATATAACTGGAATACTGTTAAAAGCGGCGTTAAACCCAACTCACTCACTCACTATTATAACAATCGAACCATAGAGTTCAGAAATCAATGACCCGGAATTGAATGGCAAAACTAACCTTGAAAAATCAATTACGAATCCCTTAAAAGAATATATAAATGCAATGGGCGATTATTTTGTTCCAAAGGACAATAACTCCCCTTTTGAAATGATATAAGCGACGGTACAACTTGATTGATACACTCAGGCGATGTATCTATCACAGTACGTACAGATTAACTCTTTGTCATGCAGGTTATCAATAGGTTCAACTGATGACAGGTTTCTCTCCTGTAACGATCGTAGTAGACATTTTGATCGTCTATTTACTGGTTTGATGTGAGTTCGAATATCTGCATTAAAATCTCCCAAGATTGTTTTTCTTTTTTAACATTTTTTCATATTCAACTCAGTACGGGTATACAGCATACGGGGGCACGGGTGGCCCGATTCGCTGTGCAGAGTTGCGTCCCTTGGGCACGCCAGAAACCTATGATTGTGGGTTCGAATCCCGGTTCGCCCTGATTATGTTTCTAGGTTTGTCAGCACCATACCCGTGCTCGTGGGTTTCACCGAAGTGGTAAACGTCTGAGACCTGCATCACTTCGGGCTTTCCTCCCACATTAAGCTGACACGCCGTGATATAACTGAAATACTGTTAAAAGCGGCGTTAAACCAAACTCACTCACTCACTCACTCACCATACAGCATACCTCGGCGATATACAGTGTAACTCACATTTCAAAAGCATGTTGGACAGAATATCATGGGATAAGGTAAATGATATCTAATACCGGTGCATTGTATTTTGTTACATTCGTAGAAATTGTTCTAGCCATTTTCTTTCTAACTTTGCAAAAATTATTTTTCTAGCCACATATTTTCCACTGGTACAGTATCCCCAATAATTCCAAAGATTGTCTCTAGATGAAGTTTACTGTTTTTAATACTTTAAATGTAGATATATCTTTAAGCAGACAAAATCATATTATTCATAAAATTATTTTCCAACAATATTGGAAAATTTCGAGAGAGTCATGTCTATATCCAAGTGTGTTTTAACATAACGACAACTCATTCCAAAATCCCTTCACGTGTTCACAGTATACAAAGAGATGTCTCCTATTTTCAGGCTCATTCTCAAAGAAAGTACATACATTTGTATCTACTATCCTCATCAGTTGCAGTTCCTTTTTGGTGTGTGTTAGTTGGTGAATAAATCTGAATTGAAAGTAAAGCACCTTTTGTGCATCTTCTAAAATCAGTAACTATATTATTCTAACTATACTGTTCCCTGAAAGTCCGGAAAATATTGTTTGTGAGTGAAAACATATAAGTTACAGAAACACCAATATTCTTGTTTAACATCAAATTGCATAAAATGAACGGTATTTAGTAAAATATGAAATTTCGGCAAAGTCTTACAAAGACCTATTACGAAATTTTGGTATATTTTACTAGGCTTTAAATTAAGCCCATCGCCACAAACAGAATATACACATTTAATTGTAACTGACCTTTCAAACTTATATATATTTGAGGCGACTTACTGTTCGTTTATGTCAGAGCATGGAAACACTCGCAAGGTGGTATGAATAATATCAGTATCAGAGATGTGACTGTTCACTGTACTACATATACCTCTTTGCATCTCAACTGGGTAATTACCGTTGTAGAGACTTAAGGACGTGGCCGACAACGGAGAAATATGAATGTTGTTCTTTCTTTTACATTCGAAAGTGTTTGCTCTTTTTTCGTTAAGCGTCTACATCCGCCATGATGAAGGTTGTCGTCGGCTTTGCTTTAATGATTCTCCTGGCTGGACAAAGTCAGCAGCAATCTTCTAAAGAAGGTGAGTTATACAGGGCTAAGCTTATTCCTTTTTCTTTTATGTGCTCTATGACAGTAACTGTTCCCTTAGGCCATGTTTCAGTATTAGAACTATTCAGATGTGTGGTGTGTCAAGTGATATCCTTATCTTGTGCTTTGTTAAAATTATTAGGGTTCTGTTACGCCAGGTGTCCCTCTAACATCCTGTCAATATTAGTACTATTAGAACTATCTTGCAATGATAAGGAAGTGCTCTTACGAAATTCACGAGGAACTAGAGACCTTTCTTTTACCCGAAAATCGGCGCAGGGAGGGATCCCTGCTCATGTCGCGATACCAGGGTGTTTCATATGGCCATCATGCAGCGAGTGTTGTCAGGTGCACGATATACGTTAGCTGAAGTGCTAAGGCTTTTCGGTTCTTGTTTAGACATATTCTCTTCTCCAGACTGTAAACTGGAGCCAGTACCAGGACCTTGTAGGGCTTCATTCCAAAGGTTCTACTTCAACCCTTCATGCCAGGAGTGTGAAACATTTACATACGGCGGCTGTGGTGGCAACGCTAACAACTTCGAGACCATCGAAGACTGTAAGAAAACCTGTTTCCAAGGTAATACTTACATTATACAAAGTCATGCCACATTGCATTACGTTTTCCTTAAATCCTGTTTCTTTATGTTATGTTTCCTCCTAGTATTCTTATGTGTGGAGTGAAAAATGGCCACACTACAGAATGGTTCTCTTCTGATCATGCCAGGTATTATGATATGCGCGATTAACCCGTGATCCGGGGTAGAATAGGTCTTCAGCAACCCATGTTTGCCGTAAAATGCGACTATGCTTGTCGTAGGAGGCGACTAATGGGATCGGGTGGTCAGGATCGCTGACTTGGTTGATACATGTCATCGTATTACAATCGCGTGGATCATGACGTCAATCACTGAATTGTCTGGTCCAGATTCGATTGTAATACAGACCGCCGTCATATAGCTGGAATACTGCTGAGTGCGGCGTTAAACAACCAAATAATATGCCCGACTACACTGTTCATGTCCTGCTAATATGTGTGCTAGGTTGTCCTGTTTCCAGTATAACGATTTTGTACAGATCCATTTAAACCAACCTTGAAAGACATCTATTTCTACTTCATTCAGTCTGCAAACTGAAACCAGAAGTCGGACACTGCAGGGCGCGAATACGTCGGTTCTTCTACGACCCCGACGCCGAAAAGTGTCAGACGTTTTACTTCGGAGGCTGCGGTGGCAACGCTAACAACTTCGAGACCATCAAAGACTGTGAGAAAACCTGTATCCCAGGTAATACTTACATTATACAAAGTCATGACACATTGCATTACGTTTTCACTAGGCATGTTTGGGTGTGTAATATACCAAATGACTACCTTGGTATGTTCCTTCCAGTAATCATATTAGTGATGTGTGGCATGGAAGATGGCCACATCACATTATTTTGTCTGCCAGGAATTGTGATATACCCGATTCTACTGTTGATGTCCTGTTACTTTGTGTACAAGGTTGTCTTGTGGTTGACAGATGTCTGCGAACTTAAACCAGAAGTCGGACGCTGCAGGGCGCGGAAACGTCGGTTCCACTACGACCCTGAAACCCAAAAGTGTAAGAAGTTTTACTACGGAGGCTGCGGTGGCAACGCTAACAACTTCGAGACCATCAAAGACTGTGAGAAAACCTGTATCCCAGGTAATACTTACATTATACAAAGTCATGACACATTGCATTACGTTTTCACTAGGCATGTTTGGGTGTGTAATATACCAAATGACTACCTTGGTATGTTCCTTCCAGTAATCATATTAGTGATGTGTGGCATGGAAGATGGCCACATCACATTATTTTGTCTGCCAGGAATTGTGATATACCCGATTCTACTGTTGATGTCCTGTTAATATGTGTACAAGGTTGTCTTGTGGTTGACAGATGTCTGCGAACTTAAACCAGAAGTCGGACGCTGCAGGGCGCGGAAACGTCGGTTCTACTACGACCCTGAAACCCAAAAGTGTAAGAAGTTTTACTACGGCGGCTGTGGTGGGAACGCTAACAACTTCAAGACCAGGCGCGCCTGTAGGAAAAGATGCGTCTGACCTGTTATTCAAATAAAATCTCGATATCCGATAGAGCTTTCCTGTAATGTTTATCAGGATAGGGTACTATATACCAAATGGGTACCCCAGAGGGTGTGTTGAATATAAATCTTGACGTGTGATATTGGTTTACTGTTATTCCAATCACGCCACAGACGAAGGGCGGTGGGGTAGCCTAGTGGATAAAGTTGGCTCGTCACGCCAGAAATCCAGGTTCGATTCCTTTCATGGGTACCATGTGTGAAGCTCATTTCCGATGTCCCCTTCCGTGATATTGCTAAAAGCGGCGTAACACGGCGTAGTCGGTACATGTGGATACATATGGATCGGATGACCAACTTGTACTCTGACTATGAAAAAAACCTACGACTACTTTGTGCATCAAAATCTTTGACTCTACTTGTAAATGCTATTCCAACGTTTTGATCGGTTTGTCGGTTTGATTACTCCGAACCCGAATCGCCAAGAAAGGTCTCTCAGATTACAGAATTACATAACTGTACATGTAATTCAGCAATCTGATGCTCTATCGTGAGACCCGCCCCCTTGGTCAAATGCCTGCCCGGAGAGTGGAGGGTCGGTGGTGCGAACCCACGCAGCGTCATAAAAAAAGACTCCCAAATTCACAAGAGGAGGTGCTATTAACTCTTTGAAATTTGATAAAACCGCAGAATTCAGAATTTTTGTAAAGATGCTAATGATAGTTTTGTCCCATATCTTACAGTGCTGTTTAATATGTTGTTTGATAATGCCCACTTTCCTATAATTACATTCAAGTGTATTATCCAGAGTATACATCAGTAATTTTAAGGTTAGGGTGTATGGCTTGTTTATCGATTTGCAATAGCTGTTGAGAGTTTAAATCGGATGAAATTATGGTCAGTACTCGTAAATAGAGGTGTTTCTTGCAAAAATGATTGAAGCTATACAGTCTATTTGTACAGTTATTTTAAGGCTAGCGTGAAGTTTAAAGATTCATTTTCTTAAATGTTACGGAGTCCAAGAGGAGTACGTCAGGGTTGTGTATTAGGCCCCCTCTTATTCGCGATGTTCATTAACGAACTAGCTGCTGAAGTTGAACAGAATTCTGGACCAGGAATAGAACTTCATCCTGATATTACAGAGATATTCCTGTTATTGTTTGCAGACGATATAATTCTAATCTCAGATACCATATGTAGACATAATAGCTTATTGATGTTCTAGAAAAGTATTGTAATGATTATGATTAGGACGTCAATTTGGATAAAACAAAGATGGTTGAATTTAAGAAAGGTGGAGTGTTGTCAAGAAAATAGATTTGGTACTATAAAGGTATAAAGTTGAAGTGTGTCTTCTTATAAGTATTTGGGCGTTACTTTTACGAGAAGACTGTCCTGGTCAAGTCGTTAGTCTAATGCTGGTTTACATCGGGAAAAGGCAATGTTTGGAATTTTAAGGCCATTGACAAAATTACATCCTCTTTGACAAGACTTAGTCCCAATTTTGCTCTATGGTTCCGAGGTTAATAAAAAATTGAGAGTGGCGCCTGCTCGGTTTAGATGTTTTTCGCATCAGCTTCGTGTTGAAACTGGGAGATACGCTAATTTCCCACGTGACAGAAGATAATGTTGTGCTTGTGATGTTGGGTGTGTGGAGATATGTGTTGGTTTGCCCCGGTTATAACAAGTTACTGGTGCATCACTTACCAAAGAATTTTTGTGAAAATCCAACCCATCAAAAAAATAATATCATTATGTCTACAACTGACTGAAAATTAAAAAAACGTCTATTTCTATCAAGCGGCTTCGTATTACATTATTGTCAGAACAATAAGATCTGTTCACATGACTATCCATTGTAGTACAAATTTAACCATTGGCCAATGGCCTACACTTACGAAATAAACCGAAGTGAATACCGAATTGAACAAAAGACGGTAAAGACGTACTTCTTGTTACTCTGCCTTACGCTCGGCATTAAAGGGGCTAAAACAAGGACTGGTCTTATGTACGGTGTCACTTTACTGTGCCGGAGTGGCGTCTCCATGTTAAACCACAGCATGGAACCTGTACAGTCCACAATTGTCCAAGAGCAAGCTACACAAACACACCCACACGTACATTAACATCGCTATATAAGAGCAATGATCTCGATGCTAAAACCCAATTTCACCTCTAACTCATGTGGACTCGAAACAAGAGCTTTACGCAACGCACTTATGATAGAATTCTGTGAATTTAACTATTAAATATTTTGTGATATTTATATTGTTTTTAAAGGCTCAGAGAATAATATAACGATGTTCATGTTAGAGTTTGTTGATGAGAAAAACTAAAGACAGGCTAAATATATCTTTGTTCATGGCTCTTATTCCCTATAAGTCTTCGACTATGCATTGGAAAGACCAACCCGTGAAAGAGCTTGCCGCAAATACATCAGCGGCAGGGAACACATGTCACATCCATCACGAAAGGGCGATTCACACAGCACAAAGGACCCGTGTAGATCCGAGTTAGAATAGGTCTTCAGCCAACCCATGCTTGCAGTAACATTGACTATGGTTGTCGGGAGAGGCGACGAACGGGATCGGGTGGTCAGACTCGCTGTCATGGTTTATTAAGTGTCTTCGTATCCCAATTGTGTAGATCGATGCTCATGATGTCAGTCACTGGACTGTTTGGTCCAGACTAGACTATTTATTGAAAATTTGTCAAACAACAAACAAACAAAATATACTACAAAGAGTTTTCGTTCAAATAGTATCGACAAAATGTTTTGTCAAAGTCCAAACAGAGGGATCTGTTTTTAGTTAAAGAAAATACTCGGTAACTATCGGCCTGTGTCCATGAATCTGCGGGGATCGGTGAATCTCATTCACGAACTGACAGTTACGAGCAGGTTCTCCTTAACAGTCAACAAATAGACACATGCAGAGCAGAATAATCTGGCGATTTGTTTACAATCTTGGAATATAAACACGAAATGTATCTCAATTATAAGAATAGGTTTTCAGCAACCCATGCTTGTCGTAAGAGGCGACTAATGGGATCGGGTGGTCAGGCTCGCTGACTTGGTTGGTGCATGTCATCGTATCCCAATTGCGTAGATCGATGCTCATTATGTCAATCACTGGATTGTCTGGTCCAGACTCGATTATTTACCGACCGCCGTCATTTAGCTGGAATATTGCTGAGTGCGGCGTTTAACAACAAGCAAAAAAATGTTTATATTTATAAGTAAGGGTTCTGTGTAAACGCAATGATGCCCTCACGCAGGGAGTCTATACGGGTCTTCTTATATGGACTACAGTAAACTACGGTTATAACGAACACGCTTATAACGAACTGACGGATATAACGAACTTACTTTTGGGTCCCGACTATTTGCTGTTGTTATACTGTATATATGCTTATAACGAACTACGGTTATAACGAACTAAAATTAGTAGTCCCTTTGAGTTCGTTATAACCATACTTTACTGTACTTGCAAGATATAAAGACGACTTCTGTGTGTGGCAAAAAAAAAGAAGTATACAGGTAGAGACACGTATCATCAATTTTGGCGAGGTATTTCCATACACAAAATGTTACCTTTGCTGTTTTTATCTATGACACTTGAAACGCGCCTTACAAAAACAAAACAAAATTGTTTTCGCTCTATTCCATTGTCACACACACTATCGCATCGGTCACAAACTATCTAGCCATTTAACTATCGATTAAATAGGCGCAACCAGCGCATGTTGTCATGACAAAGCCAGTATTGATCAACAGTCATGGTGGGGATTACATGAAGACAGATTATATTAAGTGTTACTATTACGTATTTGTCACACGTACTCAAAGCTACACCAGAGGGAGATTGTTCCTTACCGGTTGCACATATCTCACAAGGGTCTCTTGTGAAAATCTGCTGGTTTTGTTGGTTCTCAACTTAGGCAACCCATCAAACAGGTTCACATATCTTCAGAAATGATCCTTTAACAGATCACGGTAGAGTGAGTGAGTGAGTGAGTATGGTTTTACGCCGCTTTTAGCAATATTCCAGCAATATCACGGCGAGGGACACCAGAAATGGGCTTCACACATTGTACCCATGTCGGGAATCGAACCCGGGTCTTCTGCGTGACGAGCGAACGCTTTAACCACTAGGCTACCCGACCGCCCCAGATCACGGTAGAGGCCAGACAGTTTTCTATAACCACGTGCAGCATGTACATAACATGTACTCACTTATGCCTGTTCAATTTGAATATAAGTCTGGTTCCAATGCAATTACAGCGTTTTATACACGTTGTGCAACCATTGCACATGCACAAATAATATTTGCTGCTTTCTTCCGTGAAAGATATGCGGTTCGCCAACACTTATTGTTTGAATTAGTGATCTGAAGGCACGTGCTGGTTTTGCAATTTCGCCATCAAAAGACTGTGGGGCATGCACGTCAAGATTATATACGTGCTGTATGGGTTATAATCAGAATGACACCCACGGTCCGAATGGTTCAATTTCATGGTTACATGGCGTTTGTGTGAACAAACATGATCAACAGGTATTCTAACATGGGGAGAAAATCACAAATAAACAAACGGGTTGCCACTCAGAACATATTACCACCGTTTCCACGTCACATCAAGGATGGTTGACATTTTACGATTTGAGGGATGGCAATGTTCAGCACCAGGTGCGAGACACACGTACCAAATGATATACACACGGATACAGACTGTGACAGAGGAGGTGCCAAACAGCCTACAGATATAACTGTTATCTGGTCCTTGCTAATCAAACGCACGTGTGCATATTTATTAACCCTTACTGCACTTAGATCGATTTTAATAGCGTCGTGAAGTTTTTATCTAAATAACGATTTACTCTCATTTGTCGATTTGTCATTGCGTCCTTACATGAAATCCTGAAATGTTGTTATAAGCATATGCTATGTTGTAGCCATCATTTGAAATCGTACCCGATAAGGATTTTATGAAGATATTGTCAGATGTCATAGTTTTTTCAAAAACTCTAACTACTAAAATCATAGTAAACAACCAGTCTTGGTAAAAGCAGGTTCCATACGGCACACATTTCTTTGCAGTACTTCATTATTTTCCACACACATATCAATCCCATGCAGAAATGTCAAATTCAGTTTTGGTATTAATTTTGTATTTACGATTTTATTACTTTTGCGTTTCTTCTTTTGCAGAGTATATAAGAAAAATACATTTTAACATATAATCATTTACCCCCGCGACGAGCCATATTGAGTCGAGACCACCCTCATACCTATGACATGTCACGAGGACAAAGAACAAATGGTATTTGGTGTTGCAGAGGTACCTTGTTTTCTTATAAGTTGTAATCATGTTCTACCTTCAATAAACAACCCGGTTCGAAACATTTATTTTCAGAGGTTTGTCTGAACCATACGGGCCGTGCTAGTGGTAAACGTCTGAGACCTGCATCACTTCGGGCTTTCCCTCCATTAATTAAGCTGACGCGCCGTGATATAACTGGAATACTGTTAGAAGCGGCATTGAACCCAGATCACTCACTCAAGAGAGAAACGTTTGGATCCCTTGAAGAAGTGACACAAACTGTAGAGCCCTACATATTTCTGCTCGGCAGTGTATAACATGGAGGTGTGTGACTGTGCACTGTAAAATAATATATCTCTTTTCAACTCAATTGGGCAATTACCATGGCATTATTAGGATGTTTATGGACGTGGCTCACTAGTGAGAAATATCGTCTTGTTGTTTTAGTGACATACAAAACCGTCTGCTCTTTATTCGTTAAGAGTCCACATCTGCCAAGGTTGTCGTCTGCTTTGCTTGTGTTTGTGTGACCTCCTGTTTGACTGTTTCGTAGCACGCAAGGGTTAATGGAACACGCTATAAACAGTCACACATTGGTGTGCATTATAACCGAATGTTAGACTGTACATCTATAAATATCTCAATTGAGTAATTACCATGGGCAGATATGAAAGACCAGATGTGCATGGATGTGTCGGACTATAGAGATACATAATGCGGTTTCAGTCAAATGCCAAACCATATCCTCTTGATTCGTGAAGCATCTACCATGATGAAGGTTATCGTCTGCTTAGCTGTTGTGGCATTCCTGGCTGGACAAAGTCATCAGCAATCTTCTGATGAAGGTAAGTTATACAGAGTGAGGGCTAGAATGCGCGATATAACAGTTCCCTTACGTCATGTTTAAATACTAGTACTGTCCAGATGTGTGGCATGACACATGTTCCCTAACATCATGTTTCAACGGTGTGTCACAGCGACCATCTTTTTGTTAAAATATTACCTTTGTGTTTTGTATTGCATATTCTAAGATGCTTTGTTGAAAGATCATAGCGGCCGACAGTACTTTATGTTGCGATTAAAGTACACTTTTGAGTTACTTCATAATGGGCTGACGTCACGACGCTGTTCAATATTACCTCCCGTGTAAATCTAACGTATCCTTGGTAACGCTGTTCCATCATTTTTGTCAATCAATCCACATCAGTAACCGAGCGGTGGATTAGTTACTTTAAAGATGTGAAAAAAATTGAATATAATTGCCTGAGAAGAAATATAGCAAAATGACAGCAAGCATCTCCCAGGCTTCATGCATACAAACAACGGTGTCCGTGTCAACGCCATCGGATCGTGTAGTGCAACCAACTCCATATCATGACTTGCAGTCTGCAGTCTGCTAACATTAGCGGTGGAAACAAAGTTGCAACTTTTATATTCATAAAACACCTCAACTCGCAATAACCTGCGACACAGAACTTCGGCTTTGTTTTGTGTTAGACAGCTACAGCTTGTGTACATTGTGTTACGTTTTCGCATGTGTGGATGTGTGATATACCAAATAACAACTACTTTATATGGTTAACTTCTGGTAATATTAAACTTGTTGTGTTACTTGAATTACCTCCCTTGGATGTGTACTACGTCACGGCATGTGTGTTCATCCGTCGGACATGTAGAAGGACCAGTAAAAAACAGTCGCTCAACACTTAAACATTTTGTATGTTCTTTTTGGACCCACAAGTCTTATGCCATTGATATCAGCACGTAACATGTTTCTCTTCTGGTCTTGACAGGTATGGGGGCGGTCGGGTAGCCTAGTGGTTAAAGCGTTCGCTCGTCATGCCAAAAACCCGGGTTCGATTCCCGACATGGGTACAATGTGTGAAGCCCATTTCTGGTGTCCCCCGCCCTGATATAGTGGAATATTGCTAAAAGCGGCGTAAAACCATATTCATTCACTTGACAGACAGGTATGGTGATATGCCACATTTTACTGTTCATGTACTGCTAATATGTGTGCTAGTTCGTCTTGTTGAGGTCAGGTGTCCGTGTTTCCAGTATAACGAATTTTAAGCAGATCTTGAAAGACATTACTTTCTAATTAATTCAGCCTGCAAGCTGAAGCGAGAAACCGGATTATGCAAGGCGTATTTCCCCTGGTACTACTTCAACTACAACTCTTGAATGACATCTATTCCTACTTCATTTAGTCTGCGACCTTAAACCAGAAGTCGGATTCTGCAGGGCGCGGAAACGTCGCTTCTTCTACGACCCTGGGACCCAAAAGTGTAAGAGGTTTATCTACGGCGGCTGTGGTGGCAACGCTAACAACTTCAAGAGCATCGCTGACTGTGAGAAAACCTGCGCTCCAGGTAAGACAGAGATTACATGCAACATTGGTTACGTTTTCATTACATCTAAAACGTCATTGCAAGAGAATCGCCAGTCTGTGTTATCCACCGAAACAGATTTCCTTCTGCCGTAAAGGGCAAAATAGCTGTGAAGATGATAGGAATGGACCACTGAAAATCAGTCAAGCATGTTTTGGTGTGTGACATACCAAATGGCTACCTTATATAATGTCTTACGCGAGTGGTGGTTTGAATGGAAGATGGCCACACTACAAAATTATGTTTCTTATGACCTTGCCAGGTAATGTGATATGCCCGATTAGACCCGTGAAGATCCGGGGTAGAATAGGTCTTCAGCAACCCATGCTTGCCGTAAAAGGCGACTAACGGGATCGGGTGGTCATGCTCGCTGACTTGGTTGATGAATGTCATCGATCCCAATTGCGTGGATCGATGCTCATGATATTAATCACTGGATTGTCTGGTCCAGATTCGATTATTTACAGACCGCCGTCAAATAGCTAGAATATTGCTGAGTGCGGCGTTAAACAACCAACCAACCAACTGTTCATGTACTGTTGATATGTGTGATAGGTTGTGTTGTGATGACCAGGTGGCCGGGATAATGAACCTGAACATTGAAACACAGATCCATTGAAATATTTAAACACGTCTATTTCCGGTTCATTCAGTCTGCAACCTGGAGCCAGAAAAAGGATTATGCAAGGCGTATTTCCATCGGTTCTACTTCAACCACGTCAGCCAAAAGTGTGAGACGTTTATCTACGGCGGCTGTGGTGGCAACGCCAACAACTTCAAGAGCATCGCCGACTGTGTGAAAACATGTACCTGACCTGTTACGTTAATAAAATCGTGACACCGATGGGGCTTCCTGTCATGATTATCATGTCCTTGGTCAGATGGGCACAAAACACGTGTGACTGTCTATACGCAATATTTAAGTCAAAAGTGTATATCGACGCCAATAACTTCGACGCCACGTGTCATAACAGCAAAGTATTCCAATACATAACAAGTGCAAAAGTGAGCGTGGCTCACTAATACCCCCGACCCGCCTAGTGTGTCAGTAGTTACAAATTAAATAGCTAGGATAGGGTTAGCCCCTTAGGGTTTGAAAAATTCATGAAAAAATGGAACATTAATCAAAACATTTTTTTTCTTTTGACTGCACCCCTCAATATGACACAGATTATATGTACTAAGTTTGAGATGAATCCACTGAAAAGTTAAAGAGAAATCGCGCGGACAAAGTTTTCGGACGGTTAGGGTTTGAAAAATTCATAAAAAAATGGAAAATTAATAAAAACATTTTTTTTCTTTTGACTGCACCCCTTCATATGACACAGATTATATGTACTAAGTTTGAGATGAATCCACTGAATAGTTTAAGAGAAATCGCGCGGACAAAGTTTTCGGACGGACGGACGGACGGACGGAATCTTGGTATAACTATATACCCCCGACATTTTGTATGAGGTATAAAAATACTTATGCTAAAAGCACGGGAGCACATACCAGAAGTAACAATAGGAAATTGCATCAGACATCGTTTTGGTCACTGTCCTCCGCAAGTTTGGAAATGCCCTTGACATGTCTACCATAAAAAGTAAACGTAAAAGTTTCAAAATGTAAAAATCTTGGAAAAATGAAGAACCATCAGTGAAAATATAATATAAATACATGTTGTTGCCATGGGTTCAGGGTTAGAATTGGTACCAAGCAACCTTATCTATGTTAGTCTTTCGAGGTAACGTATGATGAAGCTCGGTGATTTGGGTGATAGTTTGGCGACGTACATTGGACCCCGAAGGCGAGGATCTTTGCTCATAATATCAATAACTGGTGTGTCGGGTCGAGTCTTGATTATTTACAAGAATCCGCCGTCATATACCTGTAATAATGCTGAGTATGGCGTTAAACAAAAAGATCCAGCTTGAATTTGTAAACAAAAATAATTATTTTGGTCACTCAGAGTCAGAGGTTTCAAATCACAGTAACAACCTCTGAGTGAAACCACATCACCGCAATAACCAGTGTTATAGAAATGTTATCTTCTTCAGTCATTGTCGATGGACATTTTGTAACTGCCCTACATTTCACAATACAGTTTAGCCCGCTAACCTATCTGTAAATTTAAAACACAGTATGTGTATCCCCTAAAAACATATACAACATTTTGTTCTGTAAGTCTTCAAAGTCCATTTCTGGTTGATTAGATACCAAACATATAATCCTAATACACCAAAGAGCAACTACCATTTGATGCATTCGTTACAAAGCCACTTGAATATTTTCACGGTAGGACAAACATCATACTAATTCCGTATCTAGAACATTATCAGATTCATTATTCTAAATATCAGTTAAATTTATATTTCTGTCTGATGCAAAACAAAACTTCAAACTGAGGGTTTCTTTGAAAAAGTTTATCATTATTATTTTGAACAGGGCGACATATACATAGAGAAGAACAGCAGTATTCAGAGGTGCTTTGTGGTTCATCATACTATTTGCTTGAGATGACGTTACGAGTCACCATTATTATCAATTTGTTAATAGTCCAATGTCAATATTTCTGTAAAATTGTAATTTGGGGATACATTCATAGGACTTCAAAGTAAATCCTATAAATGCTGGTACAGGGGATACAGTGTCGCCAATGTTTCTGAACACAGAGAAAGTCTTGTGGTAAGTACACTCTTGGCATTTTACAACTACAACTACGGGACTTCCGTTTTAGCGCACCTGAGGTAGAAGTTTGAAATTTCCGCTTGGACAATCCTTCGTAAATCTCAAATAAATGGACTCATCTACACGCGGAGAAGCCAGATCAAGTAGAAAGAGAAACAATTTGGATAATTACATTGTAACAAAAGACATGAACAAAAGGTATCCATTAAAACTACGCAGCATTAGACGGAGATTGTTATTACAGTTTACCATGCCTCTTGTTTGGAAGGAAGAACTAGAAGGAAATCCGAGCCGAAATTCCGACTCATGTACATTAAGAAACAGATCAGCAAGAAGGGGAATAATTGGTGCCCATGGGGATGCCTACTTTTTCCTAAATGTCCAAATTTCACACAGATGTTTTCAATGAGGGAAGTACAACAATTCACGTTTTTCCTCAGTAAAATTCTGAAAACATGAGCTTTCATTTTTGACAAATTGTTCTAATCAGCTTAACCTGGAGATTTAAATATTATCACCGCGTTTCAAATGCCCCACGAATCAATGAGTGAAGTTTCCCTTTAGCTTGTGTGGGATAGTGGTGTACAAAGTTGAAAAATGATGTTTTGACAGAACATGAGAGAGAGAGAGAGAGAGAGAGAGAGAGAGAGATGTCGTTTAAAGTATGGAAACTTAAACCAGTACAATGGGCATGTGGTCGACAAGACTTGATAGTCGACTGGCTACCCACACCATAGTTCTGACACCTGCATTTTCTCCAAAGATTTGAAACCAATATGTCAAACAGATTTCAAGAACAGTCAGCTCAAGTCAATTCTGAAATTCAAGAATTCTCTGGTATCTTTGAAGATTTAATTAAATACTATCTATGCCAGAATAAAATGAGCATATTTATGGTTGTCATGATGTATATATGTGGGAGATAATTTATTTCAATTTGATGTTCTATTGTAATGATTAATTATGTTGAATTGTATTATGTACTAAAGGCCTGTGGCCTCTTGAGTACGAAATAAAGATTGATCAAGACTGTTATGTACTATAGTTTCCAATGACGAGATGAAACGAGTTACTTGCCTCTGCTCGGTTCCTTATTGCAACTATTTCGCTAAACCAAACATGGTATACACTTGAATGGATAGCCTATAATATAAGTCACTGTGAAGTATGTCAGCGGTTATGGCAGAGGAGGCCAAGTGAGCAATTCCAATCATGGGGAATCGAAAATCGGAGGTTGAGGCAGTTCCATTCACTCAGTCATCAACAGATTTCCGAAATGCATCAACAGTTATTGAGACAGATCGTATTGTAACGTCGGTCATGGTTTCCATATTCAAGATGCCGTATCTACGGAGGTCGCTATGAGAGAAGTTGTATATCCTAGTGGGTGTCTCTTCTGCCCTTAGGTACACTAGAAACCTATGATCGTGGGCTCGAATCCCTGTCCGCGCAGATTATGTTTCTTGGTTTGTCAGCACCATACATGTGCTTGTGGGTTTCACCAAAACGTCTAAGACCTGCATCACTTCTGGTCTTCCCACCCACTTCAAGCTGAAACGTAGTGATAGGACTGGAATACTGTTTAAAACGGCTTTAAGCCCAACTCACTCACTCACGCTCTAACCCAACTCACTCACTCCCGCTCTCACTGTTTATGCTGCAGCAACAATACTGAAGGTAATCGAACAATATTTAGGTATTTCATACGTGTGATAGTCAAGAGGGTGTCGGTTTAAGAAGCACCTTTCCCATCTTCCCGAGGCAAGAGAGTTAACTGACTTTAAAAGTCAAGTTTCCACCTTTGTCGAACTAGGATGGATTTCCTGGTCTCGATCGTAGCACCACCAGTGGCTATTACAAGTTATGTTCCTTCTATGCTTCGCCTATGGACCAATCAGATTCCACCTCTCGTATCACTTGCATTTGCTTCAAACAAAATGGCAGCGCCCAGTCACGACGATCAGATCGATAATCAAGATGTGAATTGTAATAAAACGGGTCTTACATCGCCAAGTGCATCAAGTCACGCGAGCACCTTCATTAAAAACATGAAAAGATTTGAAAAATATGTGTTGACAACGAGTTGGCGGTGCACATGCTTTGCAAATCCTGCAATCGACCAAAATCTGCATCACAGTTTACGAACAGGATTTCGATTTGATTGGACTAATCATAGACTCGTTAGTCCAGCCAAAATGTAACTCCATAATACCAGCCTAGTTCAGCAAGGGTGGAAACTGGACTTCAGTTAACTCATTTGCCTCGGGAAGATGCTCCTTTCCTTACTTAAATGGCACATCTATCGAATTATGTTTGTTTGCTATTGGTCAATTACTTGTGAAATGAACAGTGCAAAATGATGTGTTAAATAAAAAACCTGGCTATCAGGCAATTACAAGAAACTTTGTGAACTGTGGGATAAGGAGAAAGCATATGTACGACGTGATAGGGCGGCCATATTAGAACGAAGATTATACAGGCCTTTTTCAGGTGTCTCTTCCCACGATAAGCTAACTTGTCATAACACCACCAAGAAACGGTTCAACACACCTGCGGCCATGTTGAAGTGTCTTCTCTGCTTGTTGTTTGTGGGACTCCTGACTGCGCCAAGCTGGCAACAGTCCATGGATCAAAGTAAGACACCCTAGACATCAAACAGTATCACGAGTATACATTGAGGCTTCATGACGGGGTGTTTTTATTTCTCATTCATATGTGACGAAGATAAGTGTTATATTTACAAGGTTTGTTAAACTGCCCTACAATCATCTCCTACGACTGCCTAATCTTCGGGGATGTGTGATTTAATGACATAAGAAGTAAATAATTACTGACAACGGTTTACCGAGATTTTGTGCTCAAAGGATAGAGAGATTACTGCACGAGTTGTGATATAAATGGTAGAGCTATAACTGTTACTTAAACACACTAGCTTGGGCAACTTTTAGCATCGAATCGATGCCTATCTTCATATTGCAGTGGCGCTTTAATACATAACACAACGGTCATGACTGACGACAACCGGCTGACAGCTTACAACTCAAACCTTGTGTGACCCTCCACTAAAACGTTTCCGCCACATCTGTCGATAATCAATGGGATAAGAATAATGAAAACAAGATAAGATCTAGAAACATTCACAACACACTCTCAAACCATAAAGTTGCGACACAGAGGCAGGTGACTTCGACCGAAAAGAAACGCATTTATGAATTACAACTTTGAAAGTAGTCCGTCATATTCTGACGTAGTTCATCACAATGGAGTAGCCACTCACGGACCTAGAATTCGATCTCACACAAATAGTTGATACCAGTTAACCCAAGTGTGTTCTCGACCACAGGTGTGTAAGAAATGTCGATCAGGTCCGAAGAAACGTAAACTACACATGTGCGAGTGCGATTCTATAATTTTATCTGCGCAGATGTGAGTTTTTCTTCACTATAATTAACACACGGGCAAACTGATTGCTGAATCTCGCAATCATAAAATGAGTGAGATTTTACGCTGCTACAATTAATGTTACTTGTGCTGTCCCATTGGGGCTTACCTTAAGACATTCCTAATGCAGGATAATGAAATTTGTGAATAGCTATGGTCAGCAGGAAAATCAATTCTAAATAATCAAATTAAAAAACTTTACATAGTATCCTGTACATGCACAAACGTATTGAAACTCTAACGACTGTAGGGTGTTTTTTTAGGAAATCTATTCTTCCGTTGCTGATGCCATATGCACACGATGCGTCAGTTTCATACGTTCAGTTGTTTCCGATATGTACGGTAATGAGTAGGGAAGTGTAGAAAATACCAAACAAAAAACATCTCATACAATTTCCCACTGACATGTGCAGGAATGGTTAAGAAAAAGAGACGTTTTCAATAAGGCTACCATTGCTCGGATCATCCGCATGATAATTGATTATTTCAATAGCCAACAAGGATACAACCCATCATTCAATGAGTCACTCTCACTCACGCACCTACCCCTGGGGATTCGGATAATACAGATACCTAGCAGACTATGCTTGTTGTAAGGGGCGACTAAACGCATCAGGTGGTCTGACTTGGTTGACGGCATGTCATCGTATACCAGTATTGCGTGGATAGATGCTCGTGATGTCAATCACTGGATTACCTGGTCCACACTTGATTATTAACAGACCACCGCCATATAGCTGGAATATTGCTGGGTGCGGCGTTAATCAAAAAATACTCACGCACCTGTTTCAGTGAACACAATCTTGTTGCAGCCTGTCACATGAAGCCGGAGACGGGGATGTGCAAGGGGCTGTTCCGCCGCTTCCACTACAACGCCGACACCAATCTGTGCGAGATGTTCATCTACGGCGGATGTGGCGGCAATGGCAACAATTTCCTCAATATCGCCGAATGTGAGAAAACCTGTCATGCCATAAAAGTATGAAATGCGTTGACTGAACCCCGCTTAACAAGAATAGTACAATCTGCCAAACAAATGTTTTGTTTTCTCTACTTCATTGAAAAGATATCAAACTTTTCTACGAATACCAAACCTCTATTACACCATTACCAGAATATCCAGAGGGATTGGTGGGGTCTAACATCTACTACTAGATCGAGGGCAACTGGCAGCATTTCTTATCAATAATGGATAATACCACAGACTCTGAAAACCATGATGATGATGATGATGTTTGTTGTTTTACGCCGCACTCAGCAATATTCCAGCTCTATGACGGCGGTCTGTAAATACTTGAATCTCGACAAGACAATCCAGAGACTGATACCAAGCGCATCGATCCACGCAATTGGGATACGATGACATGCATCAACCAAGTCAGCGAGACTGACCATCCGATCCCGTTATACGGCAAGCATGGTTTGCTAAAGACCTATTCTGCCCAAGATCTTCACTGGTAGAAACCACCATGTAGTCTGATCAGAGCATAACCTCTTGAAGGCCCAGTACTTGATAATTCCACTGAATTACCGCTATATTACGTTCAAATGACAAGTAAAACCAGTGATAATATTAGGGAGTAATACGCTAGGCCCTCACCCAGCTGATCCATTTGGAAACCAACTGCGACAAACATAGGTCACATGAGACCTAACCCAACAGTATCCCTACTGACAAACTCGTTGCAAGCTGTAAGGAAACACAAGAAAAACCATAGCCCAGTTTTTAGTTACATCATTGCGTATCTGCTTAATACAGGAAAGCCCACAGTGATGCAGGTTCTTGATCTGTTTGCCTTTCTACTGGAACTCACAAGCATGAGGAGTGTTGTGTGTACACACCAAGCATAATCAATACTTGGATTCAAACACACGAGTGAGTGAGTGAGTTTGGTTTAACACCGCTTTTATTCCAGTTATATCACGGCGTGTCAGCTTAATGTGGGAGGAGAGGAAAGCCCGAAGTGATGCAGGTCTCAGATGTTTACCACTTCGGCGAAACCCAGGAGCACAGGTATGGTGTTGACGAACCCAGAAACATAATCGGGGCGTATTGTGATTCGAACCCTCAATCATAGGTTTCTGGTGTGCCCAAGGGACGCAACTCTGCATGGCGAATCATGGCACCTTAGACGACTGGGCCACCCGTGCCCCCTCAAACACACAAGAGGGTCCAGAAATGGGTTTCACATATTTGGCTCATGTGGAAAATCAGATCACAATACTTTGAGAGTATTAAGAGCCCCTCAAGTTGGGATTATTCAAGCTAATGTTCAGCTTGAAATTCAAAGGTCCAGTGGCCACCTACAGAGATGTCTAAACTAAAAGAGGAAGGGAACATGTAAAACTTTACCAGGGACAAATGGATGGGCATAAGCTCACTTTCAGTCAGGAGAGCTAAACAAGATCAGACACCACACGGATCTACAAATGACAAATAAAATGTCATTATATTGCCACATTCTCATTTATTGGATGTGGTACTTTAGACAGAATAAATGCAAAATTGGCTGTATTGGAGAGGGGTTGTGTGGGGGTTACACGGGTGGCTCGGTTGCCTCAGTAGCCGCCATTCACTGTGCAGAAACTTTTCGTATCCGAAATCATGTTTCTAGATTTGTAATCACCATCCCTGTGCTCTTGGGTTTCAGCAAAGTGGCAAGCGTCTAAGACTTCCACCACTTTGAGCCTTCCTTCAAAATTAAGCTGTGATATAACTAGAATGTGTCCCGTAAAAGGTGACTATGCTTGTCGTAAAAGGCGACTAACGGGATCGGATGGTCAGGCTCGCTGACTTGGTTAATGCATGTCATCGATCCCAATTGTGTGGATTGATGCTCATGATATTAATCACTGGATTGTTTGCTCCAGACTCGATTATTTACAGACATCCGTCATATAGCTGGAATATTGCTGAGTGCTGCGTTGGACAACCAACCAACCAACCAACTAGAATATTGTTAAAAGTGGCGTTAAACCCAACTCACTCTCACTGTACGGGAAGAATAAAGCAACATCTGAGGACGTTTATAAGCTTTAAATCCTGCATCCGAGTTGAGAAACCTACATCAGCGCAGAGGTTTCATTCCAAGGATAAGGATTCTAAATCCAATGGAAAATGTTTCATCCAACTTATAAAGCAACTTTTACACTTTAATATACTCTAAAATGATGAATATCTATGTACAGAATTAGATCCGACAACCAGATTGTCAATTTCACGTCTGCAACAAAACCTGGTCACAATTAATGATAATTCAGAAAAAAAACATATTTTATCAAACACTGCCAATAATAATTCACAACTCTCCAAAGAATGACTTCAAAATAGTTTCCTTCTGTTCATGATGCCCCAGTAACAAAAGTGTTTGCAAGTTGAGAATCATTAGCAACATATGTGATGTGAGGTGATAAGAAATTCGGTTTAACGTCGCGTCGAAGATTATTGCACTTATATAGCGACGTGCATGTACACGTGTGTGTGTGTGTGTGTGTGTGGTTGCTTGTACTTGTCCGGTCAATGCCGATTTATAGTGCTAGCCCACTGAGATACCATGCCGCAGTTTAACATGAATATCCCACTCAGACACAGTATACTGACTCCAAACCCACCAGTCCTTGTTTTAGCAACAACAAGAAAAGTCTTTTAACGTCTTCTTGTATGACGCGGCCGGGGATAGAACCCTGGACCTTCCGCTCTCCGGGCGAACGCTCTAGACCACGGAGGTGGTCAGCAAAATATGTAAGGGTTTGAATTTCAGAAACAGGAAACAGTTGACAGCCTGAGGTGATGCTGGTTTTAGAGGATTACCACTTTGGTAGAACCTAGGAGCATGGTGCTCCTGAACTTAGAAATATAAACACGGCGAAACGGGATTCGAACTCACTATACCCTGATTATGAGATATAACCTGCTTTGAGAGGTGAGGTGAAATTGGGTTTAACATCGCGTCCAAGATTATTGCAATTATATAGCGACGTGCATGCACGTGTGTGTGTGTATGTGGCTGCTTGTACTAGTCCGCACTGATGCCGATTTATAGTGCTAGCTCACTGAGATACCATGCCGCAGTTTAACATGAATACCCCGCTCAGACACAGTATACTGATTCCGAGCCGACCAGACCTTGTTTTAGCCCCTTAATGCCGAGCGCCAGACAAGGTAACAACAAGTACAACCTTTTAACGTCTTTTTGTATGACGCGGCCGGGGATTGAACCCTGGACCTTCCGCTCTACCACAAGACCACGGAGGCGGTCACCTGCTTTGAGAACAATTGGATGACTACACAGAAGGTTTATGAGTAAAAACATAATATTATATTATATATAATATATTACTGGCTATTGAATTTAACCTGTTGGGTCAAGCCTTGGATTGACCCTAGGTCAAGCCATGGGTCAAGTCATGGTCAAATCATGGATCAAGCCTTGGGTCAAGTCATGGGTCAAGCCTTGGGTCAAGTCATGAGTCAAGCCATAGGTCAAGCCTTGGGTAAAGTCATTGGTCAAGCCTTTGGTCAAGTCATGAGTCAAGCCTTGGGTCAAATCTTGGGTGAAGCCTTGGGTCAACACAAGTAGCTGATCAGCATAAAAGAACAACAGAATTTGGGTTTATTCAAGGTTTATCATATCATCATTTGAAATGAAAATAAATTAAAATTAGCACACACTGTACAAGTGACAACTGATGTACATAATTACACACACTGTATCTCTCTAGTCTTCTGTATTGCTTACAGACTGCATGGATAGAATATAATTTGTTATTTGACACAATTAGCACCACTGAAACATGATTGACCACAAAATATTTTCACCATCAAGTGGATCGCTCAGAACAGTGACATACAACATGATTAAAGTTTCACCTGATACAACAAAAGGATTATTTGAATATGAAGAAGCTTGCCAATAATCAAATTTCAAATGATGACTTCCAATCAGAGCCAATCAAACATCAACAGGTGAAGTAAGGACATACATATATTCATTACATTTATTTTTCTTCAGTCACTTTTACATCACAACTTTAAGTGTCTATTTGAAAGCAGAGATAGATCCAGAATGTTCTAAAGTAATGGTGTGTGGTGTGGAGACGTTTGAGTTCTCTCCAGTGATAGGTTTAAACTTTGAGGTATTGACTTCAATGGTGGGATGACGTAGGATGGACATCCACCACTATGACAGCATGATGACAGCACATTATCTTAAAACTTGCAACTCTCAAATCATGAACAAACCTATACCCACTCAACAATGGTTCTAACCAAGATCATTCATGAAGATGATCAAAAAACATGATGAAATACATACAATCTGGGTAAATCATTAAAATAAACCTTCATATATTATTAGTTCCAGATACTAAAATTAAAATTATTTGTATCTCCCAGTATTTTGTCTTTAATTTTTCATTGACTATTTTTATGAAGTATGTTTACTTTATTGGTAAACATAATAACCATCCTCAATGCATGATGTTCACGCAAAACATGCAATCACAATATTGCGTGCACATATAACTCATGAAACAATAAACTGTAATGAATGTGGCACACTCATTTCTATAGACAGGTTTTCTTTCCACTGTGACATACATATTTTTCTGATGAGTCTATTTGAAGCATATCACCCCTGCAAGAAATGCCATTTTGTCTAGTTTCCCATCTCTTCACTCTGGGCTGGGAAATGTCATTTCCACAAATGGGCAACTGTGTGTAATAAATGCATCTCCATGCTATGTAGAAGATTCTACATTGGCTAGTTCCTGCTTCTCGGACGCTGACAGCTTCATGTCATTTAGAGAAAGTTTAAAAATTCTACTCTGATGAATATATTACAGCTGATAGCCTCACAGGTACTGTCCTTTCATCTAGCACCTTGTATCAGAAATGAATGTTACAATGTTTTCCAATTTCAAACAAACCTCCCATTAGTCAATTGAGATAGAAAATTGCATATCTGTTTTTGCACCTTTAAGAATTATTGTGGCTACTCTATTATCAAGATGCTCTGAATATATTGAAATAATACACTTTTGGGTGTGTTCATTGTAATTCCTGCAGTCTGAGACCCGTGAATATCCGGGGTAGAATAGGTCTTCAGCAACCCATGGTTGCCGTAAAAGGCAATTATGCTTGTCGTAAGAGGATCGGGTGGTCAGGCTCACTGACTTGGTAGAAGCATGTTATCGATCCCAATTACGTGGATCGATGCTCATGTTATCAATCACTGGATTGTCTGGTCCAGACTTGATTATTTATAGACCCCTGTCATATAGCTGGAATATTGCTGAGTGCGACGTAAAACAAACCAACCTGCAGTGAGTCGGATGATTTCCCATTTCCCAATGAATGTAAAACATAATCCACACCCACCAACATGGACTACTTTCACCACATCGGTCTGTATCGGAATAGCTGTTTTCCTAACCTTTTCCTTGTTTAAGTATAGACTGTGTATTTGTTGTTGTTTCATTGAGGTATGAATAAAAAACAAAACAAAGTGCAAACCGTATGAATCTGAATAAAATAGTTAAACAGGGTCAGACATATAGGTGTACTGATACGTCATATAAGCAACATACTCATTTGTGTCAGCTTCTTTGCATTTAAAGTACTTAACTTGTTCAAAGACAATAATTCTCAAAATCATGATGGCCTAATCTAACTTCCAGTTGAAAATAAATAGTGCTAGTTTGTAGTCTATTGCCCTGGGGTTCTATTCTATATGGGAATCACCACAGGTTTGTCTATAGGAGTGAGTGAGTGAGTTGGGTTAAACGCCGCTTTTAACAGTATTCCAGTTATATCCTGGCATGTCAGCTTAATGTGGGAGGAAAGCCCGAAGTGATGCAGGTCTCAGACGTTTACCTCTTCGGTGAAACCCACGAGCACGGGTATGGTGCTGACAGACCTCGAAACATAATCAGGGCGAACCGGGATTCGAACCCACAATCATAGGTTTCTGGCGTGGCCAAGGGACGCAACTCTGCACAACGAATTGCGGCGCCTTAAACGACTGGGCTTACCATGAATCCTTGCCTATAAGAGATAGATTTAGATATATGCATGGCAGTTTGAGTTGCGAAGGAAACAAAAAACCATACCTGCAGACATTTATAATTTTGAAGGAGTGCCACTGATTTTTTCACATGATGACCTGGAATATTTGATTTCAAAACACAGCCCTTGAGTGATTTTTTTTCGTTGAGGTTACATAAGATAAAGAAGTCCTCAATATATGAATGACTTCAAATTAATTGAGTCCGTGGATAATGTGTGAATCACATGGATTATTTTCCATCAAAGGAATCTCTGATATATTTGTAGCGAGCCAGTTCCATCTCGGACACAGACGGAGTGAGCTGTCTCAGAGCTTCCAGGAAGTCAATCTCACACACCTCAATAACTGACTGGTCCACCTCTTCACCTGGAAACAAAACAGTCAACTAAAGCCACAAAAAAATGCAAATTTATTCTTGGTTATCAGATTTTTTGGGGGAAATTCCTGATATGTGTGGGAAATATAAATAAAAAAAACACATTTCAAATTACATTTTCTTCATAAAGTAATTTGCATATTATGCCATGTGTGCAGTTTTAGGGTTAACAAGTTTAATCTGTTGTATCCATGATAGCCTATTATCATGCAGTTTTACATACTGTATGCACAATGTTTTAGCATTTGGAGGAATAATCAATATACATGATATAGTGCTTTATATATTGCTCAAAATAACATTATAAATCAAATGAATCACCACCAAGTCTTCATATTGGAATATTATGTCCTGACATGCATCTACAGTAAACTAACTTCATGATGAACACGCTTATAACAAACTGACGGATATAGACAAACTGTTTCTTTGGTCCTGGCCATTTGCTGTATATTTATCAAATATAACTGATGGATATAATGAACACGCTGTTTATCTCTGAGCTGCTCACGTGTCACCATACAGCATTTCAAAGCAGCAATAAACAATGGAAGGCAAGTGATTAACTGGCACTTGTCCTTAATTTACAGCCTCAATTAACAATAGAAACCAGTGATTAGACTTTGAAGTGGATATATTCTGTTTATAAAATGTGATGAAGAGTTTGGAAACGTTGCTTGATCCAAGAGTTCTGAGAGGCAAACTGCTTATAATGAACTACAGTTATAACAAACTAAAATTAAATGGTCCCTTTGAGTTGGTTCTAACCATAGCTTGCAGTTAAAAATAGTTTAGTTTTATCCCGTCGCGTGATCGTAATGTGACAGGATCTTATCATTCCTGTGTAAGATAGTATTTTGTGTGTGTGTGTGGTGTGGTGTGGTGTGGTGTGGTGTGGTGTGGTGTGGTGTGGTGTGGTGTGTGGTGTGGTGTGGTGTGGTGTGGTGTGGGGTGGGGTGGGGTGTGGTGTGGTGTGGTGTGGTGTGGTGTGGTGTGGGGTGGGGTGGGGTGTGGTGTGGTGTGTGGTGTGGTGTGGTGTGGTGTGGTGTGGTGTGGTGTGTGGTGTGGTGTGGTGTGTGTGTGGTGTGTGTGTGTGTGTGTGCTGTGTTTTCTGCCAGTCAGACTGAGTGTTGTGGTTGGTCATCTCACCAGCTTCCAGCTTTATAATCTTCCTCTTTATGGCGTACAACATGGCGTCTGATGACAGAGCATAGAAGTCCGCGCCCGTCATGTTCCAGGGGCACTTCTCCACAATCGACTTGAGAGACAGATCAGGGTCAAGGTGAAATCTGCAGTCGGACACATTAAATTACGGTGAGTAAGTCAGTATTGTTTTTTACGTAACTTTAAACAATATTCCTGCAATATCATGGTGGGGGACACTGGAAAATGGGCTTCACATATTGTACCTATGTGGGGAATCGAACCCAGGCCTTGGCGTAAGGAGGCAACTCTTTAACCATTAGGCTATCCAACATCATATTATACTCACTGCCAAAAGAAACGCAAACCATTCAAAGATATAGAGAAGTTTGTACATGGAGAAGAGATGTTTCCAATGCGTACCAATTAATGACAAACCTAACAATCAGTCAAGTGTTACCACAGAGTGACTTTATTCTTATCACGACATGCTGCACGTGATTTCCAAACTTTACACGGTAATCCTGCACAAGACAAATGGTGCATCTCGAGTCATGGATCTGTGACATATCATGTGATGCGTTCATGAGCGTCAGGTTCACAAAACATACCAGTAGGTTCGCTTGTACATCTAACCATAGAAATCATGTCTCTTGACTATGAGTAAGTCTTCATATATTAACCAACATGTGTGGTATTTGCATTTCTTTTGGTGATGAGTATATAAGTAACATGTACTAACATATACAAATAACATGTTTAGCTCATCCAGTGATCTGACAAAGTTGATATCTTTATGAGTGGCACAGCCCTGAGTGAAAATGGCAACCTTTAAAGTCACCAGTGTCGCTGTTTCAGACTGAAAGTAGTTCTGCCATACAGTAACGTTGGTATCTCTCATGAGTGAAATACTGATTTTACATTTTGAGATACATAGTATTTTATCACTGACTACACAATAACACACAGTACTGGTAGACATACAACACACTGATTAGGAGAATATTACAGTGACAGTGAGAACACTACACACTGATGATGAGAATACAACGGAGATGGAGAGATTGTTACAGTGTGATGTTGTGAATACTACAGGGATGTGAGAATACTGGTGATGGTAAGAATACAACAGTGATGGTGAGTTTAATACACCATGATACACAGTGAAGGTGAGAAATACTGAGCAGCGATGGTGAGATTACTACACAGTGATGGTGAGAATACCAGCTTGATAAGAGAATACTACACAGTGATGGTGAGAATACTAAACAGTGATGTGAGAATACTACACAGTGATGGTGAGAATACTACACAGTGATGGTGAGAATACCAGAGTGATAAGAGAATACTACACAGTGATGGTGAGAATACAAGAGTGATAAGAGAATACTACACAGTGATGGTGAGAATACCAGCTTGATAAGAGAATACTACACAGTGATGGTGAGAATACTAAACAGTGATGTGAGAATACTACACAGTGATGTGAGAATACTACACAGTGATGGTGAGAATACTAGAGTGATAAGAGAATACTACACAGTGATGGTGAGAATACTAAACAGTGATGTGAGAATACTACACAGTGATGGTGAGAATACTACACAGTGATGGTGAGAATACTAGAGTGATAAGAGAATACTACACAGTGATGGTGAGAATACAAGAGTGATAAGAGAATACTACAGTGATGTGAGATTACTACACAGTGATGGTGAAAATACTAGAATGATAAGAGAATACTACACAGTGATGGTGAGAATACCAGAGTGATGAGAGAATACTACACAGTGATGGTGAGAATACCAGAGTGATAAGAGAATACTACACAGTGATGTGAGAATACTACACAGTGCGTGTGAGAATACTAGAGTGATAAGAGAATACTACACAGTGATGGTGAGAATACCAGAGTGATAAGAGAATACTACACAGTGATGGTGAGTATACCAGAGTGATAAGAGAATACTACACAGTGATGGTGAGAATACTACACAGTGCGTGTGAGAATACTAGAGTGATAAGAGAATACTACACATTGATCGTGAGAATACCAGAGTGATAAGAGAATACTACAGTGATGGTGAGAATACCAGAGTGATAAGAGAATACTACACAGTGATGGTGAGAATACCAGAGTGATAAGAGAATACTACACAGTGATGTGAGAATACTACACTGTGATGGTGAGAATACTACACAGTGACGTGAGAATACTACACAGTGATGGTGAGAATACCAGAGTGATAAGAGAATACTACACAGTGATGTGAGAATACTACACAGTGATGGTGAGAATACTACACAGTGACGTGAGAATACTACACAGTGATGGTGAGAATGAGCTACTCACTTCCTGGTGAGGGATGCAAGCACCTTCAGCTGTGCATCTCTTGTGTCAGCAACACCCAGGTACAGCAGCTTGTCAAACCTGCACACACAACATCTAGGGTAACTACCTGCTGATGTGACTGCAGTCAGTGGAACATTTCATGACATATTTACTGACCAAGTCGCATCTATTGCTTGTCATAAAAAGCAACTAAATGAATCACGTGGACAGGTTCACTGACTTTGTTTGTTTGTTGTTTAACGCTGTACTTAGCAATATTCCAGTTATTTAATGTTGGTCTGTAAATAATTGAGTCTCGACCATGTATCCATCCACATAATTGGGATACGATGACATGCATCAACCAAGTCAGTGATCCTGACCACCTGATCCTGTTAGTTGCCTCTTACGAGAAGCATAGTCGCCCGTTAAAGCATGACACAGCACATTCACATTGGGGCACACATTGTCCTTCGTTTCCAGTCAGAGTTATCTGTCCTTGATATCTCACAGCCTTCTCATCAGCATGTAGCTCGATACCCAGACAAGGGGTCGATGGACAGGCCTGAGACTTGCTGTGTCAGGATAAGTATACTAATATCATCAATATACAAGTTCAGGTAATTATTTGTTATCCTGACACAACATATTATTGCAATGCTTATCTCACAGTTGACTTGTGTTTTTGGTAACCAGTGCTGGGTTATGTCTGGTTGAGACTATGCTCCACATGAAGAAAGTGTGCTAATTGTATTCAACATAGAGAGATTCCAATTGACACTTAATACAGACCTTCCTGGTCGGAGCAGGGCAGGGTCTAGCAGGTCAGGTCTGTTTGTGGCTCCAATAACGAACACATCGCAGGACTTGTGAAGTCCATCCAGCTCCGCCAGAAGCTGGGATACCACCCTGTGAAGGAAGGAAAGATTATTAAGATGTTTGTTTCTGATAACTTCCACAAGGATGTGCCCCCTCTACTCCCCCAGATTCCCCTCTACTGCCTACCTGTCCATTACTCACCCGGAATCCCCTCTACTGCCTACATGTCCATGACTCCCCCAGAATCCCCTCTACTGCCTACATGTCCATGACTCCCCCAGAATCCCCTCTACTGCCTACCTGTCCATGACTCCCCTAGATTCCCCTCTACTGCCTACCTGTCCATGACTCCCCTAGATTCCCCACTACTGCCTACCTGTCCATGACTCCCCGGGTCCCCTCTACTGCCTACCTGTCCATGACTCCCCTGGAATCCCCTCTACTGTCTACCTATCCATGACACACCCGGAATCCCCTCTACTGCCTACCTGTCCATGACTCCGCCAGATTCCCCTCTACTACCTACCTGTCCATGACTCCCCTGGAATCCCCTCTACTGCCTACCTGTCCATGACTCCCTGGAATCCCCTCTACTGCCTACCTGTCCATGACTCCCCTGGAATCCCCTCTACTGCCTACCTGTCCATGACTCCCCTGGAATCCCCTCTACTGCCTACCTGTCCATGACTCCGCCAGATTCCCCTCTACTGCCTACCTGTCCATGACTCCCCCGGAATCCCCTCTACTGCCTACCTGTCCATGACTCCGCCAGATTCCCCTCTTCTGCCCACCTGTCCATGACTCCGCCAGATTCCCCTCTACTACCTACCTGTCCATGACTCCCCTGGAATCCCCTCTACTGCCTACCTGTCCATGACTCCGCCAGATTCCCCTCTACTGCCTACCTGTCGTTGACTCCCCCGGAATCCCCTCTACTGCCTACCTGTCCATGACTCCCCTGGAATCCCCTCTACTGCCTACCTGTCCATGACGCCCCCAGATTCCCCTCTTCTGCCCACCTGTCCATGACTCCGCCAGATTCCCCTCTACTACCTACCTGTCCATGACTCCCCTGGAATCCCCTCTACTGCCTACCTGTCCATGACTCCGCCAGATTCCCCTCTACTGCCTACCTGTCCATGACTCCCCCGGAATCCCCTCTACTGCCTACCTGTCCATGACTCTGCCAGATTCCCCTCTACTGTCTACCTGTCCATGACTACCCCGGAATCCCCTCTACTGCCTACCTGTCCATGACTCCGCCAGATTCCCCTCTTCTGCCCACCTGTCCATGACTCCGCCAGATTCCCCTCTACTACCTACCTGTCCATGACTCCCTTGGAATCCCCTCTACTACCTACCTGTCCATGACTCCCCTAGATTCCCCACTACTGCCTACCTGTCCATGACTCCCCGGGTCCCCTCTACTGCCTACCTGTCCATGACTCCCCCAGATTCCCCTCTACTGTCTACCTATCCATGACTCCCCTGGAATCCCCTCTACTGTCTACCTATCCATGACTCACCCGGTATCCCCTCTACTGCCTACCTGTCCATGACTCCGCCAGATTCCCCTCTACTACCTACCTGTCCATGACTCCCCTGGAATCCCCTCTACTGCCTACCTGTCCATGACTCCCCTGGAATCCCCTCTACTGCCTACCTGTCCATGACTCCGCCAGATTCCCCTCTACTGCCTACCTGTCCATGACTCCCCCGGAATCCCCTCTACTGCCTACCTGTCCATGACTCCGCCAGATTCCCCTCTACTGCCTACCTGTCCATGACTACCCCGGAATCCCCTCTACTGCCTACCTGTCCATGACTCCGCCAGATTCCCCTCTTCTGCCCACCTGTCCATGACTCCGCCAGATTCCCCTCTACTACCTACCTGTCCATGACTCCCCTGGAATCCCCTCTACTGCCTACCTGTCCATGACTCCGCCAGATTCCCCTCTACTGCCTACCTGTCCATGACTCCCCCGGAATCCCCTCTACTGCCTACCTGTCCATGACTCCGCCAGATTCCCCTCTTCTGCCCACCTGTCCATGACTCCGCCAGATTCCCCTCTACTGTCTACCTGTCCATGACTACCCCGGAATCCCCTCTACTGCCTACCTGTCCATGACTCCGCCAGATTCCCCTCTTCTGCCCACCTGTCCATGACTCCGCCAGATTCCCCTCTACTACCTACCTGTCCATGACTCCCTTGGAATCCCCTCTACTGCCTACCTGTCCATGACTCCGCCAGATTCTCCTCTACTGCCTACCTGTCCATGACTCCCCCGGAATCCCCTCTACTGCCTACCTGTCCATGACTCCGCCAGATTTTCCTTCTACTGCCTACCTGTCCATGACTCCCCCAGAGTCCCCTCTATTGCCTAGCTATCCATGACACCCCCAGATTCCCCTCTACTGCCTACCTGTCCATGACTCCCCCAGAGTCCCCACTCCGACCTCTGTTGGGAGCAAGGGAGTCCAGCTCATCAAAGAATATCACACAGGGCGTGGCACTTCGAGCTCGCTTGAAAACTGGAAATTGACACACGCAAGATTTTACCAATAACCCTCATTACATGCACTGCATCCAGCAATCATCTCCTCTATGACATAAGATGTTTTATCACACCTACAATCATGACAATTGGAGAACTGTGGTAGTGATAATATATTGATTAGTATATAGAGAGTATAAAACGAGCATGTGTGTCACACTGATTTCACTAAACAAGTGTCAGAATTCTTGTATTTCCCGAGCGAGAGCAAGTTTTGTAAAATCAGTATGACACACATGTGAGTGTCATAATTTCTTTATTACGTATTATTTCTTTAGCTTTTTGAGCTCCACTTTAGAAAAATGCAGTGATCACTACGGCTGTCCTAGAAAAACACAACTTGTCGAATGACTTCAATTATCTTCAGCTTTTACATTGTTTCTAGTGTCATTCTGACCTATGGGTTATAACTTAAAGTATTCAGGTAAGCATATGGGTTGGGAGTGTATGTCTTTTACTGAAAGCATATCAATGAAAATTCTGTAAAGGATGTCGTTGTCCATACATTTGAAGTACTAGACATACCTAGTACTGAGGTAGATACACAGATATTATTACATATCATCGTCATTTTGCCAAGTAAAAATGATTCATCATCTTACCCTCTCTGACATTCTCTTCACTCTGACCCACGTACATGTTGATTAACTCAGGACCCTTCACACTGGAATAATGAACAAATGTACAGTGAGGGATGTAAGTGAGAGTGACATGTGTGACAGATTAACTACAGCATTATCACCCGTGAAGATCCAGGTCTTCAGCATCCCATGCTTGTCGTAAGAGGCGACTAACGGAATCGGGTGGTCATGTCACTGACTTGGTTGATGCCTGTCATCGCATCCCAATTGCATGGATCCATGCTCATGATATCAATCACTTGAATGTCTTGTCCAGACATGATTATTTACAAACAGCTGTCAAATAGCTGGAATATTGCTGAGTGTGTTGTTAAACACCAAGCAAAAACCAATAGTAACATGAAAGAGTTGGGGGTCCTCTGATTAGTATACCTAACCTTCAACAGCTATAACAAGCTCTTGTATCTTGATTGATTTGTTTGTTTGTAATTTAAAGCAGCACTGAGCCATATTCCAGATGAATGATGGCGGCCTGTAAATAATCTAGTCTAGACGAGTCAATTCAGTGATTGACATTATGAGCCATGATCCATGTAGTTAGGCTACGATAGTATGCAATGGGTGGGTGGGCGGTTGAGGTGAGGTGAGGTGAAATGGGGTTTAACGTCGCGTCCAAGATTATTGCACTTATATAGCGACGTGCATGTACATGTGTGTGTTTGTGTGGCTGCTTGTACTAGTCCGGACTGATGCCGATTTATAGTGCTAGCTCACTGAGATACCATGCCGCAGTTTAACATGAATACCCCACTCAGACACAGTAGACTGACTCCGAGCCGACCAGTCCTTGTTTTAGCCCCTTAATGCCGAGCGCCAGACAGGGTAACAACAAGTACCATCTTTAAACGTCTTTTGGTATGATGCGGACGGGGATCAAACCCCGGACCTTCCGCTCTCCAGGCGGATGCTCTACCACAAGACCACGGAGGCGGTCGGGCGGTTGAGTGAGGAAGGGCGCCATTTTAGGCAATATTCTGGCAATATCATGGAAGGGTACACCAGAAATGGGCTTCACATAATGAGTGAGTGAGTGAGTATGGTTTTATGCCGCTTTTAGCAATATTTCAGCAATATCACGGCGGGGGACACCAGAAATGGGCTTCACACATTGTACCCATGTCGGGAATCGAACCCGGGTCTTTGGCATGATGAGCGAACGCTTTAACCACTAGGCTACCCGACCGCCCCCTTCACATAATGAATACACATGGGGAATCAAACCCGGGTCTTCGGTATGACGAGCCAACACTTTAACCACTAGGCTACTCCAATGCCCTGTGTTACCTGAGGAAGTTTAGAGAACACTCCGTCGCCACAGCTTTAGCCAGGAGGGTCTTCCCAGTCCCTGGAGGCCCATAAAGTAGCACACCTGGTGGAGAGAGGGAGGGGGGTCAGCGAGTGAGTGAACTGTTTCATCACATTTCATAGCAGTACATTACTCAAGTCCAGCCAAACCAACGTGCAATGGTCTGCACTTCCAGGCCTGATGACACACCACCACCCATGTTCCACACTGCAACCACCTAATCCTCACACTAGTCAACTGGTACCAGTATGGGTGGTTCGACCATGAGTTTGGGAATTACCTGATTCTGGTTGGTTAATCAGAAACCATCAAATCACAAATACCACCTCTTATTGTCAGAGACGATTTGACAACCACATCACTGTGGAAGATACTATTGATAGAAAAGTATTTTCTTGTCAGTCATTGTCGGTAGGCATTTTTAAATAAGTATATGTACACTATATGTTACACTTTTGAAACCTCACGCTTTGTGTTCGGTTCCAAATTCAATTTAGCGTGGTTATATCTACAGGTAACCTAGCTCTAACTTGAACACAGTATGCTTAAATCCTAACTGACTCTGTCCAAAATTAGGTCAAAGATGAAACTATCTCTTCCATGATATCATAATCCTTGATCATGTTAAGAGTTAGTCTCTGGTGTGTTAGATTGTTCAAGACTGACAAGTTTGCGGTGTCAGGCCTCAAAGTTGAGACTAAAACGGCGACCTTAATTTTATTTTGTCTACTGTCTAAAATTCAGAGGTATCCAAATGACTACCTTGAAAAATATCTTGTGGCGACTAACTTCTATTGCTACATATATGTAGACACAAAAATAAATAACAGCTCATCTTGGTAAACATGTCTGCTAATAATTGTTCTCACAAATAATTCCTCCTTTAGTCAACAATGAACCAAAATACATAAATATTAATGTAATTAGTATTTTATTTTATTTTAGTTGACAATGCTCATTGGATAAGGAAGGATATACCCATATAATCTAGTAACATAAATTGCATCATTGTCACAAATAACAAAAATCAAGTACAGTTTCCACTAATACCGTATACAATTCCAAGACTAGTGCTATGACTTGTACATATTATAATAGTTATTTGATAAAAGATAATTTAAAATGCTTTTGGCTACCTACAATATTGGCTTTACTTTTCGGTTTTACCACTGGCTACCTGGAAAAAAATACTTGAAGCCATATGACTACTTGGTAAAACTTCAAACTTTGTGGCCTGTGTGTCAAAATGCCTCTACCTGATCTCTTCAGTCCAGCAGCCAGCAGCTCAGGATGTTGCAGTGGTAACTGTACTGTATCCAAGATGTCCGACTTGACGTCTGCTAGACCTCCAACATCCTTCCATGTAACATTAGGAATCTACCAACAGAAAAATTTGAATAAAAGTTACAGACACAAACACATACTATCCTGAAGCTAAAAATAAAATAAACAAAAATTATATTCAATTTTTTCAATGAGCTACCTTCGGTGCCCCAATGGTGTCAGAATGTGCTGCTTGCAGTTTGTCCAGTGCGGTGTCGACGTCCGCCTGTTCAATGACCACCCCAGCTGACACCAGGTCCTCTTCCATCTCCAGTGTCACACCAGTAGACATTGAAGCACTGCAGAACAAGACCGAGGCAGTGACTAGGTATGTTAGCAGGTTTTAGCAACAACCAAGCAATATCTTGAATTTGGGGGAACACCAAGAATGGGCCCCACACATTGTACGCAGGTGAGTCTTCAGTATAAGGTAGCCAGGTGGCCTAGTGGTTAAACATTGGCTTGTCATCCTGAAGACCTCAGTTTGGCTAAGCATCAATTTCAGTTGTGCTAGCTTATTAGACCGAAAAGACATTTTACTAGACTTGGGTTAAGGGCTAGTGACTAAAGTCAGAGACTGAGAACTGGGTTCAATTCCCCACATGAGTACATTGTGAGAAGCACATACTTGTTGTCCGCTGCAAGTATATGGCTGGCATTATGTTAAACATGTTAAAAACTCCAACTACAGATTGCTTAGCAACAGAAACATGATTCTTCAATGAATACTGGTGTAAGACTTTTCTCATTTCTTTACAAAAAACGCTGCTCAGTAGTTGGAAAAAGAGAAATTAAACAGACATTCCAGATTATTAACTTATCATACTCAGTGCTAACCTCAAACTGTTTATCCAAATAAACCTCCCAGACTAAGAAGGAACAATGAATGAAGTTCAAATCTCCCGTTAAACATTTGGTCGAAAACAACTCTTTTATACTTGTATATACACAATAATTTGCTATCTTTCTCTAATGCAGTAAGAAGCAATGCATACCACAGTTTGAGAGCCTTCACATAGGCCTGTCTCTTGGCATGGCTAGCCAGTGCAACAAGATCCCCCAACACAAAACCCTAGAAACAAAGGCAACACATATCAGGACAAAGGAATCTATCAAAGGGTAAACATCAATAAACCAAACAGCAAAGTCCTGAAACCTCCAAGAGGAATAATTATTATGCAATGTACTAATCAGAAAAGTTTGATTCAAGTCAAAATAAACCCACTTAATGATCATCATGCTGCTGGTCAATCTTTAATACGGGTTATACTGAATGATAGTTACGGGTTTAACAACTGTATCCATACAATCTAGACCATCTATTAGCAATTCCAGAATGTTCTTTTGTTCAGGTTTCGAAGTTTTAATCGAGCATTTGTCAAAATATGTTTCTCGCTACCGCTAAATAAAGATCTGAGGACATCACACTAGGGGTCACGTCAGAACGACCTTTCATCGGACCAACCAGAGCGTCGCTTACCAGATCATGAAAGTGACTCTCGGAATATGATTTCTAATCATGCAACCGCAAAAAGTTTAACACGAGTTATTCTGAATGATAGTTACGGGTTTAACGACTGAATCCATACAATCTAGACCATCTATCAGCCCAGTGCCGTAGCCAGCCGGGGGGGGCAGGGGGGGCAAATATTTGCATATATGGTCTTGCAGCCATTCCAGAATATTCTTTTGTTCAGGTTTCAAATTTTTAATCGAGAATTTGTGAAAATATGTTTCAAAGTATAGTCACCAATTTGAAATTAGTGCTGTAAAGCACAAGAAAGCTGCCTTCTGATTGGCTAATGTGGACTTCTTGTCAGTCCATTGGTGGGTCAAAGTTCGCGCAAGGTCAGTCTGACGTGACCCGTAATGGGATGTCCTCAGATCTTTGTTTCGCGGTAGCGAGAACTTAGATCTGATTTTAATGAGATTGGAAATGGTCCCTCTTTCCTGATTTAGGTCTGTAGCATTCAGTTCATACAAAGGAATGTTTGAAATTGGATCTGAATAATGATACCAGTTGTAGAGACATCATAGCTGTGATTATCCATGTTTAAAGTTTCAGCTTAGAGACCTTGTGGTTTTGAGAGACATTGAAAATGTGAAAGTCAGACAGATAGACATAAATGGGGAAGTCCCTACTTAATGATTCGTACAAGGGAATTCCATGTGTGGTGTATTGTACTTACAGCTGTTCTCTGTGCTATCCTGGGCAGGGATATGTCTGCAGACCTCACCTCTGATTCCATCAGGCCATGTACGATCTCCCTTCTCTCCAACTCATTTGGAGTCTGCAGATGTAAGCATAGTAAATAATAGCTAAGGGAGAAGGCAATGATAGAGCTAACATTGATTTCTATCTACTGAAGGTGACGTGAAGTGGGGTTATTATGCATGTTTCTTGTGTCATGCACATCTGTGTGTGTGTGTGTGTGTGTGTGTGTGTGTGTGTGTGTGTGCGTGTGCGCGCGTGTGCGTGCGACTGTTAATACGAGTCCATACGTTTGCTGGTTTTATGGTGCTAGCCCACTCAGATACCATGCCACAGTTTACAGTATGCAGTATACTGACTCCATGCCGCAGTTAACAGACACAGTATACTGACTCTGTCCTTGTTTAATCCCCTAAATGCCCGAGCGCCACGCAGAGTATCAACATGGTGTGACGCTGTCGGTGATCGAACCACTAACCTTCCTCACTCCAGGCGGACTCTGCATCTATTAAATTTATCTATTGAAAAATATTTTAGTCAATACATTGAATCTTTGAATATTTCAGAAAACTTCTGCTTTTAAAATTAGGAAATAATATTCACTTTTAAAATAAGTTATGTGACAATCAAGAGATGTTTGTGTGGGTCCTGAATGCACCATACCTCTATCTTGATATCATGTAAAAACGCTTCCTGCATGTCCTGCGAGAGCTGCTGTGCATTGTGAGTGGTTGCTATGACGATGAGCGGAAACTCCGATGCTTGCTCTGTCAGCTCCAGGATAGAGTTGTGGAAACTGCTGATCACACGCGGGTCTGAAATAAACAAGTGCCCTGCTGAAACTGCTACGCAAGATAATATATGTGATTCATAACCTCCACTTGAAATTTTCCATCTGCTACACTGGATTTTAGATATGATTCATATCCTACCCGCCAATGTTCCATTATAGATATGATTCATATCAAAGCCTTTGATGTTCCCGTCTGCTACATTGGATTATAGAATCCAATGCCCCCCCCCCAGAAATTCTTTAAACATTTGATTGCATTTAAGCAATTCCGTGCAGTTTGGACAACATTCACACCAAGAAATGTAATAAGTCAATGGCAAAAGTCAATAAGTCAAATAAACAAGATGGCAGATGCAATAAAATTTCGAAGTTAAATCAGTACTTTTAAAAAAATCGGGCATAGCTTCCGCGCACCTGGCTACCCGCCAGGTCTGGGAGCAATACTGCCATAAACTTCAACCCCCATCCCCATCCCCCCTCACCATGCCTAGTGAGTGGGAAAACACCACAACAGGCAATAATACAATCCCTATACATTAGTCGGACATAACGGCATGATTTGGGTATAACATGCTTGCCTGTTTTCTTGTATGACATTGTTACATGATCGATTACGTAGCAATAAAGAAGAATCGATATAGCTTCACAGCTTCATAACCAATCGATCCGGAAGGTGTCTCCAGCCAATTGATGCTACAAGACAGGTCACAGCACTAAATCCCAGCGAAGGCCCAGAAAAACCTTCCCATTCTTTAACCTCTCAAACTGGACCCTCTTAATGTCCAGAGACCGCCTCCGTGGTCTTGTGGTAGAGCGTCTGCCCGGAGAGCGGAAGGTCCGGGGTTCAATCCCGGGCCGCCTCATACCAAAAGATGTTAAAAGATGGTACTTGTTGTTACCCTGTCTGGCGCTCGGCATTAAGGGGCTAAAACAAGGACTGGTAGGCTCGGCGTCAGTCTACTGTGTCTGAGTGGGGTATTCATGTTAAACTGCGGCATGATATCTCAGTGTGCTAGCACACACACATGCATGCACGTCGCTATATAAGTGCAATAATCTTGGACGCGACGTTAAACCCAATTTCACCTCACATCTTAACGTCCAGAGCACAGAGAATGATAAGAAAGAGAATGATGTGGCTGGAGTAATCACGTGATCAGGTAATGTAGGTTGCTATGCACAGGATTACAGTGTGTGACCCATTTGTTTGGGTGGTGACCATAGTGATGCCAAAGCTGGAAACTTTGTTCGAGGACGTTTCCATATCGGATCGAAAGAAGAAATGCATAGTGTGAGACAGGATAAGTTATAGACATGTAATAGACATGATTTATATCCTACCCCTTGATGCTCTGTCTACTACACAGGATTATAGACATGATTTATATCCTACCCTCTGAGGTCTGTCTACTACACAGGATTATAGACATGATTTATATCCTACCCTCTGATGCTCTGTCTACTACACAGGATTATAGATATGATTTATATCCTACCCTCTGAGGTCTGTCTACTACACAGGATTATAGATATGATTTATATCCTACCCTCTGAGGTCTGTCTACTACACAGGATTATAGATATGATTTATATCCTACCCTCCGATGCTGTCTACTACACTGGATTATAGATATGATTTATATCCTACTTTCCGATGCTCTGTCTACTACACAGGATTATAGACATGTTTTATATCCTACCCACTGATGCTCTGTCTACTACACAGGATTATAGATATGATTTATATCCTACCCTCCGATGCTCTGTCTACTACACAGGATTATAGACATTATTTATATCCTACCCTCCGATACTCTGTCTACTACACAGGATTATAGATATGATTTATATCCTACCCTCCAAGGTCTGTCTACTACACAGGATTATAGACATTATTTATATCCTACCCTCCTATGCTCTGTCTACTACACAGGATTATAGATATGATTTATATCCTACCCTCCGATGCTCTGTCTACTACACAGGATTATAGACATGATTTATATCCTACCCTCTGATGCTCTGTCTACTACACAGGATTATAGGCATGATTTATATCCTACCCTCCGAGGTCTGTCTACTACACAGGATTATAGATATGATTTATATCCTACCCTCCGATGCTCTGTCTACTACACAGGATTATAGACATGATTTATATCCTACCCTCTGATGCTCTGTCTACTACACAGGATTATAGGCATGATTTATATCCTACCCTCCGAGGTCTGTCTACTACACAGGATTATAATATGATTTATATCCTACCCTCCGATGCTCCGTCCCGCTCTTTGCCAACAACATGGACATTCTTGAGCAGCAGGATACATGGCGCATACACAGCAGCTGGAATCAGGACAGGACAGGATACAATGAAATGACAGAGGGGTAAAATATTCCATGTTCAGACATATCTGTTATCATGGTTACTGACGCTTATGTTTGACTCCGAAGTAATTGTAGCAGTGAGCACTAGAAAACATGAAAACATATTTCCATACTTAGTTTTTCTGATATAAACAAGTGATTTCAAATGCCAACTCAATTTGTGATTTAAACTTTGCTTTGGGTATGGGGGAAGAATTTATCTAGGACTCCAAGCTATGTGTCTTTAGAAGAAAAATTGGGAAGAAATGAAATTTGGTTCAAAAGTAAGATTTACTTCAATGTTCCTATTTTCTAAGATTTAGGGGTATCTTAATATTTCAGTCAATGCAAAAATGTAAAACTATACATTTAAGTCTCATCTTGTTTACAGTCTTGTTATCTGTGAAATGAAGTCACCTTTGCAAAGCAAGAACATTAGTTATTGCTATAATAACATGATAAGGCAATCTATTAATGCCAATTTGGGATTTTTTACCGACATTTGCCTTAGACTAGGGACTTAATATCAGCCTCTGAGCAGGTCTAGATAAATCCCTGAATTTTTTATTAGGGGCAGCATAGCAAACCCCTGTATCCCATTAAATTGTGAGATGTACCTGCTAGGAATGCATTCTTGATCCGACTCTCAGTTGCCCCAGCAGCATCCCCGGACAGATGGTGACAGTTTACCTGTTGACATTACATGTTCCTCCATCACTGAACAGTCAGGTAGAAATACAAGCAGAGTACTAGAAGCACTATAGGTAGAGGAGCTCACATTGAGCAGGCGTGTGCTAGCCCACCTGATTGGTTCTAAAACCATACAACCATGGACCAGGAGTTCTCTGTGAATGTTTTGGATTTTTTTTATTCTTTGCAATACCTTATTAGAGAGGATGAGGGATCTGAAAATATCACTGATCAAGTTGATGTTTATTTTCAACATAATGTTCAGATGTGTAACTCTTGAACTTTCTCCTGATGTTTCCTTTTGCTTCAATATTTTGTTTGTTTTATTTGTTTGTTGTTTAACGCCACACTCAGCAATATTCTGGACCAGACAATCCAGTGATTGACATCACAGCATCGATCCACGCAATTGGGTTGGTTGGTTGGTTTGTAGTTTTACGCCACACTCAGCAATATTCCAGCTACATGTATATGACAGCGGTCTGTAAATAATCGAGTCTGGACCAGACAATCCAGTGATTGACATCATGAGCATCGATCCGTGCAATTGGGATCGATGACATGTATCAACCAAGTCAGCGAGCCTGACCACCCGATCCCGTTAGTCGCCTTTTACGGCAAGCAAAGTCACCTTTTACGGCAAGCATAGTCGCCTTTTACGGCAAGCATGGGCTGCTATTCTAACCCAGATCTGAACAGGTCTTTTGCTTCAATATGTTCACTGTGATACTTATGTATAAATCAAATAATTAATTCATGCTGCATAAATGTTAACTTGAATAAATCCAAATAAAAGCATAAACTTAATTGATATTTCACTTAAACTGAACTAATGAAATGTGTATTCATCATGTTCATATAAAGCACAAGTGACTGCCATTTGTGAAGAAGTAATGCATGGATAATAGCAGTATCACTATCATAATCATCAGCTACAGAGCTAAGATTCCATGAAGCAGTGATACATTCAAAACCAATTTTGGTGAGTTGTATTAAAACTAGAGATGAAGTTGCCATGGTTACCTGATTGACATGTAAACACAGTCTCCTGGCAACAGTACAGACAACAGTGGTTTTACCACAAGCCGATGGTCCAGACAGCAGGACAGACGGAGGCAGCTCCTTCAGCCGAGTGTTGTCAAATCTGGATGTATAAACCTTTATTTCAAAGCAGTGCTTTACTATCAATTTGAGAAAAGGGAAAAAACAGATCTCTGTAGCTCACCTAAATTGGGAATATCATGTAAGAACAGAAAGGTCTTACAAGGGTAAAGGAGAATAAGCCAGATAATATCATCAGCTTTAACAAAACAGACATCTTTAATAAATGTTCCATAATTACACATTATTGTGATACCAGGATTTGAATGCGAATGAATATGTATCTCAATATGTTTGGAAAACACTGGTATATTGTGTTTTTCAAAATTATGTATAATTTCAACTTGTTGGCTAAAACTAAACAATTCACAACCAGCATAGTCAATGATTGTCAAAATGGACCACAACCTATCGGTAGTACATGGAAAATGGGCATAGCTCGGTCATAAATTAGATCTATGCACAGGTAATATAGAATGGAATAATAATTGGAAATAATAATCTTGAAAAAGGTTTGTTATTTGTAACAAAAAAATTAATGAAAAAAAGTTCCAGTGTGACATTAGTGAGGTCACGGTCATTCAATATATACAAATTTAATGCCAACCTTGTGAGACACATGTATGATGCATGGACTTAATGTTACGGCCTGCCTCCTCACTGTGTGAGCAATGTACATGACGATGACATGTTTCTGCAAGAGGGTTGACTGACCTCTTGCTGAGATGCGGCAGCAATATGGACTCCAGTTTGGTGATGTAGCTGTTGAGGCCTGGGCAAGTCAGCTGTTGCCAGTAGCTGGGGTCTGACTCAGCAAAGTACTGGTAGGCAATCTGTGGTACATAGCTGTGGACGGACCCTACCTGTAAACACATGTATTCCAATGAAACTCACAGAAAGTATGTGTAAACTGAGTAACCTACCCTGCATCAGCTCTTCCACAACATAGCACTGTCCTGTTTATATCCGAGGCCTGTCACAGTCCATTAGAGAGAAGGTCAATTTTGACTAGACAGACTGGTTTCACTGTCCCAGGACATTCAAGATCTCATTATAATCAAATCGTTTATTCATTACCTCTCTTCTGGAACTCTGCTCAACTTTACCTGATTTGTGACAACCCCCATATACCATAGTGTGAAGCATGACTGCAGCCCTGTAAACTCACAGGAGTCAAGATGCCAAGCATGCTCACCCATCCAACTACTCTCCACGACTGACGCTGCTCAACTTTACCTGATTTGTGACAACCCCCCAATACCATAGTGTGAAGCATGACTGCAGCCCTGTAAATTCACAGGAGTCAAGATGCCAAGCATGGTCACCCACCCAACTACTCTCCACGACTGACGCTGCTCAACTTTACCTGATTTGTGACAACCCCCCAATACCATAGTGTGAAGCATGACTGCAGCCCTGTAACTCACAGGAGTCAAGATGCCAAGCATGCTCACCCATCCAACTACTCTCCACGACTGACGCTGCTCAACTTTACCTGATTTGTGACAACCCCCCAATACCATAGTGTGAAGCATGACTGCAGCCCTGTAAACTCACAGGAGTCAAGATGCCAAGCATGGTCACCCACCCAACTACTCTCCACGACTGACGCTGCTCAACTTTACCTGATTTGTGACAACCCCCCAATACCATAGTGTGAAGCATGACTGCAGCCCTGTAAACTCACAGGAGTCAAGATGCCAAGCATGGTCACCCACCCAACTACTCTCCACGACTGACGCTGCTCAACTTTACCTGATTTGTGACAACCCCCCAATACCATAGTGTGGAGCATGACTGCAGCCCTGTAAACTCACAGGAGTCAAGATGCCAAGCATGGTCACCCACCCAACTACCCTCCATGAGTGACGCTGCTCAAACCCCCCAGTCCTCTTTTTGATTACAATTCTTTTAATTGAAACTTAAAATGTGGATTAACCAATATTCAGGTTAAAAAAATGTATCTATTACAAACTAAATGATACCCACAACAAACTTAATTGTTTTACCATTTTTACGGCAAGTCATACTGAGTAATAATTTATTTCCTTACATTTCATCTAGTTTAGAAAGCTACATTCATCCTGCAGAATGGTAGGAGTCTTTATCATATAATTGGTAGGTTTCTCAGCAGGATAAAGCCAACGGTTAAAAACGATTACGATTAGAGTAGCTTCCCTTGACAAAGACCGATGGATTGCCGCGAAAGGCAAGTAAAAACAATTGTTGTTTTGCATATATGTTGCTTCGCCACTGTATAAGAAACAGATTTCATTTGGAACTATATTGGGTACTGTGACTGTCCGACTGACACATCACTTACCCTGTGACGTAATAAATATTAACGCACACATTCCAGGAAAACTCACAATGTTACGGTAATGTTTGTGAGAGAGGGAAAGCGATTTTCAAGCACAGAATTAAAGAATGACATTATATGATAAAAGGGTTATCACGCTTGTGTGTTTGGGGATGGTAAAGGCTCGCTAAATACAATGTTTATTCCTAATGCAGGATATTTACCATCCCCAAACACACTTGCGTGATAACCTCTATTTACCTGAAGCAGTCTGGTGTTGAATGAGTCGACCATGCAGGCCACCAGGTCAGGACGGCATGGCTCCACCCGGGTCACTTTGAAGAACATCACCGGGAACCTGATACCAGTGTCCAGACTGGATGTCTGCCAGAACTGAGGATCATCTGAAATTAGGGCAAGATTGCTCAGACAAGACATCACACACAACATAAAAAGTTTATAAACCTTTAACCTTTTTCTTGTACACACGTTCCGCAACACAGAAAAGCTCATCATGGTTATTGTTATACCTAACGTTGTGCTTTGCGGAGGTGACTTTTTCACTGATAACCATGGTTACTGAACCAATATAGATGAAGAGCTTTGATGCATAGTTTTTTATGTTAAATTACCTCTGCATTCAAGAAAACAGGAACTTTAATAAAGAAACCTCATTTTCAACAAAACAACTTTTTTTTTTTCAAAATTTGCCTGACAAGGGCACCTAGATACTACAGAAAATTCACCTGAGGATTGGGCTGGTACAACTGATGACCAAGCAACATTTTTTTATGAATTTGCATAGTGCACTTTACAATTCATAACTGCATTTGTACTATTACAGATCTTATTATTAACCCGGTCACTGGATCAGTGTGCACTTCATTTCCATTCTCAGCTCCCTGAGGAGTATACAAGTGAGGCGCTAGAAGGTAAACAGTTCACTAACAGATCTCTTACTGAGTACTCATTCCCTGCTGGGTGAACAGAAGCATATTTCAAAGTCACTTTCCTAAGGAGGCACCATAGTGTGGAGCAAGACCGAAGCCCTATAAACTCAAAGGAGTCGAGCTGCCGAACATGATCACCACCTAACAACACTCCATGACCGACTCTGTTCAACTTTACCAGATTTGTGACCTGTGCACTGGACACGGGACCATGTGCCATCACGCACCAGTCATGGATTTGAATAAAAATATGCCACTGTATTGACATCAATGAATGCTAATGGTCTTGTGATTCATCTTGTGATTCATTTTGAGATATAGTATATAAAATTATCGGAAATGATTACCATTACTGCCAAAATTTATTTCAGCCTCAGGCCGATACTTTATATTACTTATTATCCAAGACAAATGACATCATCTTAGAATTTAATGATAAATAGATATGCGTTTTGATGAAATATTCACCTGCACTCTTGATTGCAAAAACATCTCCATGACTTGCAATTCTGAAATGATAATAAGGAAGCATGATTTAAGCAAGTTCAGGGTCCTTTGGCAATATTGTCCACCACAAGAACTGTGACAACAGTCAACCACAAGAACTGATGTCCATCTTATATCCTTATAAATAGAAGATCCGGGTTAAAATTGGTCTTAGGAACCCATGATTCTTGAAACTGGCAAGTAATAGGATCGGGCGGTGAGGCTTGCTGACTTGGTTTATGCATGTAATCGTATCCAATTGCATAGATGCTCATATTGTCAATCACTGGATTGTCTGATCCAGACTTGATTATTCACAGACTACCGTCATATAACTGGAAAATACTTGGTTTATGCATGTCATCGTATCCAATTGCATAGATGCTCAGATTGTCAATCACTCGATTGTCTGATCCAGACTTGATTATTCACAGACTACCGTCATATAACTGGAAATAGCTGAGTGTGGTAAATATCAATAGTGAGCATGGTGAATGGGGAAGTTTGTACATGATCATTATGCTGTACTCTTAATACACTTAGTTAATTGTAAATTTGTCAAATGTTCTACACTTTTAACATTTTTAAGGTTAATTCTAATCACAGGATTGTCAGCATTACCTGGCCACCTGGAAGTACTTCTTGAGGGCCTCGGTGTAGTTCATGCGTGGACTGTAGTTGGGCGAGTTGATGATGGAGATGTGGATCTCAGAGGCCACAGGGAGACTGGTGTCCAGAGAGGAGCTTAGGGAATGGCTGCCCTCGTCAACATCACTCTCAATTGATTCATCAGATAATTTCTGTCATGAATATATCAGACAGCTAAATTTCACAGATGTATGTACATGATGTACGTAAAGATTAAATCTGAAGCTGATGAAACTCAAGCAATGGCAAGTTCGCCCAACAAACAAACTGCAATATGTGCAATCTTTAAGGAATTCGCCTTTGTTTGACCATGTAACAAATTGTCTGGGAAAGCCTTGTATCATCATGATGTATTATGTTTATCATGTTTAAGGTGCCAACATGATCATGAGGATCATCATGAACATGATATATCAGTTACCATCGATCTTTCAAAAATGTGATAATACAAAAGCTCTCAGTATTCAAAGTCTAATAAAAGTCTGTACAGCTCTCAGGGATTTCTCTAGACCTACTCAGATGCAAAATATCTGCCCCAAGTTTGCAGACAAAATAAATACAAATTCCCAAATCGGAATTAAAAAAATTCCAAATTCATGTTCTTATCAAGGTTATGGCTGTAACTAATGTTATGGCTCTGTAAGAATGGTGTACATGTTGTAGACATAGTAGAGGTGACTTGTATCTCACTGATAACAGGACTAATAACACGATAAAGAGGACAAGAGGCTATATATGATGTTTCTACACCATGTACACTATTACACTGAACATGTTGAATACAATGTTAACATGTTTAAAATATCTCCTAACTTACGAAAATATGGACATTAACATGTCTTATGCATGTTTAACAATAATTCCGATTTTTGAGAAAATAAACTGATTTCTTTTTTATCAGTTTATCTTCCAAGGACACATAGCTTAAAATCCTAGAAAAAATTCCTGGGTTCCTACAGTTACTTCTAATTATTGTTCGCAGCAGTAGTCACACAGCAGGCAGGATTTTCCATTGTATGTTTCACAAGGTTCCACTGTATCATTTATATATATGTCACAAGTTACTGAGAATTACTAATGTACATGATTGGGGCCTTGGGGTAGCCAAGTTAAAGTGTTGGTGATCATGCTAGAGGCCCATTTTTAATTCACCCACATAGGTACAATTTGTGAAGCTCCCATTTCTGGTGTTTCCCTCACCCCCATGATATTGATGGGATAAAAGCAGTGTAAAACCATAATGTAAGGAAAGTTAATACAATGCGGAATGCATTTTACCTCACAAACCAGAACAGGATCCTCAGTGAGGGGAGGTGCCGAATGAAGATTGAACCATAACAAAGCAGAAATGAAAACTTTTTCTGATCCACTTAGATGTCTTGCAAGACATTTGACAGTTACAGCTTTCTGCTTTGGCAATTTACGTGATTCTAGAACTGGAGAAGTCACTGGATCATTTCCATGGCGACCATAACTCCCAACCAGACTCATAGGCTCTTCAGTCTCACTGTTGACAGAATCAGATAAAGACACTTTCAAAATACTGCCTTCGAACAACCCATGCTGCAGCATCAGCTTTTTTGGTATGCCAATGAAATTATGAGGATCAGAAGTTCTCTCCAAATCTTTCCCAAGAATCTTTCTCCACTGTCGGTCTTGTTCAACAACAAATGAATTAAATGTTATCAGAACTAAACTGGACTCAAGGCTAGATGCACTGCCTGATGTATGACGACTTCTATCTGTTTGATTGCTAACTGTACTGATAGATCTACAGAAATCCGAAACATAAAAATTGTCCGGCTTTGAAATTAAGTGTTCAATTGTAGCAGTCGACAGACGCTTTCTCCTGTCAACAATAGTTTGGTTTGTGAACTCATCAAAGAATAGCACAATCTCTGTGTTGACAGTAACAATTCCTTGGTGAAGTGGAGTGCATTCTACCACCTTCATTGTGCTGAACCAAGAACACTGAAAAGTATTGTCTTCCAGAAATAAAGGTGGGTAAGGAGCAAGGAAGTCCTGATCTTTCTTGGCAACAACTTCATGTTGTATGATTTCAGTGATGATTCCATTGCTGAATTTGTTATTTCGCAGCCAAGTATAGGCTTCTTTGTCAGACACTGCAATTACAACCTTACGGAGAGGAAATAGATGGACTTGTCTGAAGTACACCACATCACTCAAACTTAACTTGTAATGGTCAAGAAAATCGTCACTACAAAGGACTCGTGGTCGCTTTTCATGATTTGGTTCTTCCTCGTCGTCTGCTGCATCTGCTAACAGCGGTGTTGACAGGTCTAGAAGTAGAGGATCATGAACCCATACGTATGTGAGGATTTCAGAGCTGAATCTGTAACAGACATTGTCACTATATGGGGGCAACTTCACTTCACCAGACACTGAAGACGACGGTGATTCCAACCCACTGGACAGACTCAAGTTCAAGCCAGAAACTTCATTTTTTAACTGGTGGCGTACACTCAGAGCAGCAATGACACACGTTGAGTCATCTGCGATATGGAGATCATTTGCATCTTCCCTCGACACAAATAAATGCAGTGGGTGATCATTTGGTCCTAACCGTGCCGCGATTAATTCAACCCGTGTGTTCCTCCTAACTGCCATTTCCCCCATGGCCGCAGCCATTTGTAAATAAAGCGCCACCTCGTGACTGACCGGTGCGTAACCAAATGAACGCCTCTAAGATATTTTGAGATATTCATGCGTCCATGTTTGTATATATTGTTAGGTCAATACCACAGACTAAGATGATTCTTATTGTGGGTTTAAAATATAAAGTAACTGACTACTACAATCACAGATGAACGTTCTATTTGGTACACGAGAGTCAAAGACAGACGGAGAAGGTGTTATCATTTTACAGGTAACTAATGATATTACACCACGCACCTGTATCCGGTGTACACTTCCGGAAAGCATGTTTTGCTGTGTTTGCAAGTAGTGTCAGAAGATCAATTTGTTGCCGTGACAAGCAATCTACAATGAAGTACGCTTTATGTCGTTATGTTTACGTCAGTTTCTGTCGAATTTTGTTGAAAGGAATTTTCTGAATAGTGATTTTGGATTTTTATCAATTTTCACTCTGATAACATTTAAAAGGGTTACTAATCTCTGGCTTTTTCACGGCTGTCTAACACTGCCCGTTAGAGCTCACTAGCTGCCGTGAGTCGATTTGCTCGCTAACGCAAATGAGCCTGACAAGAGACTGGTCTACCTACTGTAAGGACAGTGGAAATAAACTTTGAATCAATATCTATACACATTTCTGAACACTGATTCGTTATAGCACGGACCTATACAAGTCCGTGGTTATAGCAATATATGTGTGATCGGACCCCTGAAGATTCCGGGGTAGAATAGGTCTTCAGCAACCCATACTTGCCGCAAAAGGCGACTATGCTTGTCGAAAAAGGGATTGGGTGGTCAGGCTCACTGACTTGGTTGATACATGTCATCGATCCAAATTGTGTGGATGAGTGCTCATGATGTCAATCACTGGATTGTCTGGTCCAGACTTGATTATTTTACAGACCGCTTGAATATTGCTGAGTGCGGCGTTAAACAATAAACAAACAAACATATGTTTGATGTATGAAGGTTTTGATATTACAAAGGATGCATGTTAATTAATTGCATGTTAATTAAGGTTCTTTGTACAGCTGAAGCAGTACCGAATATTGTCCCTTTATGTGTGTATTTATGGATACATTCCTCGAAACAAGGTATCTGCCAAATATTTTATACATAAAACTTTGGTGGGTTGAATTACACTATTTACATTTTGTTTTCGTTCATTTTCTGTAGCATTGAACAGGGTCATTCATGTTCCTCTGCATTTTCTTTGGGAAGTTTTCTGAAGCAAGACACACGACACTAAGCATTGCTAAGTTGTTGTTTTTACAAGCCTTTTCATTTGTAGGCGTGTATATCATTTGTATACCGGGTATGTTATAACCTGATAGCCAATGTGTAAAATGTTATTCACTCAGGCAGTTATAAAATATCTAAATATTTCAGTCATTTTACAAATTGACTGAAAATTATTAAGACGTTCAAAAGAGCTTAAAAACATCACAATAAAGTAATTAGGCTAGGATTAGAAGCCAAAAAATATGGAAATGTACTTTGATTTTCGTTTTCTTTTAATCCTATCATTTTCAGTATAAACTGGGTGATGAAATTAAACATCTAGATGTTTGGAATTCATCATTACAACAGCGTAATGGAATTATTTTTCGTTCATTTTTTGAAAGAACTGCATATTTAGGTGTTTAATAAATTGCCTTAGTGATAAGTTTAGTCATTTAACACATTGACTATAACATATACACGATAAAGTAAGCAATTCTCTGATGAAATATTTACTTTGAGTTGCAGTAGTGTAAATGGAAATCGCACAATACCAAACATCAAAACTTCATCACCATTACTGATGCTACCCCCAAAGATGTCTACATTTCCTTATTATGTCAAGACAAAACTGTATTTCATTTTGTTGACCAATGTTACGATACACCCTTATTCTATCAATAAAAGCAACAAATGCACTTACGTTTTGCGCAGCACAGGTCACGAACTAGTCAAGATTTCTGGGATATCATCTCGGTATCCACAGAAAAAATACAATAACGAAGGCAACAACCAGACCCGGTGAAATGTCGGAGATCAGTAGTCCTTTAACTTTGAACAGTAATATATCGTTAGTTACATGGCTAATCTCTGTACAGATGATTCAACATATGATATATGCTATCAAAATCTGTAACATGTTTACAATTCCAGGTTGAATGTAGAGGGCCTGTTAGTGTACTTTCCCTATGATTACATCTACCCAGAGCAGTATTTGTACATGGTGGAGCTCAAGCGTTCTCTGGATGCAAAGGTAACAGTTCTGGTACTAGTAGTGCGGTGTTTCCTCAGATTGATGTTCACCCCAAAATATAAGATATCAGAGAACATAAAGAAGAAAATTGAGCTTCGTTTAACCTTTAAACTTAAAACCCCTAAATCTTTCCATAATATCTTTAAAGGGAGGGTCATGGTAGATATGGGTACAGTCAAGTCACGTTAATCCGGAAAGTGTTAATATGGAGAGTCAACCTTCCAGACGATTACTGCTGGGAATGTTTACAAAATGGCATAACGTCTCAAGCATGATTTGTTAATTAGGCAATTTGTTAATCTGGAAGTTCCCCATCTACCATCCATTTTAGTGGGGCTTTACTGTGTCAGAATTTGACATAGTTTCCTGTCCCCTAGTGAAAATATTGTTGAAGTACTGAAAGCAGTTCTTGGTATATGCATGTTTATATATTTTACATAAATAAACTGGAGTGGAAAGAGCTGTGGACAAGTTGGATATAACCATGATAACTCATGGTGTCCACCGGTCAGTGGGGTGGCCTAGTGGTTTAAGCGATCACTCACCAAGCCGAAGACCTGGGTTTGATTCCCCACATGGGTGCAATGTGTGTCTCCTATATTGAACTTATCTGGCTTGTTAGACAAAGATAAAGCAGAACAGCCTAAAATGTCTCCAAGATTAGCTTTGATAACACAGATATGGATGGATGGATGGATGGATGGATATACCGTTGATCGTGTTTATTGTTGAAGTTACTTGCCAACACTTTTGTCTCAGTCAACAATTGCTTCCCTATGTTATATCTTCAGGGCCACTGTGCACTTGAGATGCCATCAGGAACAGGCAAGACAGTGTCACTGCTCTCGCTGATCATCTCCTACATGAGGGTAAGGCCATCTCCTGTACATCTGCTTTACCAATATAATAATAATAATAATAATAAGTAGAGGAACGATACACTGATGTATTGGTGGGTCGCGATTTTTTACTTCTCTATATAAGTATCGATTACAATCACACACAAATTAAAAGTATCGATTCTTACCTTAAATGTATTTTTTTTTATAAATGTTACACCAAACACTAATACTAGTAAAATTGAGTAGTAAAAACGTAAATATTTTCATCCATTGCGCTATACTTGACACTGCCAACTGTGAATTGTGGGTGTGGCAGGTATTTGGCTATCCTGTCTATGAAAAAGGTGGCTCATGCAGCACCTGCATGTAATGTGATACATATCGGATCTTGAGTAAGGTATCGCGATACGTATCATATTGCACAGTTGGTGTATCATTCCAGTCCTAATTTTGATAATAGTAATAATCCATTTATGTGGCACTGTACTGCATGCATCAGTATAGTTTTAGCATTTAGACATTATTACCCCAGTCAATGGACAAGTGTGCACTTGATATTCATTCTCAGCTACCTGGGGAGTATGAAACCCCTGCTGTCTGAGCACTAGAAGGTTAACTGTGAATACCATCTCATCCTACCGGGTACCCATTCACTGCTGGGTGAACAAACCACAATTATGAACAAAGTCACTTGTGCTTCAGTGTGGGTCAGGACAGAAGCCCCAGAACTCTCTGGAGTCACCTTGGTGATCACGTTCACCCATCGAAGGACTCTCTGAGACCAACGTTGATTAACTGATATGTGACTCGTGCACTGTGCACAGGAGCAAATGCCATCACCATTAGCTGAATATTGAATGTCATCTTCAGCTAAAAGAATTGAACATTGTTGAACATTCTCTTTAGCATAAAGTATTGAACATCATCTGTCATGTCTTGAATGTCAGGGGGCGGTCGGGTAGCCTAGTGGTTAAAGAGTTAGCTCGTCACGCCGAAGACCCGGGTTTGATTCCCGACATGGGTACAATGTGTGAAGCCCATTTCTGGTGTCCCCCGCCGTGATATTGCTGGTATATTGCTAAAAGCGGCGTAAAACCATACTCACTCACTCACTCACTCTTGAATGTCAGCATTGTCTGAGAGTATGGAGCATCATCAGGGGTTGAGTGTGGTGAACATCACTGTCAGCCAACTGAATGAGAAAGCCCTTCTTCCTTTTCAAGGCTCACCCTCTGGAGGTCAGCAAGCTCATCTACTGCTCCAGAACAGTGCCAGAGCTGGATAAGGTAATAACTCACTTAACTTTATGTAAAACAGTGTTGAATGTTCAAGGTGCGTTGTTAGCTTTTGATAATTTTATATTTTATTTGATACATGATTTTTATTTGATAGTTGATATTTGGAAATGAAGTAATCATGTTAATAAATGGGAGATGTGTTCCCTAATGATGTTCTTAGCCATCAGCAGAAAATAGATTGGTCAGTTTTGAGTGCAAAGAGAGCTGATCTGTCAACATGATTAATGTGTTTAGCATTAGTCAATTTAGTGTCAAGGTAAACACACAGCAGTTGGGAAATGTTAAGATAAAAGTGTAAGTGTGGTCTTGGTGTAGAAATGTATATGAAAATGCAATAAAAACATCAGCCGTCCAAAGAATTAATCTGATCCTGGAACTTTTAAGTGAGTGTTATTCTGCTCGTTGCTTTTGAACTGCCTCCATGGTGTAGTGGATAGAGTGTCTGCCCAAAGAGCCGAAGGTCGGTGGTACCATTCCCAAAGACATTAAAATATGTTACTTGTTGTTACCCTGTCTGGCATTCAGTATTAGTGGGGTAAAACAAGGACTGGTCAGCTCGGAGTCAGTCTACTGTGTCTGAGTGGGCTGTCCATGTTAAAAACTGAAGCATGGTATCTCAGTGAACTAGCAATATAAAACCAGCAAGAGTCAGGACTAGTTCAAGCAGCCACACATACACGTGCATGCATGTAGAAGTGCAACAATCTTGATGCGGTGTTAAACCCCATTTCACCACACCTCACCTCACCCATTTGTTTTCCTACCTATATTATATACGGTATTAGTTGTATCTAAATGCAGGTAACTGCAGATGTCCAAACAACAGGATTTTAAGAACTAAATTGCTGTTTATCATCCATGCCATTTTTATATTTATGATGTAGAGATTCTTTTAATTTTCATCATGTCTAACATGAAGTAGGCTCACAAATTTGAGTGTAAATGCAAGTTTCTAATAGCAATAGGACTTCATTTGTTACTTAAGGTTGTGGAAGAGCTGCGTAACTTGATGAAGTACTATGAGAAGGAAACAGGTGAAGTCCCCAACCTGCTTGGCCTGGCCCTCAGTTCCCGTAAGAACATGTGTGTCCATCCTGAGGTGAGAACGTTGAGTTTACCATAGTGTCCATCCTGAGGTGAGAACGTTGAGTTTACCATAGTGTCCATCCTGAGGTGAGAATGTTGAGTTTACCATAGTGTCCAACCTGAGGTGAGAACGTTGAGTTTACCATAGTGTCCAACCTGAGGTGAGAACGTTGAGTTTACCATAGTGTCCATCCTGAGGTGAGAATGTTGAGTTTACCATAGTGTCCATCCTGAGGTGAGAACGTTGAGTTTACCATAGTGTCCATCCTGAGGTGAGAATGTTGAGTTTACCATAGTGTCCATCCTGAGGTGAGAACGTTGAGTTTACCATAGTGTCCAACCTGAGGTGAGAATGTTGAGTTTACAATAATGTCCATCCTGAGGTGAGAACGTTGAGTTTACCATAGTGTCCATCCTGAGGTGAGAAAGTTGAGTTTACCATGGTGTCCATCCTTAGGTGAGAACGTTGAGTTAACCATAGTGTGGGTGTGTGGATCAGAAATAATTGTTTGTTCGGCATTTCTTAGAAGTTGACAGACGACAGTGTTGACTAGGGCTGCAATGAATACACTATGAGGCGAGTACAATTTGTATCACAAATATGGTGTAACGAATGCGAATATTAATTCACGAATACAATAACAAGTCAGCAGTTGATGTATTATTTGTTATATTCAATGAAACAAAAGCAACACAAATTATTTGACATGGTTTGTTAATTATTAATATATTATACATTTATATGCTTCACTTATCCAGGTACTAGTATCTGCTCAAATGTGACAATGACCAGTGACCACAATACTGTCAAATTAAATATTATAAGAGTGTTGAAATCTGGTTTGTTAAATCTTTATTAGAAATAATGACTTTTTCATTATAATTACAACGTTTTTCATCTTATATTTTTGAATATCTGCGAGTACCGGCACATGTCTTGCAGTCCGACTTCGCAGTGTTTTTTGCCTTTCACTTCCTGGTTCGGCTTATCCGCGGGTCATATCATTTTCTTTCGCATTTCAATGGTCAAGTTAACACCTCAGCTTATCTACGGGGTCGGCATATCCGCGGTCATATACGGTATGCATATAATATGTTCTTATGGATATTTTTAGATACAGGGTATGTAAATGAACATGACTGCATATTCATCATGTTCATAAATATTTGATTCTATTGGTCACGAATAAAGAATTCAATTCATGAATGGATACGGTTCGATTCACTGAATATGCGAGTGAATCGTTACAGCCCTAGTGTTGACACAATTTATGGATAACAGATTGTTTATTATACCGTAATAATGATGTGCCAGTATACATCCTTATACCATTGACAGTGCAGTAGGGATCGGGAGGTTGACAATTGTATAAGGATCTATACCGGAAGTTCACTATTAAAGTGTAATAAAAAAGTTTTGATCCATAATTGTGTCTACTTTGTAATCAGAAAGAATGTTGAAAAGTTTGTTACTGAATCAGATTGGGCGTGAAAGAGATGGTAAGGTCGTGGATGGCCGATGTCACAATCTAACAGCATCCTTTGTCAGGACCCGGCACAAGACAGACCCCACTGTGCCAGTTTGTGACTTCTATGAGGTGAGTTGTTGAGGTGACATTCAAATTGTACTCTAATAGAGCTGTCGATTCCTGACAACATCAAGTGTTGTAACTTGTAATAAATGTGTGATTGCTGTTGCAGAGTTTTGACCAACATGGGAGGGAAGTACCTTTGCCGCCAGGTGTATACAGCCTGGTAAGTAGGACTGCCTGGTCTGCACATCTTAGAGGTGGTAGTTTGTAAATTTCCTTGTAGTTAGTCTATGTATATGTTTGTTAGCATCATTAAACACCTAGCCTGGGATGGTGGGGTAGCCTTGTGGTTAAAGTGTTCGCCCGTCATGCTGAAGACCCGGGTTTGATTCCCCACATGGACACAATGTGTGAAGCCCATTTCTGGTGTTCCTTGTAGTAAGTCTATGTATATGTATGTGAACATCATTAAACACCCAGCCTGGGATGGTGGGGTAGCCGTGTGGTTAAAGTGTTCGCTCGTCATGCTGAAGTCCCGGGTTCGATTCCCCACATGGACACAATGTGTGATGCCTATTTCTGGTGTTCACCTGCCATGATATTGCTGGAATATTGCGACAAGCGGCGTAAATCCACTTGCTCCACACCCAGCCATTTTGACCATGTAACCATTTTGGTCATCTCATGTATGACAAATGTAAGTCATCACAAGGTTTCAATCCATGTAAGCAAATTTGACACTGAAGTTCCCCTCACACTATAACTTGGTTACCATAGTAACTGTTTTTGTTTATTCCAGGATGATATGAAAGAGTATGGCAGGAAGAAAGGATGGTGTCCATATTTCCTGGCCAGATACGCAGTGAGTTGATGCAGGGGCTGTCTGTACTACAGACATGATTGATAATGATAGAATATTGATGGAGTGGTGTTCTGCCCTGTATTATGAGGAACTACTGTTCATATTGGTGGAGCTTGAATCCTGGTTCGCCCTGATTGTTTCAAGGTGTGTCGGCACCATACCCGTGATCGTGGGTTTCACCAAAGTGGTAAACGTCTAAGATCTGCATCACTTTGGGCTTTTGTCCCACATTAAGCTGACACGCTGTGATGTAACTGGAATACTGTTAAAAGCAGCGTTAAACCCAACTCACTCACTCATAGTGGTGGATGACACAGTATTAAAAGAAGCAAGATTATTTAGTCTGCAGTGAGCTTCACCTGAATGACAGTAATTATTATTTTGTCAAATTGACACGAGAGATGTCAGACAGGTCAAAAGGAAAAAGAAGTTTGATTGTTGTTTGACGCCACACTCAGCAATATTCCAGCTTCATGATGGCAGTCTGTAAATAATCAAGTCTGGACCATCATCATCCAAACTTATGTGTCATATTGTGAAAAACGACACAGAAGCTTTCATCATGTTCAGCATCCAAACTTATGTATCATATTGCGGACAAAGAAGTGCATTGTGTGACTTTGGTGTATCGCGTGTGACTTTGGTGTGTTGCGTGTGACGGTGTATCGCGTGTGACTTTGGCGTATTGCGTATGACTTTGGTGTATCGCTAGAATGCATCCTACGTGTTGAGACAGGTATAGGCTGAAGCTGATGATGTGTCTTGTCTGTCCCCAGCTCTCCCATGCCAATGTGGTAGTTTACAGCTACTACTATCTACTCGACCCCAAGATTGCCGAGACAGTGTCCAAAGAACTGTCAAAAACAGCAGTTGTTGTGTTTGATGAAGCCCACAATATAGGTAAGACTCAAGTAGGAGACTAATGCAGTTTGTCATTATGATAATTATCCCCCGCCCAACAAAGTTGGCGGGGGATATAGAAACGGGCTCCGTCCGTCCGTCCATCTTTACGTCTGTCCGTCCGTCCGTCACATTTTGTTTCCGGAGCATAACTCAGAAACCGTTCAATATTTTTTCATCAAACTTTGCAGATCTGTCAGGTACATGCTGAACTGGTGCCTTTTGCTATTTAGAAATTTTAGAAAATTTTTTTTTTTACGTTTCCATGGCAACAAGATGAACTTGGGTTCTGTGAGGGTAGGGTTCGTTTCCAGAGCATAACTCATAAACCGTTCAATATTTTTTCATCAAGCTTTGCAGGTCTGTCAGGTACGTGCTGAACTGGTGCCTTTTGCTATTTAGAAATTTTAGAAATTTATATTGTTTTACCTTTCCATGGCAGCAAGATGGACTTAGGTTCCAAACTCTTCTTTTTTTTACAATTTCCATGACAAGGGGGGGGGGGGATATAGCCACGTTAGTGGCAAACTCTTGTTTAATATTTTAGTTTGTGCAACGACAACAGAACTTACTCATGCATATATAGTTCTCGACAATACCATGTCAGCCACCCCATTACTGTTTTAATCAACATGATTCCCAACACCACTATCGTCTAAACTTTTTCTGTCAAGATTATGATACAGTAATTCTTTCCCACAATTCCACTTCCAAACAGTCTGCACATGCCCAATAAGGCGGACATGACATCACAGTGTTCACCTATATTAACCACATCAGCCTCGCACAAGTTTACAGTCTCCATTGTATCAAGCTACCGAACTGTGTAGAGTTTCGCAGCAGGCAACCGAGGCAGCCCCAATATTACACAAAACATTTGTATGTAAATAAAAGGATGTTTTTATGTACTACATGTTATGTTGTTTGTTGCACAAGCTGAAGGTTAACGTCAGGAATATAGTGGAACTTCTTCAAGTGTGTCAGGCCCAAGACATATTAGATGACTAACTTGTTTAGAATACTTCTCCAAGCTTTGTTGTTTGATTGAGATTATTCAGAACTTCAAAGAACTTTTTTTGTATGAGCTTAGGCGTTCTTTAAGCATGTTAAAGCCAAATGCAGTGTAGGACAGATGGATATATCATTCAGAAGTTGTTGGGCCTAGACACGACTTTGACACATTCAGCCATTAAGAGGATTACACTTCATGATTTGACTTGAGACTACTTCTGTGGTACAGTGGATAGAGAACTTGCCCAGAGAGCGGAAAGTCGGTGGTTAGGTCCTCGACCGTGTCGTACCGAAAGATATGAAAAATTAGGATTTTAGTACTTATTGTTACCCTGCCTGTCGCTCTCCATAAAAGGGATAAAAAAGGTTTTGTTTGAATATTGTGTTATGGGGCTGAAGGATGGGCTGACAATTTGTCCATGTTTGATTGCAGATAATGTCTGTATAGAGTCAATGAGTGTGATGTTGACAAGACGGACATTAGACAGGTGCTCCCAGAATATAGAGGCTCTCAACAAACACATTGACAGGTAGGAGGAAACTTAGCAAAGTTGGATAAAAATTGTGTTCTTTTTTTTTTTTAAAACAGATCAAGGTGCTGAATGTTGAACTGCAGTGTGAACTTTGTCTTTTAATTATTTAAAAATGCAGTGTAGTCTGTTTTAAGAAATCACACATAAGTATAACATAACCCTTACCTGAAAGTTTGAATATATTATTGAAACATACTAAGAAGACAAATGCATTTTTTGTGAAAAAATATTCAATAATTTGTCAACAAGTGTGGCATGCAAACTACAGATTAAGGTTCACTGGACAAAATAATGTCCACTGAAGTGAATATACAGATGTCACACTCCTCTAGTTTTGATCTTCTCAGCTTAATTTTTCCTCAAAACCCACAGGGTGTTTTGATGATGACTAATGTTAAATCCTTCCATACTCTTTGAGACATATTCTCTAGGTCGACACATGGAAGTGGTAATGTTGAGATCATATTACCTTCTAATACTCCCATTCTCAGGTTGAAAGCCAGTGATGCCCAAAAGTTAAAGACAGAGTACCAGCGACTGGTGGATGGATTGAGGGATGCCAGTGTTGCCAGGGAAACCGATGTCATCCTTGCCAATCCAGGTTAAAATCAATGAATGTTAAATTGGCTGTGGGAGACTTAAAAACTTGGAGTAATAAACAAGCCAGGAGTTTAAAAATACAATGGAAACCCGTTTATTTTTCTGAATAATTTTCCTTCTCACAATTCATATGTATACATCTATTGTGTTTCAGTACTACCAGATGAAATTCTACAAGGTAAGCCCTACACCTTTCCTGTTATATTTGACCCGTGAAGATTCCGGGGTAGAATAGGTTTTCAGCAATCCATGCTTGTCGTAAAAGGCGACAAACGGGATCGGGTGGGCAGGCTTGCTGACTTGGTTGATGCATGTCATCGATCCCAATTGCGTGGATTGATGCTCATGATATCAATCACTGGATTGTCTGGTCCAGACTCGATTATTTACAGACCGCCCTCATATAGCTGGAATATTGCTGAGTGCGGCATTCAACAACAATCCAATCCAATACAATCCAATAAAATCCAATACAATCCTGTTATATTTGTTCATGTCCTTCATTCTAGATCAGGGGCGGTCGGGTAGCCTAGTGGTTAAAGCATTCGCTCATCACGCCGAAGATCCGGGTTCGATTCCCGACATGGGTACAATGTGTGAAGCTCATTCCTGGTGTACCCTGCCATGATATTGCTGGAATATTGCTAAAATTGGTGTATAGCCATACTCACTCACTCACTCATTCTGGTTCAGAGTGCATCTCGAGTAGCTGTTTAGTGTCCCCAGAGCACAGTGTAGTAGGGATCAGGGAGTTACAATATGAAAAGTACTATTCCTCTGAAGGCCATCCAACCAATAGTGTTAGGACTTGCCAACTTTCATAACTATAGAGGGGCGGTCGGGTAGCCTAGTGGTTAAAGCATTCACTCGTCACACCAAAGACCCGGGTTCGATTCCCGACATGGGTATAATATGGGAAGCCAATTGATGGTGTACCCTGCCTTGATATTGCTGGAATATTGTTAAAAGCGGAGTAAAACCATACTCACTCACTCATTACTACATAAATTAGCAACATTATCACAAGAAATTTTATTTGGAGATCAGTTGACATTCCTTTGCGTACCTTATTTAAAACAACAATATCATTTACATAGAATTAAATTTTTGTTGTGTTCATTGTAATTCCTGCATTCTGATTAGCCGAACTGGTCACGTGTTATTGCATTCATTTCCCAATGAATGTAAAAAATTAAACCGCGCCCACCGAAGCGGACTACTTTTATTACTACGGAAAGTCAGGGAATCCCAGTATTACAGTCAAGTCCCTTTCTGCTCACTTGTATCATCATGCACAGGACATTTAGTGAAATTCATGCATATTCATTGTCCAAACTATCCTTTGAGAATGAAGGCCGAGAAGGAATGAAACAGCAGACGTGCAAGCCTGCTTGCCTGTTTTGTTTCCGCTCGCTTAGGTTCCACAAATTTCATTTAAATGGTACAGTACATATTGTCAATATGTTAGGCAGATAAAATATGTCTTTTAGATTCATGTTCATATTTGTGAGGCTGTTTGTGATTATTTATTCTTTATCCTGAACCTTGATGTGGGTGTCAGTTATCCTCTGTCTCCGTGCTCTCGTTATACAGAGGCAGTTCCAGGGAATATTCGAACAGCGGAACACTTTCTCGGGTTCATGAAACGTTTTTGTGAATACATGAAAACTAGACTACGAGTGCAGCACGTGGTGTCGGAGTCTCCACCCTCCTTTCTCAAAGACTGTCTGAACAAAGTCTGCATCGAGAGGAAGCCCTTGCGGTAGGTTGTCGCTGCACTTAATCAGTGAACTTTCAAAGCAAAACATCTTTAATATAACAGACCAGTGTTCGAAATAATTATTATAATAATTATAAATATTGAAAAAACGCAAAATAAGAGACAAATCATGTCTTGATTCAGTTGAAATAATGCTAACAACTACTTGAGAATCTACAAAAACTGAATACATAAGTAGTCTTAAAAAAATTATCTTTTCGGGCAGATGAAGGAAAATGTCATGCAGCCTGACAGAAAAGTTAAGAGCCACGGGCAGGTGGTCAGGCAGTTATTTCGGACACTGTAACAGACCAAATCTTAATTCCAGAGCTGCTATAACAAATCTCAGTTCTTCATATGGATGACAAATTGTTGAATCCACAGTATAAGAAACTGATTTCGACATTTGCATGAAACATCCAGAAGGGGAGGCCTATGCTGCCTTAGTTTACATCTCAAATTCCCTGTAGGTATGATCCTTGGGCCCCGTGGGGAATCTGGGTTAGAACTGGTCCCCAGCACCGTACGCTGGTCGTGGTAGGCGACATAATGGATCGGGTGGTCAGGTTCAGTGATTTGGTTGATAGCGTGTCATTGTACCCCGATGGTGTGGATCATTGTGCACAATATCAGTCACTGGATTGTGCGGTCCAGATTTGATTATTTTAATTTAAAGGCTGTGCTGTCATATAGCTTGAATATTGCTGATTGCAATGTAAAAAACAAACACACACACACACTCGGATCCTTGGCCTCACTGGTCCACACTGTATTTTGGGCTTTCCTCCCAAATTATTCTCATACCATTTCTTATCTGGCATGTTTGAAATAAAAAATAACAAAAAAGAACCACACATTTACATAAAAATGATAAAGAAAGTGATGCTAGATTGAAAATTGTATTCGTTGTTCTCCTGATATAATATGTCACCCCACAGGGAACAAGCCATTTCACATTGTTCTGAGATGGAAAAATGTTGATCTGTTTGTGTTTGTCATGGAGAACAAATTTGAGTTATGAATTGTCATTTGTAGATTCTGTGCTGAGAGGTTAAAGTCCTTGATGCGGACCCTGGAGCTGGCAGACACTCAGGACGTCTCCGCAGTGACACTGCTCTCCAACTTTGCCACACTTGTCAGTACCTATGCTAAAGGTGGGTCCATTTTGCTCATTATTTCATATTCTTTTTCTTCACAGTGTTTAACAGGTTTCGAATCCATATGGGAGTTCCTGGGGTGAGTAGGTCCCAGTATTCCAGGCTGGTCATCAGGTGGATGATGCTTGTTGACTTGGCTGATTTTGTATTCCCAGTATTGCATGCTTGTCATCATCTTCCCAAGGCAAGTGAGTTAACTGAAAGTCCAGTTTCCACCCTTACCGAACTAGGCTGGTATTATGAATTTATATTTTGGCTGGACTAACGAGTCCAATCAAGATCGCTTTAAGAAATCAACAGCCGGTTTGTAAACTGCGATGAAGATTTTGGTTGATTGCAGGATTTGCAAAGCATGTGTACCGCCAACTTGGCGTTAACAGATATTTTCCAAATCTTTTCATGTTTTTAATCAAGGTGCTCACATTATTTGATGCACTTCACAATTTAGATCTTGATTATCGATAAGATCCTCTTGACCAGGTGCCACCATTTCGTTTGAAGCAAATGCAAGTGATATGTGAGGTCTAATCTGATTGGTCAATAGGCGGGACATAACTCGTAATAGTCACTGTTGGCATTACGATAGGGCCCAGAAATTCCAGCCTAGTTCTGCAAGGGTGGAAACAGGACGTTTATAGTCTGTTAACTCCCTTGCCTCGGGAAGATGGCTTGTCATAAGGAAGAACTAAAGAGAGTCAGGTGATGAAACTTTGGTGACTTGGATGATTTTGTTCATCATGACTTGATGATGTGGATGGCTGTCATATAAACATTTGTTTGACAATCTGATGGTAGTCATTATCATCATTAGTCTGTTGAAATGGAGAAAAGCAATACTTAGAAAATATTTTCATTGATGTTATGCAGGATTTGTCTTGATCATCGAGCCCTTTGATGACCGCACCCCAACAATCAACAACCCCATCCTGTACTTCAGTTGCATGGATGCTTCTATAGCCATCAAGCCGGTGTTTGACCGATTCCAGACAGTTGTCATCACGTCCGGGGTAAAAAGTGCCAGTATACACCTTCTGTGTTATGTACCTGTTACATAGACTAGTCAATAAAGCAAGAATTAACACTGTTTTGTCATGTGCAAGTACTCAAAATATTTTCAAAAGTTTGTACTGGTTCGTACTTTGCCTGTAGCAAGGAGACACGATCACTGTGTCAGATTAGCAAGCAGCCAATCCTCTCTGTTTACAGGTTACATGATCCTGATGAGAGGGAATCAGTAATCCAAAATCAATTTCATATTTTCAAAGACACCTTGTTGAATACTCTAATCCCAGAATACATTCCAGGTCATACAAAGACATTATAAGATTGTACTTTTTGTTACCCTGCCTAGTGTTTGGCATTAAGGGGCTAAAACAAGGACTGGTCTGCTTGGAGTGAGTATACTGTGTCGGTGTGGGGTATCCATGTTAAGCTGAGGCATGGTATCTCAGTGAGCTAGCACTATGAAACAAGAGTCCGGACTAGTACAATCAGATACATGCACACACAAGCTTGCATGTCGCTATATAAGTGCAACAATCTTGAACGCGATGCTAAACCCCATTTCATCCTACCTCACCCACAGAAGGTGACTCTACTGGGGATTTCGTGTGTGCCTGCATGGACAACCTAGTGCCTGTGTCATCCTGGCTTATTGCTGCTCATACACTCCACCACTGGTCCGTGCCTGGTGTGATGTTGCTGAAGATCATGTCGGAAACATTATGTATCTTCTGAAACCTTTTTCCTATTTTAGTAGATATTTTCTTGTTTGAGGATGTAAAAGATGTATGATCTGATTTGCATTTATTTTGAACATTTTCTCTGTTCTGATGTGGAAAAATCAGTAATTCTGATGCAAACTTGTGGAAGCTCTAAATGTCAAGTTCTGTCTTGAAAAGTCCTTGAATTTAGATTTTTGCCTTGAAATTTACCACATCTACTGATACCGTATTCGACGTAATAAGCGCCCACGGCAATATTTGCTAATATATTGGCTAGTGAATGATCCCAATAAGCACCCCTTCCGATTGATCAATGTACACTTATTTATTCGTGTATAATACACACTCGTGTGTTATATTCACCCTTAATTATGGGCAATTAAATCCTGGAAAATATATCTGACGTGTATAATACGCACACACTTTTCTTTTGTATCATTTCAGGCTGTCAGCATAAACCACGAAATTTACGATCTTTCCACTTTGGTTTTTTTCTCACCAAAATTATATTCTAATAAGAGCCCCCTATTTCTATTTTTGAGAGTGCCCTGGGTGCTTATTACATCGATTATGGTATATGTTTTCAAAATTTGATAAAACAGAATACTGTTGAACACAATTGTAAGAGTTCTGTTTATCATATTAAAAGTCAATAACAATAGAATTATCTCCCTTGTTACATTTGAATATTCCTGTAATGGTAACAAAATGAATGGAAAATTATAGAATTTTTAATTTGCATGGTCTGAAATTTGGGAGAGGCAACCTTGAAATGAAAGTTTGGCCCTGAAATTCTGTACAAGATGTAATCAAGCAATGTCAGTTACTTCCTGTTTCTTCTGCAGACATTGTCACCTCTAGATATGTATCCGAAGATTCTAGATTTCCGTCCAGTAACCATGGCAACATTCACAATGACACTCGCCAGAACCTGCATATGCCCACTGGTAAGTTCGTCAGCTGACCTACTGAGTTGAAGTATATATTCTTATGTGTTGAATCACCTTGCAGTCTATCTCTTGGATCACAGACATATCAGCCTTCGAAATTCACGCTGCTCCGCTAGTCCGAGACAACTAAGATTGTGCTGAGGACAAGTAAAAATCCAGTGATGGTAGTCCCCATAGACTAGTAGCATTTGAGGGCTATGATTCTGAACCAGTTCCCATTGTTTTTATTTTGCTACAAATTGAAACTGAATACAACAGACAGAAAATGTAAACATAGTGAAAAAATGTGTCTCGTTCAAGCAGCAGGACAAGGTACAAATTCTGAAGACAAGTGAAAAAAGGTTTCTACTCTTACTCTGGAGTTAAAAAAACACGAATTTATAAGGCTGCATATTCACTAACTCAAACATAAAGGAGAAAATCATCAACTGTAAGTTTATAAATAAACTCAAGACGTAGTTGTACTCCTTTAGACATTGACTTCTCTGGCAGACCAACATATAATGATGGGAACAAAACACATAAGAATAAACCCAGACACATCTATGATACAAGCAATTATTGAAGGATGGTCATAACATCAGACTGAGCTTGTAAATTGGTCACAATCTCTTTAAACATTTATCATTATTCTTTACACTATTCTTTCATGGGTAACCATTTTTACAGAGAGCTTTCATGATATGATGTAGTTATAGGCGCCTTCACATGCCAAAGACCCGCGAAGATACAGGGTAGAATAGGTCTAAAGAAACCCATGCTTGCCATGAAAGGCAACTATGCTTGTCGTAAGAGGCGACGAACCGGATCGGGTGGTCAGGCTCGCTGACTTAGTTGATGCATGTCATCCCAATCGATGCTCATGATGTCAATCAGTGGATTGTCTGGTCCAGACTCGATTATATACAGATCATATAGACAGTCATATAGCTGGAATATTGCTGAGTGCGGCGTTAAACAACAAACAAACAACATGCCAACACTTACTTTTGTGTAAATGAAGGAACCTTCTGTTGTTGTAATGTGTGATATTGGTGGCTGAATTCCCAGTGGAAGTAAGTGTCACTGATGATCCCCAGCATATGGTTGCCATAACTACCACCTCAGCTTCAGGGTGAGTCCAGGACTGTGATTAAATACATATTTTTCTTTCAGATTGTGAGTAAAGGAAATGATCAAGTGGCCATGAGCTCCAAGTTTGAGACAAGGGAAGACATAGGTATGTGAGTCAGTATGTGAGTCAGTATGCAGCCTGGGCCATTAGGACAGAAGTGACTATAGTTGACCTGTACATAGCATCAGGTTATGCAAGCGTGACCACTGCAGCAGAAGTCACTGTAGACAATAGCTATCAAACACTAAAGCTTGATCACATTGTTGATCCTCATAGGACAAGAGACTTGAATTATTGGTGGTCTGTCTGAACATATTACTGGCATCAGGATAAAGGTAAACTTTTTTTCACACCTACTTGCAGGGAGTACTGCTGCTACTAGTTCCCTCCACTGTTGTACAGATGATAATGTCTGGCTCATTTGGTCATAATTATTTCAGCTGTGATTCGAAACTATGGCAATCTTCTGGTGGAGCTGTCAACGATTGTACCTGATGGAGTAGCATGTTTCTTTACCAGCTATATTTACATGGTAAGCATGAAGACAGTATTGAGTTTTCACTGATAAACGACATGATAGATAGGAGTGGGTCCACAGTTTTGCTGAGATTTGCATTTTGTTTGATAAATACAGTAAGTGGATTTATTATAAATCAGGGACCGTTCATTTATTACAGGGGGGTCAGAGGTTTTTGATGCAAAAATGTACTGAAAATAATAACCCTCCTCTAATGCTTGTCATTATTTTAGATGACCCCTCATGTCCTTTTCATGACCCTCCTCGAAAAAAATAAATGTAAATTACTAGTGTAACATGTCCAGTTTTCATTATGATCCAAATATATGTGTATTATTTTTTTATGACCCTCCCCAATGTAGCTAGAGACTGTCATATTTTGTGGTGGACTCTCCCCTGATTTGCTCTGACCCCTATAGTAAATGGATGGTCCCTTAATCATGTTCATGTGTATTTTGAAGTCATATGTTTGTGCCTCATCATGTATTTCTGTTTTGCAGGAAACGATTGTGGCATCGTGGTATGAACAGGTGAGTAGAGATATGTGCTGAAAGTGTGTAGAAGGCTTGTTGTCTGTCCTCCTATGTGTGTTCTCCAGTCCAGGATTGGCTGTAGGGTGATGTAGATGCTCCTATATTTACAGACCTGTCACAAGTAGGTCAGATGACAGATCCTGGCATTGGTATTGCAGTCTTATTGCAATCACATCTTTTACTCTCATATGAAGATCTGAAGACACCCCCATAGAAGCTTACTTCCGATAAACTTTCTCATCAGCCAATTTGCATTGATGCTTTTATATTCCTGGTACGAATAAAATAAGCATTCAGACCAGCATGCCTGATTGTTATATCTCAAAAACATAGTTAATTGGCCTGTTCTGAATGTAAACAATAAAGGCCACGGCACTATTATATTATTGTGTATATGCACCATGTCCTATCTGAGAACCATGGCATGTACAAAGGAAGTATAACAAGTGTTATTTGTGTTCTGGGTGGAAATTTCCAAAACAAAGTGGTAAAGAAATAAGCAGCATTGTTTTAGAAGGCTGACATCTGATTGGCTGAAGAACCAATGCTTCCTTCATTAAGATTGTGCATCACTTCATGCAGAGAGGTATTGTATCAGAGTTAAAGGTTTGATGTAAATGAGATTGAGTGATACTGTTTCTTCCATGAATGATATTCTTGGCAAATAAGGAAGAAGACGGTTGAAATTTATGTCTTTGAAATATTGTCGACATAAATATTTCATCAAAGGCTTGAGGTCTCATGTGGTATCCCCCGAACTGTTCTTGATGGTGATTAGATGAACTTTGATTTTTTTCTTGTTCTTCTTGAGGTGAAATGGGGTTTAATGTTGTGCCCAAGATTATTGCACTTACATAGTGATGTGCATGCACATGTGTTTGTGTGTGTGGCTGCTTGTACTAGTCCGGACTATTGACGATTTTATAGCGCTAGCCCACTGAGATACCATGCAGCAGTTTAACCTGAATACCCAATAGACACACTTTACTGACTCCGAGCCGACCAGTCCTTGTTTTAACCCCTTAATGCCATGATCCAGGCATGGTAACAAGTATCATATTTTACCAATTTTGTTTCTTGTTATAAAAGCTAATGACCTGATTGGCCACTTGTCATCTTGTCATCTTGTAATCTTGTAAAGGCCTTGCTTGTTGGCATAAGCAATAGCTTATAGACTGATTAGTTTGTAAACTTGATATTGATATGATCTCAGACTTATTGACTGGTGAAGGAATAAGGGAAGATAATACACATGTTGATATCCTCACATAGTATTGTCTGGTAAATCTGAGAGTATAGTGTGGTCCCAATGAGGTCCCCGTGAGATCCTTGTGAGATCCCTGTGTGGTCCCCATGTGATCCCTGTGTGGTCCCTGTGTGGTCCCAGTGAGTTCCCTGTGAGATCACTGTGTGGTTACTGGGAGGTCCCAGTGTGGTCCCAATGTGGTCCCAGTGAGTTCCCTGTGAGATCACTGTGTGGTTACTGTGAGGTCCATGTAAGGTCCCTGTGTGGTCCCTGTAAGATCCCTGTGTGGTCCCTGTAAGATCCCTGTGTGATCCCTGTGTGGTCCCAATGAGGTCCCGGTGAGATCCTTGTGAGATCCCTGTGTGGTCCCCATGTGGTCCCAGTGAGTTCCTTGTGAGATCACTGTGTGGTTACTGTGAGGTCCATGTAAGGTCCCTGTGTGGTCCCTGTAAGATCCCTGTAAGGTCCCTGTAAGATCCCTGTGTGATCCCTGTGTGGCATTAAACAACAAAGAAACAGTAGGTTCACTGATGATGTAGCGGATAACTGGAACCTTGAGATCATCAAAGTGTCGTCATTTGTCCACAAATTGTTGCCTTTCACCAGCTTTTGTTGTCAACAGTCACAGACAAATAAAAACTGACAACCACTCTTGGATGTTGTGTAATTTATTATCTGGGTGAATAAAATGGACTTCCCTTTGTGTTTGTGGACGTATCTGGTTGAGTTACAAGTAGATGTAGTGTCCCAAGTGAATAATCTTAGTCAGAGCCACTGATTGTTAATACTAGGAATGACCGAGTGTGAGCAACTATGCCATTTTGTCCTTTAAGTGCCAGAATTGACAGCCTGATTGTGACTTACATGGGTTTTCACACGAGTTGTTTATGACTTGCATCAATTTGGGCATTGCTCCAAGAAGCGGATTCAACCAGCTGACATAACCAGCTGACAATTCAGCTGAGAACACCATGATATAGTGGTGTTATCTCAGACTTTTCTGTGCACTGTGGTCATGTTGTCAACGACAAGGCTGTTTGTTGTGTAGAGTGCAATCCCATAGCCACGCCCTGACCTGCTGATGTTCAGGATTGACTGTGGATTTTTTTCAGTTCATTGAGGTGTGGTCAAAACTGCGATGTGCAAACTGTATGAGAAAACATGAAATTTGTGGAACCTAGGCGAGCTGGAAATAACAGGCAGCGAGCGTGCACGTTTGGTGTTTCATTCCTTCTCGGCCTTCGTTCTCAAAGGGTAGTTTGAACAATGAATATGTGTGAATTACGCATGCCGATACACATGAGCAGAAAGGGAATTCCCTCAGCCGTAATATTGAGATTCCCTTACATGACATAGTATTAAAAGTAGTCGCTTCAGTGGGCTTGGCTTAATTTTTTACTTTCGTTGGGAAATGAATGCAAAAACACAATTCAGCTAATCAGAATGCAGGAATTACAAAACAAAAATTTGATATTTAAGTATAACTCACTCACAAGTATGGGAGATGTTTAACATGTTACACAGGAGCAGAGCACACTCGCATGTCGCCAACTGAGGCAGTGGTTGCATAGCGTGATTTTGTCTGTTCAGTTGCATGATAAATGACAGAGTTCTGCTAAAGAGCATTGCAAAGGAAGGGGTAGTGGTTGGTCCACAACAAGTAGTACTATGGATATGTGTGTGTCTTGTCATGGCTGACGAGCTGTAGTGGCACATAATAGTATGCTCTGATGTGATGTACCTAATGACAGTGAAAAGGATGACAGTGAATGTGCATAGATAACAACTGAGAAGTATCGTGACAATGAAGGAAATTCATTTGCTGTAAAAATGGAATTCTTTTTTTACCTCAGAATAATAATGAATAGTGTCATGTCATTCATCACATGATTGTGAAGGTTGAGACCTTAACATAGTGATAGTTGACTCAATGACATACTCTTTAATTTATCCCATGTGACTGTTTGTAGTGTTTCAGCATACTGTAAATTGTATTATTGCTAGCTGGACTAATCTTGTGTAACTGGATAATCATAGCACTAGTCTTCACATTCTGATGCACTGTGGGTCATGGTGTCAGCCTTGCATTATTTTTATTCAAACACACCATGATTCCCGGTGGGGATTCTGGGTTAGAACAGGTCCCCAGCAATCCAAATGGATCTGATGGTATGTGGTTGACAGCATGTCATTGTACCCTGACAGTGTGGATCATTGTTCACAATATGAATCACTGGATTGTCTAGGGGCGGTCGGGTAGCCTAGTGGTTAAAGCGTTCGCTTGTCACACCTTAGACCCGGGTTCCATTCCCAACATGGGTACAATGTGTGAAGCCCATTTCTGGTGTCCCCCGCCGTGATATTGCTGGAATATTGCTAAAAGCGACGTAAAACCATACTCACTCACTCACTCACTGGATTGTCTGGTCCAGACTCATTTATTTACAGGTCAGTCATATAGATGGAATATTGCTGAGTATGGCACAAAACAAACGTTCTGTTAGTTGCATGTTGGCTCAACTGTGTCCGAGACAAGTACCTGTCATCTTGAAAAAATGCTTATTGGAAGAAAATAAACGGCATTGCTGAAGGTTTATGAGGTTTTATTCAGAAATAAGTTAAAAATGACATTAACTTAAATCCTTTATGTACAACATTTGTACATCACAATGTTGGTGATATGAATATGCATGAAACTTTGTACAATGATGTAGTAGTAAAATGTACAGGTATACTATAAACAAGTCATCGTAGAATGTATTGAAAACTCAATGTAACAAATTTCTGCAATAATACACACCACAATATGAGAAAACAAAGTGATATAAAACATTGTTTTATGAATAAAACTATGCATGGTGACAGGATGAATGATAGGAAACACTTAAGATTGAATCACAGTAGATAAAAACTTAAGGGCTATCACAATATTTGCAAATCACAGTTCAGTTTCATAAGAAGTCATATCATACATATATACAATCAAAGATATTTACAGCACGTAGTTATTCTATGTACATAGCACTGTTATGTATATAGCACTGAGCAAGGCAAACTTGCAATATGATATCACAATAACCATAAAACGAACATAACACTGCATATATGTAAAACAGTATTTTCAAATGGCACAACACTCAAAGAAGGCAAATCTAGATTTATCTCCAATCTAAATATGTAGAAATTGGTTCACCAGAGTTATCTGCCCTTAATGTTTTGCTGAGTTGATGAGGGATGAGAGCTGTTGAATAACAAAGGAATTATCCATTGACTTATGTTGGCCATCTTTGGATAGTGAATGACATATGGTTAGTAGACGCTCTTGTAAGTGCTGTTTCTCTACTTTAGGACGGGTGTTGTTGCTACGATTTCGCTTGTTTGCAAACCAGGACTTGACCTGCGACACTGTGATACCTCCCTCGGTGGCCATCTTGAGTTTATCCTGTTTGTTGGGGTATGGATTTTCCCGGTGTCCATTGTACCACTCGACCATGATCATGATTGCTTGGTGATTCAGGGGCTCATTATGTCGTCCACGCTTGTAGCTTGTATCATCAGCCGCTGGATCTGTATCTTGCCGCTTCCTCTTGCCGGGCTTACAATGAGATTTGACGTCTGCTGCCACTAGGGGGAGTTTCTCACTGGATGTAGAAACCTGGGCAGACTGGATGTGGACAGGAGTGATTTTGGATGACGTCTGCTTGGGATGCTTGATGTGAACTGGGGAAACCTTGGATGTCACATGGGAGACTTGAATGGGAGAGATTGGCTCATACTTAGCACAGATGGATCCTAATGGATAGGGTTGACTGTTGTGATGGGAGGGTGTTGCAACAACACTGCCAGGTAGCTTGGTAGTGCTGGGTGTGGCTTGGTTGATGGGTGTGCACTGTTTGACCCCATTAGTGGTATGTGACTCTGATTTCTGTTTGGAAAGCACTGAGAAGAAGGATGAAGCAAAGCCTGGGATCTGGGGGGGCGTCTCTTTAGTCTGTGGAAATAAAGAATTGTATTGATATATGGAAAATAACATTTATTTGGTATAATACCATTAAAAGGAAGTAAAGGACCACCTGATTCTTTCAAATTACTATAGTTAATGTCATGCCATGGCATAACCAGAATTATATGAAAGAATCGACTGGTCCTTTTTCCCTTATGGGTGCATGGCATGTTGTAATTTTAACAAAGATTATTCCATTCATACTGTGCCAAATGATCACAGTTGAGTGAGTGAGTGAGTGAGTATCATGGCGGGGGACACCAGAAATGGGCTACACACATTGTACCCATGTCAGGAATCGAACCCGGGTCTTTGGCGTGACGAGCTAACGATTTAACTACTAGGCTACCCGACTGCCCAGATCACAGTTGAAATTGATTTACATTTCTGCATTACGAAGTACAGTAAACTCTACTTGACAGAACATTTGCCTGCTTGTCATTGAAGTCGGTAAACAACTTACAGAAAAACACTTTCTTATCTGACACAATAGAAAGAATACCAGACATCTGATGTAGATGGTTGGAATTAAAAAGATATTGTCAAATACCCACAGGAGAAGGTTGGTGGACCTCTTCAGAAACCACGTTAGCATGCAGAAAGCTGGTTGTCTAAATGGTTCGATCATTCTAGTATTGGTTTCAACATTTTCAGAAGACAATTCAGGGATTTATCTAGACTGCTAACGGACGAGATTTGGTCCTCTACATTTCTGAACTTACGTTAATATACTTATAACCATGATGACCAAGGGCATGTCCTGTGTTGTGGAAGGGAAGGTGGACCAGATGGAATTAGGGGAGGGTCATCCAAAAGGTGACAAGCATTAAGGAGGGTCATAATTTTTTGTATGTTTGTACATCAAAATACCTGTTATGATTTTTGTCATTGGGCTTTTAAGGTAAAGTAACTTTTCATGCCATGAGCAATTAGTTCAGAATCCCTGATAAATCACTGCTATTGTTTTACAACATGATCGAGGACAGTTGGACTTGAAGAAACTCACCTGTGACTGGTAGGCACTGGTAGACAGTGAATGCAGAGAATCCTCCGACAGGTATCCGCTGTCCATGTACTCTCGTCCTCCCGGACTGCGCCAGATGGAGGTACAGGGACTCATCACCGGCGATGTCGGGGGTGGGGGGGACTGGAGGAGGCTGTCGGGGGTCATCTGTTTCCCAATTGGAGACACATCATGAGAGTCCATCTGTAAAACGGTCTGGATGATGTCCGGGGTTGAGCAACGGCCGTACATACAGTCAGGGGCATCTGTCACTGGGTAGTATGCAATGACTGGTGCATACTCGTGGGGGTGCTGTGGCGAGTCTATGGGCAGGCACTGCGAGAGGGTAGACCATGGAGAATGCATGCTCAAGTCCTCATGCTTCACATATGATGAGTGGTGGTAGGGGTGACAGGCGTACAAGTCTGTGGGACTCACTTCTACTTTGTGATGGAGTCTGTCATGGTGAGCACCTACATGGCTAACCCATTTGGGTTTGGGCATGTGTTCCTGAAGTTGGGACAAGTTTCGGCTGGCTTCATGGAGGTTATAGGATCCAGCCACCATGGCTGTCAGGAAATCAGGAATTTTTGAGGATGGACCAGTGGTATGATACATTTTCCCTCTATTTGAATCAGTCATAGTACAGATAAACAGATAAACTGAGTCTGCTATGTTATGTGTAGGTCAGCTTGTTTGGATATCCTTGAGCATCCTGTTTAGTACTTATACATATTTGCCTCCACTGACACTCACTGGTCATGTGATCTCAATGCCAGCTTTGATTGGGTCCTCGGCTCTGCATGATGACAGCTGATTGGCTGTGTTGACTGAAGCCAAGCTCACTGTGTTGAGTGAAGAGTGCCTGGTGATTGGTGTCATTGTTCAGGTCAATACAGGTCAATCATTTATCCTAAATTGGTTTTGAATTAATGACACTCTTTTCTTAAATACATTTCATTGCAGTGAAGTTATTTTGGAGTGAGTACATAATCCTGTGAGTATTGACAATACAAACATTTGCCTCTCCACAGGACGTGTAAACTCTCTGGGGAGATGTCAACAACACTTGTTATGTATTTTTAATAATAACATCATCTTTAAAAGTAATATCTGTTTACAAACTCCTATATACACACACCATGTCATAAAGTCTTCAATTAATAATGTTGTTGTTGTTTTATATGCTTGAAGCCTAGTGGTTAAAGCATTCACTCATCACGCCAAAGACCCGAGTTTGATTCTCAACTTTGTCACAACTTGTGAAGCTGATTTTTCTTGGGCCCACCGCCTTGATAATGCTGGAATATTGCTAAAAGCAGTAATACAATACTCACTAACTCTTTGTGCTTGAAGTGGATGGCAAAGCTTGTTTTATTGCTTTGTATGTGATAGTTCCGGAGCACCCTGGACTTGGCCAGTGCTTGTTGGGAGACAATGACCTACCTGTTGGCAGGAGTTAGGTAACCTGTCTTCATCATATGCATGCTTTTCATGAACTTGCACAGAATTCTTGTTTTTGTAGGTGAATTGCATGTATAATTGTAAATGGGTACAAGCATTTGAAATTGACAACAGACCTCTCTTTTTAAGGGGAGGCTGGTACACTGATTTCCTGATCTGTTGTATGAGGAATTAGGGAGGATATATAATCCTCTAGTCTTGCTTCTGTGAAGTACTTAAATGTGTGTTATGCAGGGGTATTTGTATATTTTGTAGCTAATATGCCAGTTTTTCTCATGAATAATAAGATGATTTGGCCTCAGTAGTTGATGACCGTGATAATCAAGATATTTTGTGGTTGCTGAAGACCTACTCTACCCCGGATCTTCATTGGCATGTAGTGATTTTGCTATTAATCATAATTTTGTGGCAGTGACAGAAACCTATGTCATCTGACGATCCCTATAACATCAGGAAATCACTAGATCAATGAACAGTACTTATCAACAAAGGATTATCCTATTAATGTTATTGCTTTGATGTAAATGTTGACTTGGGATAATTAATGATTGGTTACATATGATTGACTGTTAGTTCTGGCTGATTGGTTATCATGCTTGCCATGTGTGAGTGACAGTGTGTTTATACAGCTCATGTGACCCACTCACTCAACTCACTAGGCTTACACTGCTACTCAGGGAGAAAACCCAGGCTATTGCAGCTCAGAATAATATAAACAATAATCACCAGTTGTACTAATGCTCCCACTTGGGACATGGTACAAAAATAGAACATTTACATGGTGCATGGTAAATTTTTTGAAATTCCATCTTGCAGGGCATCATAGACCAGGTGCAGAAGCACAAGCTGCTGTTCATCGAGACACAGGATGCTGCAGAGACCTCGTTAGCTCTGCTGAACTATCAGAAGGTGGGTCATGTGTTCTCACTGAGCAAGGGGGCGCGGGTGGCCCAGTCGTCTAAGGCGCCGCGGTTCGCTGTGCAGAGTTGCATCCCTTGGGCACGCCAGAACCTATGATTGTGGGTTCGAATCCCGGTTCGTCCCAATTATGTTTCTAGGTTTGTCAGCACCATACCCGTTTCACCGAAGTGGTAAAAGTCTAAGACCTGCATCACTTCAGGCTTTCCTCCCACATTAAGCTGACACGCCGCGATATAACTTGATTACTGTCAAAAGCGGCGTTAAAACCAACTCACTCACTCTCACTGAGCAATGCAAATAAAGAAGCTCTTCCAGGTTTAACTCACAGATCAGACCAGTTGTATTGTTTGCCTTACAGACTCCAACATGTGTTCAGTTTTCTGAGTTTTAAAGAGAAAAAGAGGACAAAGAAAATATTGCTTTGATTAATATCATTAGAATTTCTTATATAAGTGTGAAAATGCCTGTTGATTGGAACTATAAGGTAACTTAAAGTGGCAATAGGGGGGTTTCAGTTCTGAAGAAAGAATTTTGTTCGTTTGGGATATTGTTTTGTAGCATTTGTAATCTCCAATTACTATATACTATATATTAATACCGTATTCGACGTAATAAGCGCCCACAGCGATATTTGCTAATATATTGGCTAGTGAACAATCCCAATTAGCACCCCTTCCGATTGATCAATGTACACATGACTTATTTATTCGTGTATAATATGCATACATGTGTTAAATGCATTCTTAATTATGGGCAATTAAATTCTGGAAAAATATATCTGTCGTATATAAACATTTCAGGCTGTCAGCATAAACCACGAAATTTACGATCTTTTAACTTATTTTTCATCAAAATAATATTCTAGTAAGAGCCCCTTATTTCTAATTTTGAGAGCGCCCTGGGCGCTTATTGTGGCGAAGACGGGATGTCAAAAACGAATGAGAGATTACATCGAACATGTTGAAGAGTTAGATGTTTATAATTTGTATTTGGATTTGTGTATGGGATAAAATCAGTGTTCTGTACATATAAAAAACCAATTGATTACAATTTAATTGCTTGTCTAGAAATGTAAGAGAAATCAAAACACAGATTTTCAAGGAGGACTGACTGAGTGTTTTTATGTATTAGGCGTGTGAGAATGGCCGAGGAGCTGTGCTGTTGTCAGTGGCCAGAGGAAAAGTATCAGAGGGTATCGACTTTGGTTAGTATGTTCTCTAGATTCATAAATAATGCTTTACAGTGTATTAATCAATTTGTTCTAAGCTGCTTTCAGAAATATTCTGAGGTGGTGACAACCTAGTGGTTGAAGTGTTCGCTTGTCACACCGAAGTCCCAAGTTCAGTTCCCCATATGGATAGTATGTGTTAAGCCCATTTCTGGTGTCCCATGCCGTGAAATTGCTGGAATAATGCTAAAAGACGCGTAAAATCCAACACACTCACTCACAGTTATCCAGCTTTACCACAGCAGCCTGTATTTAAGGATTAGGGACTCAAAAGGGCTGAGTTGGATATGTGCATCATGTGCATCTGTCTCCCTCACTCGTCAGACCGCCTCCGTGGTCTAGTGGTAGAGCATCAGCCCGGAGAGCGGAAGGTTCGGGGTTTGATCCCCGGCCGTGTCATACCAAAAGACGTTAACAGATGGTACTTGTTGTGACCCTGTCTGGCACTCAGTATTAAGGGGCTTAAACAAGGATTGGCCGGCTTGGAGTCAGTTTACTGTGTCTGGGTGGGGTATTCATGTTAAACTGCGGCTTGGTATGTCAGTGAGTTAGCATTATAAATGGGCATCAGTCCGGACTAGTACAAGCAGCCACACACAACCACACACACACACGTTCATGCACGTCGCTATATAAGTGCAATGATCTTGGACGCGACGTTAAACCCAATTTCACCTCACCTAGTTACTCATCATGATCATCATCAGTTTTGTTCGTTTGTTTGTTTTTTAACGACACACTCAGCAATATTCCAACAGGGTGACAGTTGTCTGTAAGTCTCAACCAGACAATCAATTGATTGGCATCATGAGCATCAATCTACGTAACTGGGATACAATTACATACATCAACCAAGTCGACCCGATCCCGTTAGTCTCCTCTTACAACAAGCATGGGTTTGCTGAAGACCAATTCTAACCCGGATCTTGAATAAATCTCTCTTAAGTTTATGTATTATTTTCAGACCACCATTTGGGCCGGGCTGTCGTCATGTTTGGTGTGCCATACGTCTACACACAAAGCAGAATCCTCAAGGTAGGAAAGAGATGGTGGTGTTTTGTTTGTTAATGCAGCACTACATGGATGAGTTGACAGAGTCATCAAGCTTTCCACATCACTATCATAAAACATACTTTTAAACCTTCCAGACGAGGGAGGGGTAGAACAGGTGCCCTGTACCCAATGTTTGATGTAAGAGGTGACCAGGAGATATCAGACATAGTTGAACAGCTGAGAGAGGATTGGTGCTAGGAGCATGCGGGTGAACAGACATGGCCTGGCTGGGGTGTTGTTGAATATGACCCAAAGATGGGTTTTTCAGGGGTTTTCTGTTTTAGGCCATTCTACAGTTACGTGTATCTTTGGTAGGGTTTAATAAGAATGGTTATATTTTCTGAACAATAATTTTCTGAATATATATCAATTCATTTAGGTTGTGCTAAATAAACTGAAGGGCAAGGTAAACCGAGTTTGTTTTATATGTAATTGAAAATTGAAAGAAGTGTTGTAAAATTTGATTATGTCTGTTTAACCATCACTCATTCCTGCAACAGTTTGTAAACAGTGATCTGTGGCTGGGTAATGTTGAGTATGTTCAGTGAAGACTGAAGTAAGAACTAAATTTGAAACCACGTGACCCCTTCCCTGTTTGAAATTAACAGTGATTAGTGATTTTTTTTTACATAGATGAGATCATACAGACTTCAATTTGTCCAAACTCTGTCACTATCAAACCTTAAACAAGGAAGTGCTTTACAACTTGAGAAATCCAGACAATGTTTCATTGAAAATCATAATGTTTGTGTCAGGTTGTAAAAGGTGTACCGTATTTGACGTAATGAGCGCCCAGGGCGCTCTCAAAAATAGAAATAGGGGGCTCTTATTAGAATGGTATTTTGGTGGGAAAAAAACAGAGTTGAAAGATAGATTTCGTGGTTTATGCTGACAGCCTGAAATGTTTATATACGACAGATATATTTTTCCAGAATTTAATTGCCCATAATTAAGGGTGCATATAACACACGAGTGCGTTTTATACAGGAATAAATAAGTCTTGTGTACATTGATCAATCGGAAGGGGTGCTAATTGGGATTGTTCACTAGCCAATATATCAACAAATATCGCCGTGGGCGCTTATTAGAGCGGGGCGCTTATTACGTCGAATATGGTAATATAGCTGACAGATGATACATTGCACTGACACAGGCCCGTCTCGAGTATCTGCGAGACCAGTACCAGATACGTGAGAATGACTTCCTGACATTTGACGCCATGCGGCATGCAGCCCAGTGTATGGGGAGAGCTCTCCGAGGGAAAACTGACTACGGTATCATGGTTCTTGCAGACAAGGTACAAAACTCCCTCACCCCACATTATTCTTTATTATGCCTCAAAGTGAGATTGACCAATCAGAGAGCAGAACTACTGACCCCACATGAGCCCGTATACCGTCAGTAAAAATCCAAGATGGTTGATACTTACCTAATATGAGACTGTATACTGTCAGTAACAGCCATTTTGGATTTTCCAACACCAATCTCACATTTTTCACATGGAAATTCTGGTACAGAAATTTTTATTCGACACTGTGTTGTGTTTTAATATCATTAATTGTGATGAGCAAAGACATTATTTATTAAAGAAACCACCTTTGTGACTTTATTGATAAAAATTTTAGAGAAAACGGAGGTCAGTGAGTTACAAATAGCAACGTCTTAGAACATAATATAGGATGACGTCACAAACAAGAAACGTACAGAAATTCATTATTCGACACTGTTTTGTGTTTTAATATCATTAGTTTTGATGTGCAAAGACGTTAATGTTTTAAGACGATAGCTTGTCTGGTCCAGATTATTTTCAGACCACTGTCATATAGCTGAAATATTGTACGGCTGAGTACAGCTTTAACCTACAACACAAAAAATCTGTTCTTTGGTTCAAATCCCTGAGAGGATTCCGGGTTCAAATCGGCCTCCAACCTTTGCTGGTCATAAGAGGTGGCCAAATGTATTGTGTGGTAAGGCTTGTTGACTGAGTTTATGACATATTATCATTTCCAGACAGTGTGGTTCATTGCTCACAATATCAATCACTGGATTGTCCCAATCTGACTTGATTATTTACAGGCTGTTGTTATCTAGCTGGAATATTGCTGAATGTGGCATTTAACAGCTTACAAACCGACAATAGAAATCCTAGAATTGCCCTGATTGTGATCCTGGTTTGTCATCACTGTGCCTGTACCTTTTTTTAGAGTTTTGTACTCAACAGTGGTATGCAACAATGACTTGCATACTCGACATTGACATCCGTCCTATGACTGAAATACTGTTTAAAGCAGTGTTAGATCCAACAGACTAAATGCATGGTTTAAAATTAACATAGGTCTTCTAGTCCATGACTAGAAAAATGCAGGAAAGACAAGTGTCTTTCACTTTCACTTTTACCATTACGTAAATGGCAACTCTAGCAGATCATGTTTGCTTACAAGTGAAGATACTAATATATTTCTAACCCTGAGAAGTAGCACTTGTCCTGTATATTGAAGAACTGTACGCTTGAAAGGTTGTTCTACAGTGCCATGTTAGTCAACTCAAGTCCATAGTCCATATCAAAATGTCAGTAGCTAAATAAATCTGCCTTCTCATTAATTATGTTCCATTAACAACATGTGAAAGCATTCTTCAGTTTTAGTTTCTATAAGACAATCCCAGTTGTTTAATCATCACTGTAGAGTTGTAAAGCTATTGCTACTATCTGACAGAGATTCGCAAGGGCAGACAAGCGCGGGAAGCTACCTCGATGGATCCAGGAGCACCTGAATGACCACTTCTGTAACCTTTCCATTGATGAGGCCATCCAGGTGTCCAAGAAGTTCCTACGGATGATGGCTCAACCATTCAGCAGGGTAGGTATAAACAACCAGTTTGTGACTCAACCATTCAGTAGGGTTCGTATAGACCACCAGGTGATGGTTCAACCATTCAGTAGGGTTAGTATAGACCACCAGTTGGTGACTCAACCATTCAGTAGGGTTAGTATAGACCGCCAGTCGATGGCTCAACCATTCAGTAGGGTTAGTATAGACCACCAGTTGATGGCTCAACCATTCAGTAGGGTTCGTATAGACCAACAGGTGATGGTTCAACCATTCAGTAGGGTTAGTATAGACCACCACTTGGTGACTCAACCATTCAGTAGGGTTAGTATAGACCGGGGGCGGTCGGGTAGCCTAGTGGTTAAAGCGTTCGCTCGTCATGCCGATGACCCGGGTTCGATTCCCGACATGGGTACAATGTGTGAAGCCCATTTCTGGTGTCCCCCGCCGTTATATTGCTGGAATATTGCTAAAAGCGGCGTAAAACCATACTCACTCACTCACTCACTAGTATAGACCGCCAGTTGATGGCTCAACCATTCAGTAGGGTTAGTATAGACCACCAGTTGATGGCTCAACCATTCAGTAGGGTTCGTATAGACCAACAGGTGATGGTTCAACCATTCAGTAGGGTTAGTATAGACCACCAGTTGGTGGCTCAACCATTCAGCAGGGTAGGTATAAACAACCAGTTGGTGGCTTAACCATTCAGTAGGGTTAGTATAGACCACCAGGTGATGGCTCAACCATTCAGTAGGGTTAGTATAGACCACCAGTTTGTGGCTCAACCATTCAGTAGGGTTAGTATAGACCAACAGGTGATGGTGCAACCATTCAGTAGGGTTAGTATAGACCACCAGTTGGTGGCTCAACCATTCAGCAGGGTAAGTATAAACAACCAGTTGGTGGCTTAACCATTCAGTAGGGTTAGTATAGACCACCAGGTGATGGCTCAACCATTCAGCAGGGTAAGTATAAACGACCAGTTGGTGGCTCAACCATTCAGTAGGGTTAGTATAGACCAACAGGTGATGGTTCAACCATTCAGCAGGGTAAGTATAAACAACCAGTTGGTGGCTTAACCATTCAGTAGGGTTAGTATAGACCACCAGTTTGTGGCCCAACCATTCAGTAGGGTTAGTATAGACCAACAGGTGATTGTTCAACCATTCAGCAGGGTAAGTATAAACAACCAGTTGGTGGCTCAACCATTCAGTAGGGTTAGTATAGACCACCAGGTGATGGCTCAACCATTCAGTAGGGTTAGTATAGACCACCAGTTTGTGACTCAACCATTCAGTAGGATTAGTATAGACCACCAGTTTGTGGCCCAACCATTCAGTAGGGTTAGTATAGACCAACAGGTGATGGCTCAACCATTCAGCAGGGTAAGTATAAACGACCAGTTGGTGGCCCAACCATTCAGTAGGGTTAGTATAGACCACCAGTTTGTGGACCAACCATTCAGTAGGGTTAGTATAGACCACCAGGTGATGGCTGAACCATTCAGCAGGGTAGGTATAAACCACCAGTTGGTGGCTCAACCATTCAGTAGGGTTAGCAGGGTAGGTATAAACGACCAGTTGGTGGCTCAACCATTCAGTAGGATTAGTATAGACCACCAGTTGGTGGCTCAACCATTCAGGAGGGTTAGTATAGACCACCAGTTTGTGACTCAACCATTCAGTAGGGTTTGTATAGACCACCAGGTGATGGTTCAACCATTCAGTAGGGTTCGTTTAGACCACCAGTTGATGGCTCAACCATTCAGCAGGGTTAGTATAAACAACCAGTTGGTGGCCCAACCATTCAGTAGGGTTAGTATAGACCACCAGGTGATGGTTCAACCATTCAGCAGGGTAAGTATAAACAACCAGTTGGTGGCTTAACCATTCAGTAGGGTTAGTATAGACCACCAGTTTGTGGCCCAACCATTCAGTAGGGTTAGTATAGACCAACAGGTGATTGTTCAACCATTCAGCAGGGTAAGTATAAACAACCAGTTGGTGGCTCAACCATTCAGTAGGGTTAGTATAGACCACCAGGTGATGGCTCAACCATTCAGTAGGGTTAGTATAGACCACCAGTTTGTGACTCAACCATTCAGTAGGATTAGTATAGACCACCAGTTTGTGGCCCAACCATTCAGTAGGGTTAGTATAGACCAACAGGTGATGGCTCAACCATTCAGCAGGGTAAGTATAAACGACCAGTTGGTGGCCCAACCATTCAGTAGGGTTAGTATAGACCACCAGGTGATGGCTCAACCATTCAGTAGGGTTAGTATAGACCACCAGTTTGTGACTCAACCATTCAGTAGGATTAGTATAGACCACCAGTTTGTGGCCCAACCATTCAGTAGGGTTAGTATAGACCAACAGGTGATGGCTCAACCATTCAGCAGGGTAAGTATAAACGACCAGTTGGTGGCCCAACCATTCAGTAGGGTTAGTATAGACCACCAGTTTGTGGACCAACCATTCAGTAGGGTTAGTATAGACCACCAGGTGATGGCTGAACCATTCAGCAGGGTAGGTATAAACCACCAGTTGGTGGCTCAACCATTCAGTAGGGTTAGCAGGGTAGGTATAAACGACCAGTTGGTGGCTCAACCATTCAGTAGGATTAGTATAGACCACCAGTTGGTGGCTCAACCATTCAGGAGGGTTAGTATAGACCACCAGTTTGTGACTCAACCATTCAGTAGGGTTTGTATAGACCACCAGGTGATGGTTCAACCATTCAGTAGGGTTCGTTTAGACCACCAGTTGATGGCTCAACCATTCAGCAGGGTTAGTATAAACAACCAGTTGGTGGCCCAACCATTCAGTAGGGTTAGTATAGACCACCAGGTGATGGCTCAACCATTCAGTAGGGTTAGTATAGACCACCAGTTGGTGGCTCAACCATTCAGTAGGGTTAGTATAGACCAACAGGTGATGGTGCAACCATTCAGTAGGGTTAGTATAGACCACCAGTTGGTGGCTCAACCATTCAGCAGGGTAAGTATAAACAACCAGTTGGTGGCTTAACCATTCAGTAGGGTTAGTATAGACCACCAGGTGATGGCTCAACCATTCAGCAGGGTAAGTATAAATGACCAGTTGGTGGCTCAACCATTCAGTAGGGTTAGTATAGACCAACAGGTGATGGTTCAACCATTCAGCAGGGTAAGTATAACCAACCAGTTGGTGGCTTAACCATTCAGTAGGGTTAGTATAGACCACCAGTTTGTGGCCCAACCATTCAGTAGGGTTAGTATAGACCAACAGGTGATTGTTCAACCATTCAGCAGGGTAAGTATAAACAACCAGTTGGTGGCTCAACCATTCAGTAGGGTTAGTATAGACCACCAGGTGATGGCTCAACCATTCAGTAGGGTTAGTATAGACCACCAGTTTGTGGGTCAACCATTCAGTAGGATTAGTATAGACCACCAGTTTGTGGCCCAACCATTCAGTAGGGTTAGTATAGACCAACAGGTGATGGCTCAACCATTCAGCAGGGTAAGTATAAACGACCAGTTGGTGGCCCAACCATTCAGTAGGGTTAGTATAGACCACCAGTTTGTGGACCAACCATTCAGTAGGGTTAGTATAGACCACCAGGTGATGGCTGAACCATTCAGCAGGGTAGGTATAAACCACCAGTTGGTGGCTCAACCATTCAGTAGGGTTAGCAGGGTAGGTATAAACGACCAGTTGGTGGCTCAACCATTCAGTAGGATTAGTATAGACCACCAGTTGGTGGCTCAACCATTCAGGAGGGTTAGTATAGACCACCAGTTTGTGACTCAACCATTCAGTAGGGTTTGTATAGACCACCAGGTGATGGTTCAACCATTCAGTAGGGTTCGTTTAGACCACCAGTTGATGGCTCAACCATTCAGCAGGGTTAGTATAAACAACCAGTTGGTGGCCCAACCATTCAGTAGGGTTAGTATAGACCACCAGGTGATGGCTCAACCATTCAGCAGGGTTAGTAGGGACCACCAGGTGATGGCTCAACCATTCAGCAGGGTTAGTATAAACAACCAGTTGGTGGCTTAACCATTCAGTAGGGTTAGCATAGACCATGAGTTGGTGACTCAACCATTCAGTAGGGTTAGTATAGACCATGAGTTGGTGGGTCAACCATTCAGTAGGGCTAGTATAGACCACCAGGTGATGGCTCAACCATTCAGCAGGGTTAGCATAGACCATGAGTTGGTGACTCAACCATTCAGTAGGGTTAGTATAGACCATGAGTTGGTGGGTCAACCATTCAGTAGGGCTAGTATAGACCATCAGTTGGTGGGTCAACCATTCAGTAGGGCTAGTATAGACCACCAGGTGATGGCTCAACCATTCAGTAGGGTTAGCATAGACCATGAGTTGGTGACTCAACCATTCAGTAGGGTTAGTATAGACCATCAGTTGGTGGGTCAACCATTCAGTAGGGCTAGTATAGACCACCAGGTGATGGCTCAACCATTCAGTAGGGTTAGTATAGACCACCAGGTGATGGCCCAACCATTCAGTAGTGTTAGTATAGACCACCAGGTGATGGCTCAACCATTCAGTAGGGTTAGTATACGGTAGACCACCAGTTCATGGGTCAACCATTCAGTAGGGTTAGTAAAGACCACCAGGTGATGGGTCAACCATTCAGTAGGGTTAGTATAGACCACCAGGTGGTGGCTCAACCATTCAGCAGGGTTAGTATAAACGACCAGTTGGTGGCCCAACCATTCAGTAGGGTTAGTATAGACCACCAGGTGATGGCTCAACCATTCAGCAGGGTAGGTATAAACGACCAGTTGGTGGCTCAACCATTCAGTAGGGTTAGCATAGACCACCAGTTTGTGACTCAACCATTCAGTAGGATTAGTATAGACCACGAGTTGGTGGCTCAACCATTCAGTAGGGTTAGTATAGACCACCAGTTTGTGACTCAATCATTCAGTAGGGTTTGTATAGACCACCAGTTGATGGGTCAACCATTCAGTAGGGTTAGTAAAGACCACCAGGTGATGGGTCAACCATTCAGTAGGGTTAGTATAGACCACCAGGTGGTGGCTCAACCATTCAGCAGGGTCAGTATAGATAGTCACATGGTGACTCAATTATTCAGCAGGATTAGTATTGTCAGTCAGTTTAGACCATGAAGGGTTGGACACAAAGAACTTTCAAGGGTTCTTTGAGACAGTTGTTTTGTGGAATTGCTGTTTTATATTAATCTCCTGCAGTAATCAATACTGCTTTGTAACTGACAATTTGCTGTATCAAAACACTAATGTACCAGAGGCAATGCTTGACCTTGACTTTCTATGACTCCAGGAGGACCAACTGGGACTGTCCCTTCTCACCCTAGAACAACTCCAGGCAGAAGACATGCAGAAGAAGCTGGAGTCCAAGATGCAATATGTCTGATGTCTGTGTCTGATGTCTGTTTGATAATGTGTGATAGATATCTGTCTGATGCCAGTCTGATGTCTGTGTGCCTGATGTCTGTGTGATTTGTGTCTGATATGTACATGATATATGTGTGTCTGATGTCTGTGTGCCTGATGTCTGAGTGATTTGTGTCTGATATGTGTCTGATATATGTGTGTCTGATGTACGTTTTCCTAGCAAATCTGATATGTCCCCAATGTTAGATGTCCTCTTGACATGTGTCTCTGATGTTGGTGTACACCCTGTCTGAGTGCATCAAACAATTATCATGTGATGCCTCTGTGAAACTTGAAGTGGACAAAGAAAGAAAGTGACATGATTCCACTGTGTAAGGACAACTGAATTCGGCAGTATTTGTATTAACACTCCTAAGGCTGAGTTGACAGTTACCCCAATCTTCATCTGTTACAACAAGGCCACAGGGCTCTGTTACTCCACCTCGTGGACAAACCTGTTGAGACAGCTTTGGAATACAGATCAGAGAGGAAAAGTATGTGACAAGCCCCTGTGACAATGGAAGACCAAATCACAACTATGACCTTTTTTTATTGCATGTCACATTCCCTGGCCTGTGATACTCATAGGCACAGCCAGTGGTTTGGTGTTGCTTTTCAGGATGCTGTGATATGAGACATGGAAAATGGTTACACCTAATCTTGAATTTGATCTTCCTGACAGGAATCACAGTCATCATGATAATATTTCTAGGTTTGTCAGCACCATACTAGTGCTTGTAGGTTTTACCAAAGTGGTAAGCATCTTTTGTAACTTTCCGCCCACATTAAGCTGACATACGGTGATATGGCGGGAATACTTGTAAAAGCGGCATTAAACTCAACTCATTCACTCACTCACTTCCTGACATTTTATGTTGGGAAATCTATAACATTAAATGGACATTACCACTTGCCAATGTCTCGTTCATCAAGAAGTATGTTAATCCGGACAATTTCAGTGGGACAGTGCTATCTGGATTAACATGGCCGTTGTGAATACATTTTGTACAACAGTTGTTTGTATGAAATGAATGTGAACAATTTCTACTATGGTTTAATAAAATGTGACATTTTGTAAGTTCTCTGTTATTATGAATGGATACAATGAAAGTCATTTATGTTTAGAGAAGAGTTTGCTTTTCCTTGGTCACTAAGAAGCCGACCATTAGATAATCATAAAATAAAATACAATAATCCGTTCCTGAATTGCTGTTATCCTAAACAATAAATCTTTCACTGGACATTCTGAAAATAAAGTTTTGTGGGTAAAACACATACAGATTGGATCCTTTCATAGCAAAAAAGTGTTGATAAAATATATTGTTTCTTGGAAATGTCAAGAGCGGTGTAGAATCTGAAAACATTTTGGGTGACCTGATAAAGGTCACGACAGGTCACATCGTGAAATATGTCGCAATTGGTTTAACTGACCTGAAATTATTATTTTATCAGGAATAATATATTCCAATATCGTGTTATTTTAGTTGCAGCTTCCACCATATCTACTTAAAATTATAAGAACCATAAGCGTAGCACTTTGGTACAGATGGTATGCAGGATATTTGACCAGTCACCGTAGGGACTTCCCGCGCTGCATATATTTCGACTGCGAAAACGTTAGGTTGACATTTATAAGTCAAACTGCCTCAAATATAACTTTTAGCGAGTCATGGTACGGCATTTATGATACGTGTATCCATTCTCTTGCAACTAAAGTTCGTTTCAAGGCATCAATAGCGGTAATCTGATCGTGGTTGCTGTAAATAACGGCGAGTTGTGCGATCTACCGATCACTTCGCATACGATTTCGCCGAAATTATTGTAAACATTATTATAATTATTGAATGAAATTTTGAATATAATTAATCAAATATATTGCAAACATTAATCCAGATAAACAATGATCAATTTTTGTTATTACCAGATATAATAATAGGATTAAATTGCGTACTTCAGTTCGGATTTGTTGACTGGTATTTCCGAGGGGGGGGGGGACATCGTGTCATTGGAAAACTTGAGTTTATTTAATATGTTGGTAAATTTTGGGAGCCATGCTTTACCACGCGCTATAACCGAAGCGCGCATTAACGAGGAAACACTTATGTAACAACTTGTAAATAAATGTGTGTGAAAAGTCGAACTAAAATACGCCATTTGAAGGGGGCGTGGCCTAAATGCAAATGTCCGATTGGGATTTTAAATTTTCCGGACCCCTGGTTTAATGCGTGGAATAAAATGCAGGTTTTATTTAGTGAAGATCGTCTTTTAATAACTAAATAAACACCTGTGATTGTGTCATGGTCAGGTTGGGGATGGGTGGCCCAGTCTTTTGGGTGTGTCAATACCTCCGGGTTTGTCAGCATCATACCCCATGGGCGGATACAGAGGGGGGTTGCTGGGGTGCGCACCCCCCCACCCCCACCCCCCCTTTTTTTATTTCGAAAGAAAATCTTTATTTCTGTATGAATTACCACCAAAGACAATAAATAGATCTTAATTGTGCACCCCCCCTTTTCAAAAAAGCTGTATCCGCCCATGTACCCATACTCAGGGGTTTCAGCGAAGTGGTAAATATTTAAGACCTGCATCACTTCGGTCTTTCTTCCAACTCCGTGTTAAACCAAACTCACACAAGGTCACATTCAAAAAGCAAAACCCCAGGAATACTTTTTCAGTGCCCCTCCCTGATGTGTCAAATGATTTGAATGTCCATTCTTCCCATGATATGTTTGTGATAGTATATCCATATGACCACCAATATATAGATGAAGCTCATTTGGGCATGATGACACACAAGGAGCCATGTCACGGAGCCTAACCACCGGATCTCCACTGAAATAGGATCCTACAAGTTGGTAGTAATGCAAATATAATATTTGAACAGTGTGAGGTTGGTTGGTTGGTTTGTTGTTTTACTCCGCACTCAGCAATATTCCAGCTATATGACGACGGTCTGTAAATAATCGAGTCTGGACCAGACAATCCAGTGATTGATATCATGAGCATCGATCCACGCTATTGGGAATCGATGACATGCTTCAACCAAGTCAGCAAGCCTGACCACCCGATCCCGTTAGTCGCCTCTTACTACAAGCATAGTCGCCTTTTACGGCAAGAATGGGTTGCTGAAGACCTATTCTATCCCGGATCTTCACGGATCGAACAGTGTGAGGAACATTATTGGATATATGCATGTGCTACAACTTGTATGTGCAGTTTAAACTGTATCACAGAAATCAGAATGTGTAAGAAGCTTTGGTATTTGTCGGATTGTAAGTACGTCTACTAATCAGTTATGAAAGGTATGATACAATGGTGAACTTGCTAGTGCTGCAATTGTCCTTCATTCTCTTGCATTAGGGGGATCGTGGTGACCATTACAAAAGAATCAAACACACTGCTTCTGACGGCAATCAATGCAACATTTTGGCATTGCCGCGTCTTGTTGAAAGCTGCACATTTAACAGACTGCCTTTGACTAAATAACTTCAGTCTTCCGCGATTGCTCCGACTGGCGGAATAGATACACCTTTTCATGTTTTTATGTGGTTAAACAACACTCAGCAATGTGGCGGTTCCCTGTAAACAATCGAGGTTGGACCAGACAATCCAGTGATTGATATGTTATTATGAGCAACGATCCACACCCCCGTGGTATACGATGACAAGCAGCCAACAAGCCACGAGCCTGACCGCCCGGACCAGAGTTGACTCTTACGACCAACTTGTTCAAGATCTGTTCAAACATTATAGCAGTTACTGTACCTCACTGCTGCTTATACGATTTTCATGTTGTCTTTTCGGTAAACAGAACTAGGTTCTGTGCCTTAGTGTTTTCCGGGAGCACGGGTGGCCCAGTCATCTATGTTGCCGCGGTTTCGCTATGCAGAGTTGCGTCCCTTGGACACGCCAGAAACCTATGATTGTTGGTTCGAATCCCAGTTCGCCCCGATTATGTTTGTAGGTTTGTCAGCGCCATACCCATGCTCGTGGGTTTCACCGAAGTGGTAAACGTCTGAGACCTGCATCACCCCGGAATCACTACGGCTGCTTTAACATGCAGCGTGAAAGGCGACTATGCTTGTCGTAAGAGGCGACTAACGGGAGTGGGTGATCAGACCCGCTGATTGCTGGTTGGGACACACACAGCGAATACAAGGATTCTCTGGACAGGAAAGATGGAACAGGAACAATAGCGATTAAGACGTGACGTATACATTGTACCATTGTAAATATCCATCTACTTCAAGAGCAGTGTCAAGTATGCCAACACTGCATACGATGAAGTACTCAAAATCTTTCAAAAGTTTCTAAAAAATGATTTTTCCAAATCGGATTTGATCAGCTTCAATAGAACTAATGTAGGCGGTTTGACATATACTAGCCACATAAAGAAACTGTGCACGGAGAAAATATAGATATAAGGGCACACCGTCCATATGTGAAAGATAGGTTTGAACACAGCAATTATTGGAGACATTCAAACGCTCATGCACGTGCCATACGATATGACGTCATTGATGGGGGCCTATGGACGTGCAATGTGTTACTGCACGTGCATCCTGTGCAGCTGTACACAGCATGTGCAACTCAAAATTCGCTGTCACTTTGGAAAGCATGATCTGTGGTCATTCAAAAATTCAAAACTTCTCAGGCGCAGACACAAGCATATCACAAGCAAATCATGCCAAGATTGACAGCTGCACAGCGTCATGAAGCCATTGGAATGATCCGAGCGGGAATGAGGCAACAACAGGTCGCAACACATTTCCAATGCCATCGTAACACGAGATCGGCATTGGTGAGGCGTTATCAGAACACAAATGACGTTGCCGACCACCCACGTTCAGGACGTCCCCGAGTAACGACGCCAAGACAGGACAGATGGATTCGAGTTACACATCTCCGACACAGGTTCCAAACGGCAGTAACGACGTGCTAGACAATTTCTGGACTGCGCCGTATCCATCCCAACACTGTCAGGAATCGTTTACGTCAGTACGGGATTCGACCACGACGCCCTGCCATACGTCCCATCCTTGACACACCGTCATCGAGTCAACCGTCTGAGATGGTGTCGAAATCATGTTCGCCAACCTCGAATATGGTGGAGAAATGTTGTCTTTACAGATGAATCGAGGTTCAACATTTCCCACAGTGACGGGCGCCAACGTGTCTACCGGCGTTTGGGAGAACGTTATGCACGCAACTGTATTGTGGAGAGGAATCGTTTTGGAGGTGGTTCTGTGATGATTTGGGGTGGGATAACAGCACGGCACCGAACCCCTTTGGTGGTTGTTCAGGGCAATCTCACCGCTGTTGGCTACAGAGATCAGATTCTGAGGCCTGTGGTCATTCCTTTCCTGCAACGTCATGGCCCGGGATTGACATTTCAACAGGACAACGCTCGTCCTCACACGGCTAGGGTCGCAATGGATTTCCTTCACCATAACAATGTCATGTTACTGCCATGGCCTGCAATTTCTCCAGATCTCTCCCCAATAGAGCATGTGTGGGATGAAATGGAGCGCCGTCTGCGTCGTCTCCCACATCCTCCAGATAACGTCCGTGACTTGGCACAGGATTTGAGGAGGATATGGCAGGCCATTCCCCAGGCCTCCCATGCCCATTTGGTGGACTCCATGCGTCGCCGATGCACTGCTGTGATTCACGCACAGGGTGGTCATACCCGTTATTGACTTTGTGACTTTGTCGTATGACCCCCTACTCCATTTTGATCTTCTGACGTCATCGTAACAGATGTTGTTCAGGTCCCGTTGACATTTTCTTATGGTCCGATCATTCAGCTGCTACAGCGTCTGCATCATTTTGTTCTTGCTGTGTTGTATTTCAATCCAGAATATATTTTCTCCGTGCACAGTTTCTTTATGTGGCTAGTATAGTTGTCTCCCTCAAGAACAAAACGATGTTTGGTCGTGATTGTTGTCGGAGGCTTTTCCTCCAATGAGATGTTAATGTGTATCCATCAATTAGAAGTATAATCTACTGAGTGATGAAATCACGGTTTCTTTAATATAGCTCTTCCCATTGTCACAGAGGTGAGTGAGTAAGTGAGTATGGTTTTACGCCGCTTTTAGCAATATTCCAGCAATATCAAAGCGGGGGACACCAGAAATGGACTTCACATATTATACCCATGTGGGGAATCAACCTGGGTCTTCGGCGTGACGAGCGAACCCTTTATCCTCTAGCAGCCCCGTTATACCAAAAGACGTTAAAATATGGTACGTGTTATTACCCTGCCTGACGCTCGGTGTTAAGGGGATAAAACAAGAAATAGTCGGCTCGGGGTCCGCACACTGTGCATGAGTGGGGTCATGTTAAAACTGCGGCATGGTATCTCAGGGAGCAAGCACTACAAAACCGACATTAGTCCGGACTAGTACAAGCATCTACACACACAGACGTGCATGCATGTCGCTCTACCAATCCAATAATCTTGAAGGCGATTTTAACCCCTTTCCCCTCACCCAAGTCGGCATTCCTAAAATAATTGTATTCATGGGAAGTGATGATTCAGCCGGACTCGTCTGACACACACCTGCTTGAACACTGAATGCAGAAACCAGTCAGTCTGGTCCTACGTGTCTTTATTTATCCCAATAAGTATTCTCTGTATTGCCACGGGCCAGTGATTGTGACGCGGGGTTTGTCGACCTCACTATGCCGTATTTTTGCTATGCGAGGCTTTTCAGACTCTGGCTTGAACATACAATGATAAAAATTCCTCCTCATATCATTTAATTGGATTACCATATATACGAATACTAGAGAGGAGTGGAATACGAATATTGATACGATCATCAAAGCCTCCTCGAGCCAATATGAGCGGTCGTCAACATGTTATTGGAATCGGAGACATTATATGTAAAAGCTATTGTTGTTGTGTGTTTAATTTAGTTCTCAAGTCTGCCTTTTGAGAAAAGCATGGAGTGAGTATACACTAGTTTTACAAGAGATATTCACAATTCCAGTTATCCAAATATACTCCGTGTCTAGAAGTTGTAGTGGGCGTGAGTAGTAGTGAATTATTAATATTGCCTAAGGATTATACACTTATAAAATAGATTTTATGTGAAAAAAGGTGTACCTCTCTGTTTTAGAGTGCAATGTTGAAGAGAAAACAATAGTTTGAGAGGAGTTCAATATAGTACATATTTACCCAATCCGTGGTAGCTGCGGGTGGGCGTGGCTTCGACTGACTGACACACAGGATACATGAACACACAATGCCATTTAGAAAGTAGTTAAATGTAACAAATGTTATATTTGGTATAAAACTTTCTTAGTGAAGTACAGATGCTAGTACTTTTTTGGGGAAGACACTGCTAGAGTGAGGCACCTGATCGCCTGCACTCAAAGTCAGCGATCTAACCCACCCAGCCACCGAGGCTTCCATAAAAAATGAAAGTATAACAACAGGTAGTCTAGATAACGTACTTTGTCTCATGCATCTATATTTATCACAATAACTTATCAAAACTGTTTGAGCTCGGGACATGGTGGGTCCGGTTTCACAAGGCGATCTTAGCATTAGGAGTGTCGTAGGTCTATGTACGATCGTACAAGTGCTTTGGTTACGACGTTCGTTTTGATGGAACTGTTTTGTGAAGAAGGTCCCTGATTTAACTCAGTTCAAGCATTTACTTTAGCCTTTCCAAATCAGGAAGGGGCCCGCCATCTTGTCAGCCAAAACGATACCGGCTTTTGTTTTCGATCTAGAATCCTTATTCACGTTCTATCATTAAAAATACATATATTTGCAGGTAAGTGATTAAGGAAGGAATTGGCATTTATAGGTATGAAAAATATTTTATGATTTGTAGCCTATCAGAGATGTAGAAATGCGTTGTAAATCCTACAGCGAACATACGCAGTGGTGATATCTAGCCAGTGGTGATATATACATCAACTGATACTAAACGATGAACACATTAAGGGACATACGGAAACTAGAACTTTGCTTAGCTATCTGGGACCTATCTCAAATTAATGTTGGCGTTGCAATTAATTTTGAAACAGGGACATATTTGTCTTATATGATAATCCTTTAATGACAGAAAGCAAACAAAGTCATTATTCAACTTAATTACAATTTGCCAGGGCATATAAAAAGAATGACATTTAAAGTTGAGCGGAGAGGACAACTCTCCGAGCTCTGGGACATATCTCAAATCAATGTCTAATCGTTGTAATTAGAGCCAGGTATGAAATTTGGGACGTTATCTTTGTCTTTCTGACGTGACCCGTAATTAGCGATAGCGAGAACTAAGATCTGATTTTAATGAGATTGGTCCTAATAATTTAAGTGAATGAATACAAAGAAAGTCGCTTTTTCAACTTTAATCAAATTTGCCAGGACGGCCAATGTTCAGAGACATATCCCCTGGATTGTATTGCTTCACCAGTATGGAGGGAAGAAGCTGTTATTAAATGCTACTTTTCCGTCTAGTGTATACAGATTGTTGTCCGTCCCACGTAGCATGGCTGCCACCCTCCCAAAGCCGCTGTCTGTCATCAGGTAGACATCACACGTGGACAGAATTTGCTGATCTATCAGAACTTTGCCAAATCCATCACAAGCTTGTGCGCCGGTATCCTGGTCCACGTGAACCAAGGGACCATCAACATCCGCGAAGACCTCCGGAAACATGCGCCGTGACTCTTGCCGCACCTGCTCTGAGTTCGTTGATACAAACACCCGATAGGTGGCGCTGTTGTTGTACTGTTTCAAAAACGCCCACATCATATCTATGTAGTCTTTTTTGTGTGCAGCGAAAGATCGATGAAGACGAATATGAGCACACACAAGTTTCCTACCGTTAGCTCTGACAGAGGTTTGGAATTTATCAATTTGTTCTTGATATTTGGGTTTCAGTTTAAACAACCGGCGAAGGACAATGTTATATATATCCACCGCTGTTCTATTTTGGGCCCATTTTAGGTCTTGAAACCGAGGAAGTTTCATGATATATTGCACAAATTCTTGATTGACTTTAAAAAGTATCACATCTTGGGTAAACCGTTGTTCCAGTTCTATAGTATGTATGTTCTCCCGGAGTGTCCAGGCACTGCTGTCCAGCAGCGTGTACGGGGTGACAGTCAGACCAGACAGAGAACCCGGCGGTATGATCCACTTAGCCTCGTTCTCGTCCAGAAAGTTGGCGATATCACATGGTATGGTCATAATGACCCCAAACCGTCGCCCCATCAGCTGGGAAATGAGATAGGCCGCTAGGATTCCCTCCTGTCGATCGCCGAGTCCTCCACAAAGTTGCTGACTACAGTCATAAATGAAATACTTCTTATCGTATTTAGGTTGAGGGAAGTCCTTCTCCAAGGTCATTGGTACTCGCGAGGGACCATAGAAATATTTAAACTGGGGCTCCGTCGTGAGGCCGTGTTCAGGTGCCTGATGAGTATTGGTGGCAAGCCCGTGATATCCCAGGTTAAACACATACAGACCTGTCATGATAATCACTATGGCAAACACAAACAGTTTGATCACGGTCCTTTTTCTGCATGAAATTGTTCGTGACATATTTTCATCTGGGGTTCTTCAAGTTGGCCCGCCTCTGAAAAAAAATCATACTGTTATTATAAAGATATTTCCGTTAGTTTCCAAATGGATAATTTTCTAAAAGTTTTGTTAATACAGTCATGTCTCATTAGAGTGAGTGGGTGAGTTGGGTTTCAAGCCGCTTTGAACAGCATTCCACTTACAGCATGCGTGTGAGGAAACGAAGTGATGCAGATCTCAGACGTTTTACTACCTTGGCGAAACCCACGAGCACGGGTATGGTGCTGACAAACCTAGAAACTTATTCCGGGCGAACCGTGATTCGAACCCACGATCATAGGTTTCTGGCGTGCACAAGGGACGCAACTCTGCCCAGAGAATTATGGCGTCTTACACAACTGGGCCATTCGTGCACCCATATCGCCTTAGAGATAACAGTGAATGTTGTTAAACGCCACAGTGGGCCAATGTGAGCGACCTCTCGGTGGCATGTATTCATACGAACCTTGGCCAGGCCAGCCAATGGTTGAGAGCATGAACGCCGACACACGCCGTCCTAATACTGTGACACATAACTACATTTCAACCACAGCATCCCTAATTGTAGTCAACTCATCCTATATCTATTGGCTAACGAAGGCCTGTCACAACCTGTATTCAAATCAGGGCATACCGACGATACCAGATCAATGTGTTTTAATGGAAATAATGTAAACACGTTCAACACAACTTCCTGACTGACCTACAGTGGTCAGTATTATTCGTGAACACATTATCATTCAAACATCCAATGGGTTATGTGGTCAAATACAGTTACCCCCGTTAATCCGGACGCTACAGTTCACTGTGAACTTGTTCCTTTAAGAAATTTCCAGATTAACGACCATTATCACGGAGTAATGGCCTTGTTGGTTGTTTGGTTTGTTGTTTAACGCCGCACTCAGCAATAGTCCAGCTATATGACGGCGGTCTGTAAATCGAGTCTGGACCAGACAATCCAGTGATTAATATCATGGGCATCGATCCACGCAATTGGGATCGATGACAAGCATCAACCAAGTCAGCGAGCCTGACCACCCGATCCCGTTAGTCGCCTTTTACGACAAGCATAGTCGCCTTTTACGGCAAGCATGGGTTTCTGAAGACCTATTCTACCCCGGATCTTCACGAGTCTAATGTCCTTGTAAACGTTGACATGGGGAGGTGGGGTAGCCTTGTGGCTAAAGCGTTCGCTCGTCACGCCAAAGTGCCAGACTCGTCACGTACATCGGTATAAGGTGTGACGCCCATTTCTGTTGTACCCCGAATATTGGAATAATGCTAAAAGTGGCGTAAAACCATACCAACTCACTACAAGCAGACGTTCCTAAACAAAAAGAATTCCACGAATCAAGTTTCCGCAATAACATATCTCACTAACGAAACAAATCTCTACCACTGATACATAATCACATTGATAAAGTTCTTTCCTCAGTCACAACACGTGTTCCAATAATAGACCACGCGTCTAATGCAAAGTAGAGGAGGGACTTTTTTGTCAGTTTTAAACTGTAATGAATTGAATTGTCAAAAACCAGTGACGAGGACCTTTCATGGGCGTCCGCCTGGTTTCACATTGTTAACGAGATTGTAGTGACACTGTCAGAGATTTGTGATGTTAATGCATCATTCATATGCGACTCCGGGTGAGAATAGATCCCCAGCAACATATCCTGGTCGCAGTTCAATTCAACTCTTTATTGTATGAAAGACCACAGGGTCATATACAACGGAGTTGCATAACATATTTTATAAGATACAAAGTCAAGGTAACACGTGCACAGTCAGGATAGTAATAAAGAGTAGTATGAGATAAAGGCCACTGCGGTAAGTACTTGTTTCTTAGATTTTCGTATATAGAGAAAATAAATATAAAATGGTATTCATCTTCGACAATAATGTCACAGAATGGGCTAAACCTTAAGGATTTCTCAACAGATGAAAATCTTCCTGTCTTAAATTTTAGATCATTCAGGCCAAGCCTAAAACGAATTCTGTTACGAAAATTCCTGTATCGTAAGTTTGATAAATATGATTCTGGTTCAAACAATGACTTGAACTGACGATAGGTATCATATTTTGAACTTTCGCAAATATCTGAATGCCATTTCTGATGAAACATAACGCATGCGAAAGTGCTTAATCAAAACATTTGCATTACCTATTGTGTGAGACAGCCATATGAAACCAAAGCCATATGTAAAAAGGAATGTACGTATACAAGAAGCCCATGTGTTCTCTCCAAGAGTATCGAGGTGTACAAGCATGTTGTAGGGGCGACAGTGTGGATTGGGTGGATATGTTCGCCAACATGGCGAATCGTTTCTCATCAAACTGACAAAGCGCCAAAACTGTTTCCATAATCATAAGAAATCTCTGCTAAAGCAGAGTCCATTGTAACTTCATCATAAGCATGTAGGTATGAATCACTTTCACATTGTGATGATACCAGGTGTTCGCGAAGTCAATCACTGGTTTGTCTTGTCGAGACCCGACAATTTACATGTCGCTGTCATACAGCAAGGATATATATGATACAATATCTAATAATAATACACCCAAACACCCCACACCTAAAACATAACAACAACAAAAACAAAAAACAACAACCCTAAAACACCCCCCCCCCCCCCCCCCCCCCCCCCCAAAAAAAAAAAAAAAAAAAAATGCCCAGTGGCTTGGTGTGTGTCGTTGCTCATCAATATTTATCACTGGACTGGCTTGTCAAGACTTGTCAAGACTATTGAAGAGTGCAAAGTTATTCAAAGAAACTGAAATTGTCTACAAGACTCCATAGTGACAGCCTCTACAAGACTCCACAGTGACAGTCTCCACAAGACTCCATAGTGACAGTCTCCACAAGACTCCACAGTGACAGTCTCCACAAGACTCCACAGTGACAGTCTCCACAAGACTCCATAGTGACAGTCTCCACAAGACTCCATAGTGACAGTCTCCACAAGACTCCATAGTGACAGTCTCCACAAGACTCCATAGTGACAGTCTCCACAAGACTCCATAGTGACAGTCTCCACAAGACTCCACAGTGACAGTCTCCTCAAGACTCCATAGTGACAGCCTCTACAAGACTCCACAGTGACAGTCTCCACAAGACTCCATAGTGACAGTCTCCACAAGACTCCAAAGTGACAGTCTCCACAAGACTCCATAGTGACAGCCTCTACAAGACTCCATAGTGACAGTCTCCACAAGACTCCACAGTGACAGTCTCCACAAGACTCCATAGTGACAGTCTCCACAAGGCTCCACAGTGACAATCTCCACAAGACTCCACAGTGACAGTCTCTACAAGACTCCACAGTGACAGTCTCCACAAGACTCCACAGTGACAATCTCCACAAGACTCCACAGTGACAGTCTCCACAAGACTCCATACCGACAGCCTCTACAAGACTCCATAGTGACAGCCTCCACAAGACTCCATAGTGACAGCCTCTACAAGACTCCACAGTGACAGTCTCCACAAAACTCCATAGTGACAGCCTCTACAAGACTCCACAGTGACAGTCTCCACAAGACTCAACAGTGACAGCCTCTACAAGACTCCACAGTGACAGTCTCCACAAGACTCCATAGTGACAGCCTCTACAAGACTCCATACCGACAGTCTCCACAAGACTCCACAGTGACAGTCTCCACAAGGCTCCACAGTGTCAGTCTCAATAAGACTCCACAGTGACAGTCTCCACAAGACTCCACAGTGACACTCTCCACAAGACTCCACAGTGACAGTCTCCACAAGACTCCACAGTGACAGTCTCCACACTGACAGTCTCCACAAGACTCCATAGCGACAGTCTCCACAAGACTCCACAGTGACAGTCTCCACAAGACTCCACAGTGACAGTCTCCACAAGGCTCCACAGTGACAGTCTCCACAAGACTCCACAGTGACAGTCTCTACAAGACTCCACAGTGACAGTCTCCACAAGGCTCCACAGTGACAGCCTCCACAAGACTCCATAGTGACAGTCTCCACAAGACTCCACAGCGACAGTCTCCACAAGGCTCCACAGTGACAGTCTCCACAAGACTCCATAGTGACAGTCTCCACAAGGCTCCACAGTGACAATCTCCACAAGACTCCACAGTGACAGTCTCTACAAGACTCCACAGTGACAGTCTCCACAAGACTCCACAGTGACAATCTCCACAAGACTCCACAGTGACAGTCTCCACAAGACTCCATACCGACAGCCTCTACAAGACTCCATAGTGACAGCCTCCACAAGACTCCATAGTGACAGCCTCTACAAGACTCCACAGTGACAGTCTCCACAAAACTCCATAGTGACAGCCTCTACAAGACTCCACAGTGACAGTCTCCACAAGACTCAACAGTGACAGCCTCTACAAGACTCCACAGTGACAGTCTCCACAAGACTCCATAGTGACAGCCTCTACAAGACTCCATACCGACAGTCTCCACAAGACTCCACAGTGACAGTCTCCACAAGGCTCCACAGTGTCAGTCTCAATAAGACTCCACAGTGACAGTCTCCACAAGACTCCACAGTGACACTCTCCACAAGACTCCACAGTGACAGTCTCCACAAGACTCCACAGTGACAGTCTCCACACTGACAGTCTCCACAAGACTCCATAGCGACAGTCTCCACAAGACTCCACAGTGACAGTCTCCACAAGACTCCACAGTGACAGTCTCCACAAGGCTTCACAGTGACAGTCTCCACAAGACTCCACAGTGACAGTCTCTACAAGACTCCACAGTGACAGTCTCCACAAGGCTCCACAGTGACAGCCTCCACAAGACTCCATAGTGACAGTCTCCACAAGACTCCACAGCGACAGTCTCCACAAGGCTCCACAGTGACAGCCTCCACAAGACTCCATAGTGACAGTCTCCACAAGACTCCACAGCGACAGTCTCCACAAGGCTCCACAGTGACAGTCTCCACAAGACTCCACAGTGACAGTCGCCACAAGACTCCATAGTGACAGTCTCCACAAGACTCCATAGTGACAGTCTCCACA